CACAATTAACTAATTTCCAGTAATTTAATGTGTAAACAATGATTGATCATTGGTTGATTAAAGATAAACTAAAACAATTAAACAAAATTGTGATGAGAAATTATTATTAATACATCATGGAATCAACAATTGGTGCCTAATGATCAACTAATTGTTACTTGATTGTATAAGAATTAGTAAATTGTTGTTATCAATGTAATGAATGTAAAAAAAAAAGTTTAATATCAAAATGATTAGTTGATCAATAATTTAGGTCGATATTGTTTACCTTAAATTGTTTACAATCAATAATTATTTATATTATTTGTTATGATTAGATGATTGTTTATACAGGATGTTTAATTATATTAAATGGTTTCACTGATTGTTACAATTAACTCCCTGTTGAAATTTTCATTTCATGAAGCAAAATCCTAATTATTTGTTCAGATGCTCATCAAGTGATTAAAAAGAGGAACCGGATCAGGAAGTGGGTGGTAAATTGATTCCAACAATCAAGATGAAAGTAAAATTGTTAAGATTTATCAACTAAATTAACTAATCATCAAAATCGTTACCAATTAACAGTCAATTTGAGTTATTGTCCAGTTAATTTGAAGCTTTTGATTACGATCATCCTAATTGTGATTAAGTAACTCTAGTCAATTGTAATATATGAATAATAATGATTTTTCCAGTTAATCTACTGATTATAATTGTTAATTTCTAATTGTTTCTAATCTAATCAATGACTAAATATAAATCAAATACAAAAAAAGTGTGCGAGTGATTAATTGTTGCAACTGAATTAACTTACTGGATTTAATACAATTTTTTTGCTGATAAAACGGTTAATCTTGATTGAATAGCAAAATAATAACAATAATCAATAATGTTAATTGTAACAATCAGTCAGAAGATTGACTTTCATTTATACTTGTAAATAGTAAAATATTGAATGATTAACTTTGATTACCCAACAAACAATCAGTAAATCACAATAATACTAATCAAATCAATCAACCCTTGGCAAATCAACTCCTACAACAATTAAATCATCGCCAGAATAAAAAAAAACAAACTTAAGATAATATTGTAAAATTAATATGCTCACAATTAGTGAACTTGTATTGTCAAGTCAATTAAAATTTTGGTACAATTTCAATAAGATAATTGAATATTTATCCTCTTCCAATAATTTGTTTACTTAATCTAAATTAAAACTCACAATTAACAAAAAATGATGAGTTTTTTTTCTGGTTCAAAACCAGAATCATGATCAGTGTTTCATCAAGTAACCAGCAACCAGAATTTCTGGTCTAGACTCAACCAGAATTCATAAAGATGAGGATGATAATATAAATAAACATCATCTTCTCAAATAAATATAAACACACACAAAGAGAGAGAGAGAGAGAGAGAATCTAATCAAATGATTGTTCACAATTAACTAATTAATTTTCTCAAGACAATCAATGAATGAGGTTGATGGTGGACAGTGGGCATTGGGAGGAGGGAAAGTTTAATAATGAAAGGATTGTAGTTACCATACAATTTAACCATTAATATGTTTACCTGTTTATTATTGATTTGAAATGATGATAAAATAAACAATTTAATCAACTAACCATTAACTATTAACTATCAACTATCATAAATTAACAAGGTAAAAGAGGAAGAAGTTGTAATAATATTGGAATAGCAAAAAAAAACTTATATTTCCTTTGGAAGTTTTTTTTTCTCTGTCTTTTTTTACCTGAGTTTTTTTCTTCGTGTTATCATCTCTGTATTTTTTTTTATTATTATTAACAATCAACTAATCATGATGGATAATTATTAAATGCTTGTTTATTAGACAAACATTAAGAGTAATAACAATAAAATTAAAAGTAACTGTTAACAATCAACAATATTAAAAAGGTTGGAAACTTTTGTTGTTGTTGTTCAGATTCAGAATATAATAATAATTGTTGAAAAGTATCAACAATTTATTCATATGAAAGTTAATTGTTTATCCTTGAGAGATTAAAAATAATCAAATTAAGAATAAACAATTTAACAAGTTAAACATAATCAAAAGTTAAACGATAAACAATTTAAATGGTAACTTTTACTTTGGTGTAACAATTATAGTTAATTGTTGTTGTGATGAACAAAATTCAAAAACAATCGTTTGAATTAGGATAATTTTAATTGTTAAGGTGATCATTTTTCTAAATTATCATCATAATCAAATCCTTCAACAATTAGTAAATCAAAATAATTTAGAAAAGAAAATGGGAAAGTAAACTCTTTTTTGTTATTCTCATCGAATTTGTTTTTTGTCCCTAAATAAGAAAAGAAAAAAGTTCTAATCAAAGTTGTGAGTTGACCCAATCGACCGGTTTGGGTCAATGGATTAGATTATCGATCAAGATGATTAGCTTAATATTTTCGTAAGTTGATTAAGTTGATTAGTTGAATTAAAAGGAATCAACAAAGTTGCACTTTTAGCTTTTAGAATCCTTGAGTTAACCTTGAAAACGCATTTACCACGTAGTTGTAAAGTAAACTGTAAGTCTCCTTGAGAGTTTGTAATCTCACTCATTCAGTCACTCACTCAATCAACAAATTATTATTATAAACATCACAATCAACAAACAATTTACAATCAACAAGTAAAAAAGCAAAACAAAATTACAATCAAAGCAAAGGAAAAAAACTTTCAATACTTTTCCAACGACAGCAAACAAAACACAAACTTGTCAATTAATTGATTCCATTGCAATTAAATTATCATTTAACTGCAACAATAAACCTCCAATAATCGGACAATTAAAGATTTCAAAAAATCTAATCAGCTGATGATGAAATAAACATCAAACATGATGATTATGATACTAATTATATGGTTAAAATTACTTCATTATAAAGGCAAAGAATTGATCATATAATTGTTGATTTTTATATGATGATCATGATGATGATTATCATCATCTTGAAGGACACTGACTAGACTCTCATCACTTACATAATCATCTTCATCTTCATCTTCATCATCTTCAATTTTCTTGTTTTGTTTCAATTCTGAATTTATTTTTCCACTAATTGTCATTGTCTTTCATTGGGATGATTTTTACAACAATTCTGATGATTATCATGATCAATCTGGTTTCTATTAATTTATTCACATGCATGATAATTGTTGATTGTTTTAATTTAGTTTGATTACTTTTAATTGAGTTCAGTTTAATCTAATACTTTCAATACACTAATTCAATTTGTTGCCTTAGTATTTTGTACGTCACAATAATAATCAGAAACATTGTTACTTTTTTTGCTAATGTTGTTGTGTTATTGTTGTTTCCTCAATCAAATTAAAATACATTTATAATCATGATTGTTACTATTATGATGATGATGGTGATGAATAAAGTTTGTCATCATCAAATCATCATCATAATCAACAATTTTATAACAAAAATATAACTTAATCAATTCAGAAGCAGGAAAAAAAAGTTGTTTAAAAAAACAACTCAAAAATATGAGCAAAAAATTAGAGTCAACGAAATGATATATAATCAAAACGATATTGTAAATAAATTAATCAGATCACAATCAATTGAAATCAATAGATCATAATGATGATAAAAGAGAGAGAGAGAGAGAGAGAGAGAGAGAGAGAGTCGATTGGTGATGATAAAAAAAAGATCATGTCAATCAGCTGATCAGTTCTGTTTACCGGTGAATTGAAAACGAAACCAGGAAAATATAATCAAAGATCAAGTTATCATGTAGATCAGATGAAGATAGAGATTAAGAATCAGTGATAATCAAAGATGATGATGATGATGATGATTTCAAGATGATAAATATAAGTTGACAAGGTAAATTTTGATTGTAATCAACTGATAAATCAACTTAGCTAATCAACGCCGGTTTACGGTTCAAGGTTAATTGTTGTTTTTACTATTAGATTTTTTTTATATACACTTTTTATATCCTATCAAGGACATTAACGACCAAGTACCTAGAAAAATAGTGAGCTGATGATGATGAAAATAACTAAGAGTGAGAGAGTGAGAGAGAGAAAGTCTCTCTTTTGTTATACAATGTAATTTTTGATTCTCATCATCATCATCATCATCGTCATCTTTCATCTCCAATGTTTGCTATTGGTAAACATACACAGTTTCAATAACAACAACAACAACAACACACACTCATCAATATCCACCATCAACATCATCAATAAAGTTTCCAAGCAACAATACTAACAATCAACAATCAACAATCAACATAATCATTACAATTAGATTTACTTGGAATAGCAAACCTGGGATGACAATTGCAAATTGTAATGGTAACAACAATCAACAACAACAAATGATAATTAGTTTTTTTCCTAATGTTATGTTACTGTTGTTATTATTATTTGGTGTTAACACTGTTACCTGATGATGATGATGATGTTGATTGTTGTTACCTGATTGTTATCAATGAATTTATATTAAAATAATAATATAACAATAATATTAATGACAATGGTTGTTGATTAAGTTGTTGTTGTTGGTGGTGGTGGTGGTGATGATGATACTATTATATTAATAAGTCTTCATCTTGTTATTTGGTGTTGTTGGAAACAGATTATGATTATAATTGTAATGATAATGATGAGAAACAATTAACAATCAACAGACCATATCAATCATATTAGTTATTAACTACAATCAGTAAACAAATAAACATTTTGTTTCAGATCCCTGAGGTTGATTAATTCAAAATCACACGCCATTAGTTTTAATCATTCAAGGTTGATTTAATTTTTTGCTTTCATCTTAATCAAAACAACAACAACATTAACCAGATTTAATCATATTTAATTAACTCTCTCTGGATCATTTTATATTTATTGATTAATTGTTATTGTTGTTGTTGTTGTTTTCTGTTCATTATTATTAATTGTCTCATTAATTGTTTGTAGTTATTAATTTCTATCATCACGTGATTTAAATCCAATTCAATTTAATTCAGTTATTTACCTTTGAAAATCCTCCTTGTTGATTGATTGTAAGTTAATCCAATTGATGATTATGATTTTTTTTTTTACTTTTTGATTAGTCCGACAAATGATTGAGATATGATGAGTGTTTTAATTATACAATTAGAACTTAATTTGACTAGATTGTCAATAGATTTAATAACGAAAAACTTTTATCAATGGAACAATTTAACAAAAATTAAAACAATTAAGATGATTGTTGAAGATGATTTTTATATAAGTCAATGATTTAAATGATATAATTGTTGATAAGTGATGAAACTAATTGATTCACATTGAAAAGGGAAAAAAATATTCAACATATGAGTTTGTTTTTGTTGTTGTTGTTGTTGTTGTTTTTGTCTATGTGATTATGATGGTAATGTTTGAGAGAGTGAGAGTGAGTGAGAAAGAGTGAGAATGAGTGAGTAAGATGATGAGATGGTGAGATGATGAGATGATGATAAAAAAAAAGTGGGAGTGAAACTTGGTTACCGTGTTGCCTGATTGATGTTTTTTGTTTACTTGTTAATACTTGTATATTAAAGCAAAGTGTGGGCAATGTACAGATCAATGAGTGAGTTAGAGTGAGTGAGTGAGTGAGAGAGAGTAAATGAGTGAGCCTATGATAATAATGATTATGATGACGATGGAAAGGGAAAGAAAGAGGAAAAAGACAAGAGATGATAACAAAAAAAGTGAGAAGAACGAGAAGAAAACTCTGAATATGTGTGATGCGGTTTTTGTCTCCATGAGTGATGAGAATGATGGAGAAGATGAAGAGATGAAGAGATGCCTCCTCCCTTTTACCACCCTCTCTTCTTATCATCTTCTTCTTCTTCTTCTCTCTCTCCATCATCATCTTTCTCATCAAAGATAATCATAATTACGTAACTAGATGATTCTCTTTCGACTTTTTGGTTTTCTCTCACTCGATTATCTTCCATCCCCTGTCTATTTCATCTTCTTCTTTGGTTACATTTGTTATTTTTGTTTACTCTTTTCTCTCTTTCTAAACATTTTCTCTTTCTTTTCTTTCCATCATGAAGATGACCTTGAACTCCCTTTTACTTATCTTCCAAAGAGCTCAGAATCTCAATTCTCTTTCTTCTTCTCTTCTTCTTCTTCTTATCCTCATGTAAATAACAACAACAAGATAATTGAATCTCTTGATAATTTGATTTCTTTTTTTTCTCTTAATCATCAACTATCAATACTTGATTTCCTTTTCCCTTTTCATTTCGATGCTTTAATTATCATCATCATTATGATTGGAATTGTTTAATGTTTGATTATGTTTCCATATTAATTGTTGTTGTTGTTTCTGTTGCTAGTTGATCGTTATCCAGACTTTTGCTGTTGTTGTTCAGTAATGATTAAGGTTTTTTTTTTCATCGTCATCAACAACAACAACAACAATACACAATAAACAGGATACGATGATGATAATGATGATGATGAGGGAAATCAATTGAAGGGAAAAGTAAATGGCAATAATCAACTAACTTAAAGTAAACAAAAAAATCTTAACTGTCTTGGAGCTCCATCTGGTGGTGACAATTAACAACTCTCGAACTTTGGATCAAAATTTTTTTCTAATGTTTTGTTTGACAATTATTCTTATTATTATTTTAACCTACTAATGGTTTTATTTAAGTAGACGATTCTTAATTGGGATTTCTAGTTGTGTGCACGAATCTGAAGAGCTCATTACACACCCGAAGTTCAGATCGGGAAACTACTTGAATATCTCTCAGGTTGTAGCTCTATCTATTGGTGACTATTAACAACTCTCGAATTTTTTTTCGAAGTTTTCGGACAAATTCTAGAATATTATAAACATTACATTTCGAAATTTTCCCAATAAATTTGATATGAAAGAACAAATTATATTCCATCTAATAATAATAATCTTAATAGGAAAATGATTTGAATGAATTGTAACAATTTAGTTAATTGCAATTAGAAACGTGAGATGGCGATTGGATCATATGAATTATATTTTATCGAAAAATAAATTGTCATTAAATAGTAACTATGGTTGTCTCATTTTTCACAATTAATATTGATACAAATTTTAAAATTCCAAAGTCTCAGTAATTTATTAATTATCAGGATTCTTATTTTGATTTGGTAACAATTTAGTTAACTGATTCCTGTATAAGAACTGGTTTAAAAATTGAACTTACTGATTGGGATAAATATCAATATCCATAATTGATTGTAAGTGATTAAACCAATTTGATTAGTTGAATTTGATGAAATAATTTCTAATTAAATTGAAAATCTATCAGCAATTAGATTAAACTTCAACTTTGAGTTGAGACAATTAAAGAAAATATAATCTAATTGTATATATAAGTTAATTATTGTTAAGTTTGAGGTTAATGATTTACATTTAATTACTGTCAATGTTTTAATTGTCAACAATGAAAAATTTAAAAACCATTAAATAAGATGAAATAATGAGATAAAATTAATTATCATTGAACTAATTCAATAACAATCAATTAACTAATTGTTGATATGATTTTTTTTGCTTTTCAACTACTTGTTTTGATTGTGATTAGATTAACATGTCAATATTGTTAAGATTATGTTTATTGGTTAATTGTAACAATCAGTTTAATCAATGAAGATAATTGTTCAATTTTGTTATCATTTGATTTCTGGTTAATTTTTCCTGGTTGGTTTTGTTTTCACATTTAATTGTTACAATTAAAGTAACAACATCGGTCACTAACTAATCAGTTTCATTTGTTATTTTGATCGATTAGATGAAAATATTATTATTACAATTAACTTGATTAGCTAAGACTTGATTTATCAATCTTTTGATTGTTTAATAATAAATGTTTTTCTGACCCAAAGAAATAACAATTTAATAAATAACTCAGCAATTTACAAATTGTTGAGTGTAAATTTTACTGTGTGAGTGTTGATTGTGCTGTTGATTGTTGTTAAATTGTTGATTAGCTTCATTGATCTTTTCGGTCAACCATTTTCATGGCCTCTCAATTATTAGTTAGCAAATTAAATTTAATTTTGTTAATCAAGAAAAATATTTTTCCATCAAATCTCATTGAAAGAGAGTCACAATTGATTAACCATTGAAACTTTAATTGTTTTCTTAATTGTAACCACTGGGTTGATCAACATTAACAATTAATTATTTTCATCAATTTGGATCTGGAAAAATTAAATCTATTCAAGTATAAAAAGTTAATTGTTGATTAAATTGAACAAATCAAATGAGTTGGTCAAGATTTTTTTTCTTTGTGATTTAACAAAAAGTTTTTTTTTCTGATCAACAATTAACTAATTGGATTATGCTGATTTCGTTATCAATAACGGATTATTGATGATTGGATATATATTTATGATAATTAATTAATTGTCAACGAAGCGAAAAGTAATTTAAATGTTACAATTAATTTTCTGACCTGTAAATCAAACTTTTTTTTTTTGATTGTGATTAACTTTTAATCCAGTTATCTATTTTTTCATCGTCATTATTATTGTTGTTAAATCATAACATGCAAATGTTGATTAACTTTTTAATTATTGAGAATTAGAATTAAAAATTAATGATAATTAAAAAATCGTAAATCAACAATTTGATTCACATTCATTGTCAACAATTTAAGGTTGAGGTTAAGTAGAAACTTTTTAATTGTCAACATTATCATTAATCATAATGATTTATTTATAATAATTAGTCCAAATTTCATTTTTCTGTTGATCAGCAAATCAACAATTAACAAATTTTAAATTCTCATCACTTTTTTTGTGGTTTTTTAACAGTTAATTGTTACTAATTAATCATTTTGATCTTGACAGTGAAAAAAAAGTTATGGGAAAAAACTGAAACCACAATTTAAAAATGATCATCAACAATTAAGGTGAAAAAGTTATTACTGAATTAAGTTGATTGATATAATAAATAATTTTCTCATATTAACTAGACTATATTTGTATTAACTGTTCAAATAATAAATTGAACAATTAACAAAGCTTAACAATTAAAAAGTGTAAAATTTAAGGTTAACAAATTGATTGTATGGTTGAAGGAATCACAACTAATAGACTTGTTATTATAATCAGTTGATTGTTCATCAATTGCTGTAGATACAATTAATTCAAGGTGACATATTAAATCATCCAATTGTCCAGTAATCAAATCAAATTGTAGACTAATTTACATTTATAGTAATTAAAAAGAGGGGAAAATGAGTTTGACCGGAAAGTTGTTAGGGTCAATATTGGCTTGATGAAGATGTTAATTACTGTTGTTGTTGTTGTTGTTTACATTGTATTAATCTGTTGATTATTAATTGTTAGCTGGTTAGATTTAATGTATTGATAATAATAACGATAATTAGAAAGATTAATTAACCATAATCATTATGATTATATACATGATGGAGAGAGTGAGTCGCCATTAGAGTTGAAAGATATTATTTGGCCAGTGAACATGAAAATTGAGATCAGGTAGAAACAGAAAACAAGTAATTCAGTAATAAACCAAGTATTAAATGGCGATAATAAGTATTACCAATTAACATCAATATAATGGCGATAATTATAACAATTAACAATAATAATAATTCAGGAGAAGGTCCAATTGTCCAATAATAATAAGAGAGAGAAAACAAATGAGATATTTTCAATTGCAATTCGGATAATATGTAAATCTAACTGATTTACCTTCGTATTTATATTGTTAATTGTATCAAAAATTACGACGATGAGGACAGAGTGTTGATGCTAATCAACCAACCATTCAGTCTCAACAATTTATTATCGCTGAAATTGGCCGATAATTAAAGATAATTGTAATTTAATCACTTATAAGATGGTAATCAAAATGTAAACAGAAGCAAAAAAATTCGAGCCCACGAAAAATTACTCAACAAGTGGATTAAAAGTATTAATAACGAATTGGATTAACTAATTGTAGTGGTTAAGAATTGTGGTGACATCTCGTTCAATTGTTATGTATATTCAACATTCTTAATCAACGTAACAATTAGCAAGAGGAAAAGAGATGAAGAAAAAAAAACTTCAACAATTAATCAAGAAATTAAAGTTGATTGAATGAAAATTTCGAGGGAAAAAAACTCAGGGATAATTGACTAATTACGAGAATTATATTATCATTGCCTTGACCAAGAAGAAATTTATTTTAATCCAATTTAAATTGAGAGAAGAAAAAAAATCAACAATTTGATAGATTTATCAAAAAGTGATTATTATATTACAATAAACAATTTAATTGTCGATTAGATAATGATAACTTAAACTCAATTTAATTTGATATTAGAAATTATCTCGCTTCGTATTTAATATTAACATGTTACTCTTATTGTCTGATTAATGTGATTAGTTTATTATTATTGGAATTACAGTTATTTATTATTCCAACAATTAACTGGACAATTAAAGCTTGAAGGGTAAGTAGATTATGAATTAGTTTTGAAATGTTCAATTGGGATAATGTTAGTAATAGATTCAAATGTTTACCTTTAAACTTTTTTCTATGTGTCTATGCTGAACCATTTTACTTGTTGAAATGTCTTAATTTACTAATTAAGATAGTTAATTGTAGTGTAAAGATCAACATCAGTTCCCACCCTCCACTCGCCACCACCACGATCATGATCAACATGACAATTTCCTCCTCCTCCTACAACTACTGTTGGTTACTACCTGTTAACCTTTACCTTTAAACTAATCATATGTTCAACTTTTACTACCGTTGATTGTGATGATGATGATGATGATGATGATGATGTTAAATAATTTTTGACCTGAGGGAGTGAAAAAGTGAAAGTGTGATAATATATTGGAGTATATGTTGTTTAAGATGAGGGAGAAAGAGTGAGAAATAATTTGGTCTAATCTTGATTATCGTCAACTTTTGGACATTTGGTATAAAAACTGAATCGAATCCATTCAAATTCATCAGTTAATCAAATCACCTCGAAAGTTAGTGTTTAACAATCAACTAATCCACTAAGTCAACTAATCTAAACCTTGTGCTCTCCATATTAATATTTACCGTTATTCACTTGGAATCATAATAATTTAAATAATCTAATAATGTGTGGAATCATTTTCAAGGTAAATTTTAAAATTTACTCTAATTGTCTTTAAATTGTGTTGGATATTTAAATTTGATTGATAAATTTTTCTACATTTTTCCCCTAAATTGTTAGGCTGTTTTATGTTTCGGTGTCCTCGCTATCGTAGCAAATGCCACTGGACATGGTGGACATAGTAACACTCATAGGAAACAAGATGTAAGCTAATAACTTAGTTTGACTAATTAACCGTTAATTGGTAATTGATTTTGTATCGTTTATCAGGCTTGGGGTAATTATGAATTCGGTTATGATATAACTGACCCATGGGGTGCTAAAAATTATCGAAAGGAGTCCGGTGATGGTTGGGGTAATAAGTGGGGCTCATATGGTATCCGTGATTCTGATGGACGTTTAAGAATCGTTGAGTATGTTGCCGATGGCAATGGTTTCCGTGCTAAGATCAAAACTAACGAACCCGGAACTACAAACAAAGATTCAGCCGCTGCCATTTACAATGGACCAGATCATCATGGTCACAGTCACAGTTTAGTTAAATCAGGTTCGATTGCACCTCAATTCAATCATCATGGTCCATCATCTCATAAACATGAAGGTAAACATCATGACGATGGTCACTATGGACATGGTGGTTACGATAAGGTTCATCATGGACCAATTGTCCATCATGGAGGTGATAATTATGGTCATCATGATGGTGGACATGATGCTTGGTCACATGAATACAAACATGTTCCAGGTAAGATTTTTAATTGTCACTAATTGTCAATGAAAATTTTTTAATTTTCCATCTTGATTTTCATTTATTAGTTTCATATAAACACAAAGAGATTGACCATTACCCTGTCCATCATCATGAACCTTCACACCATGAATCTGGTTGGGGTTCATCAGCTGATCATCATGGTTACGATTCTGGTTATGGTGGTGGAGATTTAGCCGGATATGGAAATCACTATTCACTTAGATACCTTCATCATAAGTAGATTACAATCAAAGCAATTTGACCAACGATGAGAATTGATTAACATGACAAATAACAATCAATGGTCAATAATCAAATATATGATTAACAATAATTGGGGAAAAGGTGTTAGAAAACAAGTGAATCGTTTTAATTGGATCAATTAAAACGAAAGCGAAATCATCATAAAGAATCAATCATTTATGGTTGATTGATTTAAATTGTTACTGCCATTGAATAATTACTCAATCAACCATTGAGATACTTTCACTTTTCATCAACACGATACAGTTAATCACTGTTAACACTAATCGTCTAATCATTTGGAGCAATCAATGGATACAATTAAATGTTCAAAATATGTAATACTTTGGATAAGGAATTGACAGTTGACATTGTTGATTGTTGATCGTTGATTGTTAATCATTATTTGTTATTACTTGTTGATTGTTTATTTCCTTTCTCTCTCTCAACTAAACTTCTTGTAAATTATTGTATTAATTGAAAACTTCCTGATTCAATTGTAACAAATTGTTTCAACAAATCATTGATTATGTTACCTAATTACCTGTTCACCATTTAAATTGTAAACATTTAGAATCAGTTTATCATCAATCCTTAATTGTCATCGAAAATCCTAAATCATCATCATTTCATTTAGTTAACCAAAATTAAACTTATTCACCAATTTTAATTGTAATAATTAACAATCAAAATGGCTACTCTAATTAACTGTATAAATAATATCGTGATTGTTTAGATTAACAACTTATTCTGATCACAATTAAATTCAATTGTTTTGTATTCTCTTTAAAAAAAACAATCAACTCACAATTCAAGTTTTTCGCCATCAACAATTAGTTAACAATTTAATTCAGTTTTAATTTTATCGTAGTTGATAAAAATCAGTGATTCTAAATTGTGATTAAACTTTTGTTATCATCAAATGATTATTCAAATAGTAATAATCATAGATTAATATAATTTGATTAACTGAATAATAACAATTTATAAATTGTTGAGAATGAACAAAAAAAACAAATATACTAATCACGATTCCATCAACAATCAATCAGTTAATTGTAATCATGTAGATTTGATGATAACCCTTGTTTCCTATGTGATTAAATTGTGATCACGATTTTGTCTTATTGAAGGTCAACAATTTAATCTGAATGATATTTGAAACAATTAATTAATAGATTAACTTTTCCAGGCCTTAATTGTTTTCGTTTTTTTTTTATTTTTAACCTTTAATTGTTTAAAAGATAAAAATAAATTTGATTTAATTAAATTGTTATAGTTAAGGTAAATTAGATAATAATAATAGATATTAATTCGTGGGGTTGATTAATTGTTTTCTTTTAGTAAGGTTAAATTGAACAATTTAGCTTCTTCATCATGATTAATTTTGCTAATTATGATTAATTATCTTTACAAACAAAATGTTCATGTTGTAAAAGTTTTCCAAATCATTAGAATCATGTTAATTGTGATCATGGTTTTAATTGTATGGAAATAGATTGGTTCTAATTTTTCAGGCCCAACCTGATTGTTAATTAATTGTAACAGTTAATTGTTATCATCCTAAACATTTGATTGTTTTGTTTTGTTTTCAAACATTAATATTAGAGTTTTTAAGTTTACTCTTAATTGTTGCTTGATAATGTTTTTAGTTTTCAAGATTAACAGTTAGGATTTGATTAGTAGAATGATTTAACAAATTGTTGCAGTTTAACAGTCTTAATTGTGAGTGGGTGAGTTGATTGTAGTTGATGAAACAGTAGGGAACTTTTTTCTTCGCAATGGTCAAGATTAACTAATTAACAGTTGAATTGTGGTCTTTGGTTATCAAGTTGATTGATTTGATGATTTTAGATTAATTATCGTGTTCAACTCGTCTAAATAAATTTTTTGGTTAATTAGATGGATTAACGATAATATTGGAATTAGATTCGGTGTAGAGAAACCTTGAAATTCATATGTGTGTGTGTGTGTTCAATTAATCAACTAAATTAAGGATTGGGTTTATGGTTGGATTGAATTATTAATAGTTATGAGTTGGGGTTTTAATTGCTTGGCAAAGGTTGTTGTAGTTTTATAATTACGAGATTAGCAATTTAAATGAGATTCACTTTTTTTGGTTGCAACTTGATTGTCATGAAACTTTCAGCCATTTAAATTGTTAATTGATTAGTGGTGGAAATGTAAACTGTTAGTTGATTGATGTGTAAGTTACATAGTGTAACCAAAGAGTTAATTGCAAGTAATGTGATCCTTGATTGTTGTTTGTTATGTCAGTCGAAATTATTTGATTATTTAACCAAGAGATTGAAAACTGGAAAAGAAAAGAAAAAGATGAGAGATAATATAAAATCAGATTATTCTATTATCAGATTAATTATTATGAAGAGGATGAAAATTGAACCAGTGTGATTGTACTTTTCTTTTTTTTACCGTTAATTAAAATAAAGTTGATTTGATTCTTTGTTTCCTCCTGAGAAGAGTCAAGTCAAGTTGGTGAGAAATGTTCATAAAAGATTCTCAAACCAATTAAGATTTCCAATACATGTATTTATATTGTTTCCAAATTGTTGTTGTACTTTATGAACTTAACATGATTAAATTGTCGGTGGTTAATGTATATTATTTAAACCTTATCATGGCCATTAGTTAACTCGTTTCTCTCCGTTGATGCATTCCAAAGGTTTTCTTTAAGTAATTCCTTTTAAGCGTTAATAATATTGCCCATTTTTTTCACCTTTTTCTTCAAGTATCATTATTGTGATGGTGAAAGAAAAAAACACCCAATAAGAGATAGTGGAAACAAGTTGAGATGCTGAGATTGATGCAAAGGATCATGTTGATAACAATAAACATACCGATGCTAGAGGAGAGAAGAAGAAGAAGAAGATTTAGAAGATTATATATAATAAAAATAGAAAAAAAAGAATAAAAAAAGGTAAATGATGAAGGAAGAGAGATTTTGATCATCAGAAAAGAATAGAAAAAAAGAGAAAGAGATAGGAGAAAATAACCAACCTTTCGGTTATTTTTCCCTCTTAATTTGATTTACCTAATAGGCATCACCTCCACCACCACAAATTCAACAGCCAACTATTGATGAATAATCAGAATTGAATAACAACAAGATATAAAGGGAATTTGATGAAGAAGAAGAAAAAAACGATGTCAAATCAATAGAATCAACAATTTAAACAACCTGTTGAAAGAAAATAGAAGAGAAAAAAAATAAATGGTTAAGAAAGAAAAAAAACAATCACTCATATAATATATTCTCGGGATTACTTACCAAACACAGAAGACAAAAGTAATCAAATGAACATTGGAAATTCTGTATTAATGGAGAAGAAAAAAAATCGTAGCAATTAAATTTAGACAAACAATTAAAAAGGTTAATCAAATCAACGAAGAGATTAACATGAGAAAATAATTTAGAATAGAAAAACGAATTAGAAGAAAAAAGAAACACCAGGTGGCACTTTTTTCGGTTTGAATGGAACTTCAGCCAATCAGAAGAGATCAGTTTTCTGTTTCTCTTTCTGTTGAAACAAATTCTTGTTTTTATTTGAATTTCATTAATTATTATGGTTAAATTTATTTCTCTAATCAAAGTAACTCTTTTAATTCACTAATTGATTATACAACATTAATATTCTTTAATTAAGTTATGGCTGCTGCCGGAGATGATGTTGATTTCTCTAAATTGCCGTTACAAGAAAGGCTTGAACATAAGGTGAGTAAATATCTCTAATTTTCATCATCATCATCAATTCCTTTACAATTTTTTTCTCTCTCTTCCACCTTGGGTTCTTTTTCCCTTTCTTTTCTCTTTTTTCTCTCTCTTCCTTTTTTTTACTCATCATCATCATCATCATCTATTTATCACCATCAATCAAATATATTATCATCATTGGAAAATTAGTAATAATCTTCATCATCTTCATCATTCTCTCCTTTATCTGACTTATTCACTTCTCTTTTTCAATGTTTCCTTTCACATTCCATGGCTTTGATTTTCTCTCATTGTGATATGTTAACTCTGTCGATTTAGTTGTATGATTAGCTTTCCTTTTTACGCCCTTTGTCATTGATTTCTCCAAATTTTCTGGGTTCTTAACTTTTTTTTCTCTCTCACTCTCTTTCTCTATCTTTCTCTATCTTGGTTTCTCTACTTGTTACGTCTCGTTTCCCATTATCTCTTGTGTTAGTGTTTATTTTTTGCTTCATTTCTAATCCATTTTGTTGATCTGTTTTTTTTTCTTTCCTCCATTTTAGAATTGGAAAGCTCGAATCAGTGGCTACGAAGAGTTGATCAAAATTTTCGATGTTCAACATGATGAGAAAAGCAGCGAATTTACTAAATATTTATCTGTTATCAAAAAGATTCCAATTGATTCCAATGTTACTGCTCAAGAGAAAGGGCTCTCAGTTTTATCAATTTTCTTGGAAAGAGCCTCACCTACCATCAGTGGTCGAATCGCTGGTGATGTTGTTAGTGGCTGTCTTGTTAAAGCTCAACTTTCTGCTCGAGCAAAAACCAAAGAATTGGTTCCTGAAATCATCTTAATGTACATAGAGATTGAAAAACAAGAGATTGTTATCGAAGAGATTGTTAAATGTTTGGATAACAAAACACCTAAAGTTGTTATTGGTTCCATTTCGGTATTGCGTGAAGCTTTAAGACAATTTGGTCCCAAGGTAATTAAAATTACCGGAATGAGTAAAAATCTTCAAGGATTATTGGAAAACAAGGATAAATTAATCCGAGAAGAGGCCAAACTGTTAACTGTGGAAATGTATAGATGGTTAAAGGATTCCCTTAAACCCCATCTTTCAACTTTAAAACCAGTGCTTTTAAATGAATTGGAAGAAGAATTTGCCAAAATAAAAGATGAAAAACCTCGACCCACTCGATGTTTCAGATCAGAACAAATGTCAGCTCCCTGTGAAGAGGAATCAGGTGATACTGGTGATGTCGATGAAACTGATAAAGCACTAGAAGCTGAAATTGATCCCTTTGAGCTTTATGAACCTGTTGAAATTTTATCCAAAATTCCAAGTGATTTTTCAGAAAAAGTTGAGTCCAAAAAATGGGCTGATCGTAAAGAAGCTGTTGAAAGTTTACTTCAAATAATTACTCCATGTCCAAAGCTGTTAGCTGGTGATTATGGTGAGATTGTTAAAATATTGAAAAAATTAATTGCCAAGGATAGTAATGTGGTGGTTGTTGGTGTTGCTGCTAAATGTTTATCTGAATTAGCTGGAAGATTACGTAAAATTTTTCATCCCTATGCTCATAGTTGTGTTCTTGTGGTTTTAGAAAAGTTTAAAGAAAAGAAACAAAATGTTGTTATTCATCTTCGTGAAGCAATTGATAATATCATGTTATCTTCAACAATGGAAGCTATTCTTGAAGATCTTGTGGCAGCTCTTGATAACAAGAATCCCCAAATCAGAGCTGAAACGGCAAGTTTCATAACCCGATTTTGCGCCAACACCAATCCAACCTCATGGGGTAACAAGAAAAATCTTGTCCCGTTGATTGAAGCTCTACTCAAAGGATTAAATTATAATGATCCAACGGTTCGTGATGCAGCAGCCGAGGCTCTTGGAACTATTATGAAAGTTATGGGAGAAAAAGCCATGACACCTTATCTAGCTGATGTTGACGCCCTCAAGATGGCTAAAATTAAGGAGTATTTTGATAAAGCGGAGGTTAAATTCATTGCTCCTGTAATAGCACCCCAATCTCGTGGAGGAACCGCTAAAGTCACCGTTCCTCGATCAACTTCAGCAAAATCAAATGGTAATCAACCCACTGCTCCACCCACATCTTCATCTTCATCATCAAGCTCAAATGATACCGGTGCTTCTTCCCTAAAGAAACCAGTTACCGGAATATCTAAAATTGGTATAAGAAAAGTTGCCAAACCAGAAGCTGAGGCTAAAACAACAACCTCTTCTACAACAACATCATCCAAAACCCTACCCAAGATGAGATCTAAAACTGGTTTAACGTCCACCACTGTTTCTAAAGGTGATCCCTCAACTGGTGATGGTTACTCTTTACCTCTTCTCTCCGTGAATAATTTGAAAGAGCAAAGGCTCAACGATGAAAGAGCTTTAAAGGTATTGAAATGGAATTTCACAAGCCCAAGGGAAGAATTTTTCATTCAATTAAAAGATCAGATGATTACAGCAAATTGGAATGAAAATTTGGTCACCAATTGTTTCCATTCAAATTTTAAGCTTCATTTAAAAGCAGTCGAAACCTTACACGATTTTCTGAATGAGGGAAATGTGGAGGCGACTTTAAGCAATACAGATTTAATACTAAAATGGATTGCACTTCGTTTCTTTGACACAAATCCAAGTGTCATCCTTAAATGTTTAGAATATTTAATCAAATTGTTTCAAGTAATGCGAACAGAAGACCAAAAATTAACCGAATCGGAAGGACAAAGTTTCATACCCTATCTTATACAAAAATCGGGTGATCCCAAAGATGTTTTTCGTCAAAAGGTACACGATATTGTTGAGATAATCAAAGAAATCTATTCACCAACCAAACTTTTCAACTATATTTTGAACGGATTAACATCTAAAAATGCTCGTCAAAGATCAACATGTCTCGATGAATTGAGTTATCTTATGAGAGATTACGATGACCTGGGAATTTGTCAACCAACACCCCAACAAGCAGTTAAAGATATTGGTAAACAGATTGGTGATAAAGACAGTTCCGTTAGAAATGCTGCTCTTAACTGTGCAGTAGTTGCTTACGAAAAGGGAGGTGAAAAAGTTCTCAAATGGTTAGGTGGAGCTGGAGGAATACCCGACAAAGACATGGCCATGTTAGAGGAGAGGATAAAGCGTAAAAGGTTAACCCGAGCCAATTCAGAAAAGACTCTTGTCAAACCTGAAGAAGAGAAACGTAAACAAGAAATAGCTCCACCAAGTATGGTGAAAATGTCATCAACATCAGCTTTAAGATCTGAGCCAAGTCTAGAAAGACCTGCATTTAAAAGTGAATTGTTAAGTCAACGGACAATGACCAAAATATCACCTCCTAGTAGAATTCAAGAGGAAGTAGCTGCCTTAGAGCGAAATGGTGCTCAATTACAATTACAATTACAGCAACAACAACAACAACAACAGATTCAACAACCTCTTCGGATGGCATCAGCATCTTCCATTAAAAGAACTGAAACTTGGTTATTAAAACGAGAACCTTCAGAAGAAAATGAATTTTCAACCCCACCACCCGATCCTAATCTTACTCGACGAATGTTCAATACTGGAACAATAACCAAACAAAAACCACCGCCAATTTCATCAGCCATGAATGCGATGGAAGTTGAAGCAATGATGCGACGAGAAGAGGTGAGAGAGTATGAAGATTCCCAACAAACTTACAAAAATCCTTATGCTCATCACCAAAATCAAACACCGACCCACGCTGTTCACCGTTTTAGTCGATCTGGAACATACGGTTTAAATAATGGTAGTGACGGTGAAAGTGAAGAAAGTGTTAATGAACAATTAATGAATATGCCTGATGTTGAAATACCAAAACGATTATCCGAAGGAATTAAAAGAAACTCATTTAGTCCTCGATCTCTTAAATCATCTCCCTCGGCACAAGATCGTGGTGATCGTATAACAAGTGCACTGGTTTCTCGTCTTTCCTCTGGTGATATAAAAGTGGCCATTGAAGCAGCTACACAAGTTAATCAAGCTCTAAATAAACCCGATCGAGCGGAACAATATCTTTCCGATAAAATTGACCAAATTGCCTCTCTATGTAATCTTCAACATAAATATATCATCCAAAAGCATATCTATGATGAGATGGTTGAACAAAGTGAAATTGTTGACCTTTTAAAACTTCTCAATCTTTTACTACAATCGATATTTAATCATCCCTCATTAAGGAAATTAGTTACTCGAGATATTTTAAAGGAAATAATTTCCACCGTGATAAGTTTACTCTTAGATCAAAGGGTGGCAAGTCTTCCGGATGGTGCATTGATCATCAAATCAACCAATCAATTAGCAAATGCCATAATAAGTTTCTCTGAGCCAACCAACATGCTCTCAGCGTTAATTAAATTGTTACAAGAATGTATCGTTGGTACATCTAATCTGCAAGAAAAGTCTATCGAACTTGTTATGAAATGTATTTGGAAAATGTCTCGACTCTTAGATCAATTTATTAATGATCTTTGTATTGATAAGATACTTTTTGATATACATTGTTTCTTTGAACAATTTCCTTCAGAATTTTGGAAAAATTCTGATCGCAGTCGTAGCGATGATATACCAATGAGAACAGTTAAAACAATTGTTTACCTGATAATCAAACAAGTTCGTGAAGATATATTTCGCCATTTAACCATGATACCAGACCCAGAGGAGACCGAACTGTACAGTTATATGCAAAAAGCGTTGCGACAAGTTAGACGCGAAAGTACCTCATCAGATGCCAGTCATTCAACAAGTGTTTCAAAAAGATCATCAACCGGAACAACCATTTCTGTTAATCAATATCAACAAAATCAACCACCACAACCACAACAACTACAACCAGCACTACAGCAGCAGCAACAACAACAACAACACCTACAGCAACAATTACTGCAACAACAACAACAACAACAACAACAGCCTGATTTACCATGTCAAGATGAAATCTTGCTCAAGTCAATTATTAAGCACTCATTAACACCAGCCATGATTAAGGAAAGAGTAATTAAAGATAATTCCTTAGATAAAGAAGATGACAGACCACCGGTAGGAATTTTCCCCAATCCCGATCTAGTCCCGTCAACTGATGATTCCTACAACTATGGTGGACATGACAGTTCTCAACAATCAAATCATCAAGATAATTCTCGACATTCGTCATCCATAACAACCAATCGTTCCCTTAATCATTCAAACCTTTATGATCCTCAACTTCCGATTGATCAGTTGAGAAATTTACTCATCCATCGTATTCAGACTGATTCTGAGTTTGTTGCAAAGATTCGCGCTGCTCTCATTGCACATCAACACCAATCATCTTATCAGTGAATGATAAGTCATCGAAATCTATTAAAATGAGAATCTACATCATCTTTTCCTCTTCCTCTTCTCTCTCTCTCTCTCTTTTCTATCATCACCACCGCTACAACATTTTATGTTATAAAACAAAAGTACTTGTGATGCCATAAAAAAGACACTTCGACTATACAAACCACTCGTTTTCACTTGGAGAAGTGTTCATTTGCCTCTTGGCAGCCGCTTTAGATACCAGGAAATCCGCCCATTTTAAGTTTCGTTCATTTTATCACAAATCAACAAAAGGCTAAAGCTAAAAGGCTACTTTTAATCATAATCGTGCATCACAATTACCATAAAACTAGAAGTGATTAAAAGTTTTCATCAAATATACAAATCAATCAAATACACAAACTTACGGACTTGATTGTAAAAAAATTCAAGAAATATTAATCTGATTTATTTTAATAAATGATTGTATTTCAATTATACTTATATGTTTCTTTAATTATCCACTGAATCTGATTTATCGACATTTATAACCTGATTGCTGAATATTTTTTCAGAATTTCTGAGAAATCAAAACCAATTAACTCTTGTTAGTTGGTTAAATTTACTAATCATTTAAACGAGAAAACTCAAACAGAGTTCCTGCTATCGAGTTCGGACAATATTCAGTTCGGCCTGAAATCTTTAATTCTTATGAAATTCTTGTCAAACTCAATAACCGAAAAATTTAAATTCTTCGACTAATTAAGTGTAAAAGGCGAAAATTTTATTAACTATTTGAATGACTTTGAATCGTTTAGCTTGATCAGCTCTTCTTGGCAATTTAATTGAATGATAAGCTTATTAATAATTAACCAGTTTAAAGAAAATTGTTTTGATTCTGTTCAATTGATTTATTGATATAGAAAGATAATTATTTTGACAATTACGATGATTAAAGTTGAGATATTCTTTGGACATTGGATCCATTGAAAGGTTGATATTATTTGGTCTTATTTCATCTTCCAAATAATCAAATTAGCGACAATAAATTATAAAATAACAATTAGAGAAAATTATCCATCCAAATGATTGAATGGACAATTTAATTAGAAAAAATTTTCGAAAGCATTAATAGCGATGTATTTGACAGATTAAAATGTTGGATGTTCAATATAACGTCAGTGAAGGAAATTTTTCCTATTGAATTGAGAGAGAGAGAAAAAGAAAAAGAAATTAATAATTAACAATTTAACCGAATTTAATTTGATCGTAATAATTACCTCTTAATGGTGCCAGGGATGCATATGGAGGTAATTGGTAAAATATCAAAGCCGAATTGATTTGATTGTCCATTTCGGATAAATCTTTTTCCCCTCTTAAATAGCTGATTAATGAAGCTTTATCCAGACCTAATTAGGTGAACAAGTAAAAAGTAATTAGTCAAATGAAATACAATTAATTTAATCTCTTTTGAATACCTTTCATGTTATTTTCGACCAGTGTTTTCAAAGCCTCGAAAAAGTCCATTTTTATGAAATCACATTTAGGAAGACAATGAATCAAGAGACGAACTTGAATCAAATAAAATGGGGTCAGTTTTTCCGATTCGTTGATCATCTTCAGGAAATGCATGATTGAAGGTAAACACTCAACGGTTTCATTGGAAGCACAATGAAACAGAACAGCTGATAGATGATGTTGAAATATCGCTTCGTTGGGAATGTTTGATTTAGGTGTTAATAGATAACGAGTATAATTGATTACCAATGGATTACTTGAGAACGAGGTTAACATATCCGACTAGAAGCAAAGAGAAAGAAATTGATTAATTGTTAACAGTTAATCGCGATTTTGTATTAATAAATTGTACTACCTTGTAAGTCCAACCTCGAACTGCATCTTTCATGACACATTGAGCGTGAATACTTTTGTAACCTTTTGGATCTTCTTTGTAAGGTAAACATCCGACTTTCTGTTTAATGAATAAGATTCCATTTCTTATTAACATGGTTGTTAAATTGTTCCAATTTAGGTGACGATCGAAGGATATTTTCCAATATCTATCGTCTTCGAGAGTCACTTCTTCTAGTGCATCCATTTGTGGTAAGAAACATGGAGCTCGAAGTCGTAATATCCTTTGATCTTTCAGTTTAACGGACAAATTGGCGTAGATCAGTTTATTAGTATCGATATCACGAGGTAGTACCAATCGTGGTTCAGCTGCTAGAACGTAAAGATGTCGAAAGGCTTGAAGATGGTATCGATTATCATTACTATGGATTGGGTATTTAGGGAAAAAGGCACAGATCAAGGCAGCGATTGATTCGGGAGTTGAACTTAAGGTGTAACGACAGCCGCCCAGGAAGAGTAGACCCATGGCCATGTGTGAGGCCATATGGGAGCCGTAAAGGACAACGTTAACTTGAGAGATACGAGATCTTAAGAAACGACAGATTCGCATTACCTCAACGTTACCCGTTCCGGCCATAATCATGGCGAGTGAAATAATAAGTACATTAAGACAAGATTCAATGGTACTACGACCCGCTTGTTCAGCGAGTACTTGCTCGTTAGGTAAAGTGATGAAAATATTTACTAATGAAAATATCGCTGAATAGGCTTCTTGATTAGCGGTACCAGCATATTTAAGACCCATTGCCATACAAGCACCGGCGATAATATTACAATATGCTTGACTCATAGTTTCATAATCGATACGTGAATTGAAATCAACCTCTCGTGTTAACGCATTGTCCGAGACAATTGTCGGTAAATGGGAATCAATCCAGGCACGAGTTGGTTTTATCGTTCCCCACATGATTAATCCTTTGGCAAGGGTTCGAAGAAGAAGAAAATCCGGTCTAACAGATTCCAATAGGTATTGAGTATCAGGAGCCGTGACCCATTTAGCAACCGCTTCGTTATTGGTGTTGAAAAACATCATCCCAAGAGCCAGAGTTGCCCCTGGACTGGTAACATCACAATTAACATTATCACCTTCTCTAATTTGATAACTGGGAGTTTTATATTTCTCCTTTTGAGCGGCGGTCATTGGACGTTTATGACCACCAATCATATAGTTACACATTTCATCGGCCATGGAAACACCTTCATTGGATGCGACAGTTGAGATCATTTCATTTCCTTTACCAAGTGTAACCAAACCAAAAGCAAGTCCAGCCGCTAATGCATAACTTTCACGGTCAATATAATGCTCCATTTCTGGTCCAGGAAGTCGGCCGATTTCACCCAGTAACATTTCAGCGATATGACGTTGACCTGAACCCTGATAAAGTAGACCAACGCCAAGAATAGCGGCAACCTCAACCACCGGAGGAACATCGAGCTCGATTGAAGATGAAGGTAAAAGCGCTTCAACGTGAATTGAAAGTATCCTTTCAACGCTAATGTCCATAGTCCCTCTTTTAGCCGCTGCGAGACCCAAAAGAACCGCTACTCGGGTAAGTTCATTTCCTTTACACAAATAATCGTGAATGTTCATTGTCGAAAGTCGAGAAAGATGCCCATTTAAACCTAATGCGAAAAGGAAACCAGCGTGTTCATTTTGAGCATCACCGGCTAACGAATTACTTTTAGTTTTATTATAAGTTATCCAATGAGAATCAATCGTATTCGAAGCACTTGGACAAGCTTTTAGACCAGCGGCAACTCCGTTATGAAAAGAAGGCCAAACATTCATGTTACTTGGAATATCAATATGAGCCAACTCAATGACAACATTTCGAGGGGGAACTCGCCCGCCAAGGCACAACTTAGGGATGTGGAAAGTTTTGGCAACCACCGGCTTAAAAGTTCGTAAGGTTAACATTCCCCTACCAACGGGTAAGGCCATTGTACGAATACATAGAGTATAAAGATGTCTCTCTTGTTCTTCAATAAATTCGTTATCAGATACACCAGGTCGCTGTTGAATAGTAATCGAAACGGGTTTAGAAGATTGTAACATCTCGTAAGCTTCATCGACGCGTTGATCTTCAGGGAAAAGTAGTGAAAGTGCTTCCCGATTAAGGCCACTTAAACCGTCTTCGTCGTTGTCAATGTTAAGCACTTCTTTCACTTGCAACGGATATTTTGGTCTTTTGGTACCACAAAGACTTGCCAAATCATCGCGACCAATCAAAGTATAACAATCGGCATTCCAAGTGACCGGTGGATCGGGTTTACAATGGAAAATAGCTGACCAAAGGGGTAACACCAAACCAGGGGGAATACATTTAAGGTCATTTTGTGTCATTTCAAGTTTATTCATACAAACAATTATCCTTTCCTGAGCTGAACCAGAACAACTTATTTCTAATCCAATCGATAATCGTGAATCTTGTTTCATATGATTAACTGGAGTTAGAACCATATTTTCAAATAGATTATCATTAATAAAGCAAGAATAAATTAAAACAATTCGTCTAATTGAACAAGTAACTTCCGGAATATATGGGAAACCATTGGTACCATTGTGAGATAATAGGGATTGTAAATGATTATAAGCAATCGGCGGTGAATCGGTCAAAAAATTTGGATGAACTAATGATTTAAAATCTTTCTTATTAATCCTTGAGGGACAATTTAACATTGAACAGACACTTGGTAACATCCGCCAATAATAATCCTTATAAGAGATGAGCTTTAAATCACTGGCAATCATGTAGATAATATCACAGAGCTGTGGTGCATAATCTTTGAGTAAAATATTCAAAAGTAATTCCTCATGAATCAAATGAAGACTGAATAAGATTGATGGAAGATAAGGAAAAAGTGGATTAGATGGATTAATGGGTTTACATATATCGGCAGCAGCTCGACGGATAAACGTTTTCTTTGTAGATGAAGGTGAATTGGATAATAACCAAATCCAATCTTCATCTGAACCTCTTTCATCTGATTCCATTTTAGACTTTTTCGCCAACGAAGGTGATATGTTACTATAAAAATCCATATCAAAAGCATTAGGATCAAGATCATAGCCGATAAGTGAGAGAAGACACAATTTAAATAGATCCAATTCCTTTTCCGGTGTAAATTCATAAGTTCCAGGTGAATTTCGAAGTGAATACCATCGAATAACTAATTGAATTCCGGTGTCTCTTGGTAGAACTGCTTTCAATGCTTTGAGACAAAGTTCGACTACACTTGAGGTTGTAATTGGAGGTAACGAGAGGCGAAAATTGATTGAATGACTTGTCTCAATTGTAATACGATTCTTGACATTATCTTTAACAGAATTGATTATTGCCAGAGATTTGTATGAGAATGTTGTTAAACTTGATTCTGGATCGAAAACTGTTGAGCTACTTTGATCATGTAGAACTGGAGATAATTCATCTTCAGCGGAAAATCTTGGTTGATGACTGAGTGAACTGGAAGGTCGGCTTGATGAGGCTAAATTACTTCGTCTCATAACAGCGGTTTGCATTGAGAATGATTTAGATGTTGACGGAGAAGTGACCAGACCCGAAGTTGGTGATATAAGGAAGGGAACGTGTACCGAACTAACTTTGTTGATTCCACTGTAAAGGATAATATTGTTCAATGGATCAAGAACACAGATCATGTTTAAACTTTCAATTGGTTCGGCGTCTTTGGCGCTTATCAAGTTTAATGGTCCAAATATTATTCTTTTACCATCGTTACTTGAGTCAAAACGAATCAGTTTCAATTGTTGCTGTGGACCAAGAAGATAAGACATGAAATTTTGACCCATCAGATCAGCGGCTATAAAAGCTTTTCTTGTTTTCCCCGTGAGACCATGAGCGGGTTCACTCCAAATGTGTTCGATACAAACTTCAAGGAGAATCGGTGTGTCAATGTCATCGAAAAAGTCCATTGTGAGGAAAGATCGTGTCGGAGTTGAAATACGTTCCAGAGGAGATGAAATTTCGGCTTTCATTGTGTTAATTGATGATTGATTCATTTTAGATGTGGTTGGAGTTGAATATCCTCGATGTACCATGGGAGAAGCGGGTGAGGCCGCTAATCGACTAGTTCGAAGGGGAGAGAGAACGTGAGGTGAACAACAAGGTGAACTTCGTTCTTGAGCAATAATAGGAGATGATAATGGTTTAGAAGAGATTCCTCGAAAAGGAGAAGATACATTTCCAGCTAAAAGGCCGGTTGATTGTCTTAAACTGGTCACTAATGGTGATTCGATTAGAGATGTTGATCGAGACATGGGGTCAACACTTGATCTAGAACTTTGATTACAAGTTATCAGGTCAACTTCGGATTCAGTTGCTTTACGAAGACGCCAAACACTGTGAGTACCCTCGGTTTTGTGGTAAAATAGACAGAGACTTGTCTTCTTGTCAAAAAACACCAACTCCAATTTGTTGGCCATTGTTAGGTAAGTCAGTGAATTGTTACTTGTTGGCACTGGTTTCAGGATAACTGGACCAATATCTTTAAACGGATGACCCAGGAAATAGAGAACAGGGTAAGGCGTAAATGTAGAGTTTGGATTGATTTCATTTGATTGAGGAACTCGTTCCAAAAGTAATCCCAATTTAGTAGGAATTAATTTCGAAACCTATGAAAGAGAAATTGATTAGTAACAAAGTTAATTTTCACATGCACACAATGATTGAATTACCTGAAATGGCAAAGTAATCGGATAATTATCTCCTTCTTCTGAAAATATTTCCAAATTTTTATCATCAATGGCACAGATACACTCGATTGTTGTGTCTTTTGTATCATCATAAAAACTACACCAAACCGCTTGATGAACCTTTGATTTTAAGGTGAAGCTCCTTAATAACCGGCAACCAGATTCTCCATCAGAAACACTGTGAACGACAACATTGTCACAAGTATAAAGCTCTTCTTCACCATCATTAGAGCCTCGAAGTGTCCATGTTTCAACCTTTCCAAAGGATAAAATGAACGGAAAGACAAAGAGTCAAAGAAATACCAAGAAAACAACGTGAGAAAACATTAGTTGGGTAAAGTAAACAAGTCGGCTAACTATTAATAAATGAATTAAGAGCCAATGAAATTTCATTGCATCTAATTACTTACCGACGAATGGTCCTTTAGGCTAACAGAATCAATGGATAGAAAATTATCTCGACTTGGTGCCGTTTCGACTGAACTAAAAGCCGAATCACCTTTTCCCATTGGAGCAGAATAATGATGCTTCGGGTGGTATGGAAGCAACTTCCTTCCATATGGAATAAACTCTTGAGGTGATCCACCGAGAATCATGGTTATGACAGCAAATAGTTAAAACAGAAAATTAAGAGGGAAAAAACATTCGACCCAATAGATCAGTAAGAAAATAGTAACAATCAAATCAAAAGGAAATAAACTTGAAGATGAAACAAAAATAAAGAAGGAAAAAAACCAAAACATTAGAAAAATCGATTACATCGAACGAGGGAAATCGATTTTCCAAATTTCTCTTTTATTGATTACAAATTGAGAAAATTATCGAAATTCAATCAATTTATTATAGAAAATTATGAGAATTAGAATAAATTAATTTGATTATTATCACGATAAATTTTTCTTCTTATAAGAAAATCAGTTCTGATTACCGGTGAAAATTTAGGATATTCGATTTTAATCGATTCTTTTTTGATTATTTTTCCCGCTTTTGGGATTGATTTTTTTTTCTTGAAATTAAATTGATCCAACAATTAGGTGATTAGAGTGATAATAGTAGAGTTTAATTTAATTGATCCTAAAAAGTTCATTGAGTGGAAAATCAGTTTATGGATTACTATTGATCGAAACTTTTACCTGGTGAATTGTTTTTCTTGTTGAAAGATTTACCTTCTAATTCTGGTGATGAAATTAAATTGGAAAAAGTTTCGTAGCCAGAACTTTATTGGATCGTAAATTGGTAGCGACAGTTATTGGAAAACCTTTTTTCGGCTCTCATTGCCTCGATTAACAATATCCACACACAGTAACAATACTAATTGTTATCCATGCAAGGATGTGATGGTCTTAATCTCTCACCTTCGCTGCAATTATGATCTGCGTTGATTTTTCATCGATATAATGATTAGTTAATTTTATTTACAAAGATTTGATCGAAATTGTTACTTTACATTAAATATTAAAAATTGGTTAGTTTTTCTGTTGTCTGGTAATCAATAGATTGTTCAATTGTTGATTGTTGATTGTTGATCATCATCGACTTGCCTTGACCAGGAAAATGTTGCTGATTGAATATTTGATGAATTACTGTTGTAATTAGTGGTTGGTAATTGCTTATTAACCCGTAAATAAATGTATTCACCAACGAAACCATAAATAAATCCAACAATTAAGCAAATCAGCATAATAATTGCTATCAATCCACCACCAGCAGAAGTGATAATTGTTGTTACTTTTTGATCATTTGATGGATCAAGCAACATTTTTGATCCATCAGTTAATTCATAATGGTAACAATTACCAGAGGCAGTTAATGATAAATTGCTTGATGATTGGTGGTAATGATTAACTTTCGATGGTGACAATTTACTCTGAGACAATTGGCAAGTTGATTGGGCTCTACCTTTAGGGCAGTAATTAAATGATAAACATTTATCATTACCAGAAGCATAATCAAAACAAATTGTTGCACATTGATCCAAATTAACACCTTCCTCTACAAACACTACACCATCAACTAAATTGGTTCCAGTTAGTTTGAAATTATCAGTTCTCTTCACTAAAAATTGTAATAGAAAACGAAACAATTTAATTATCATATCATAGGGATAAACAATCAACAACAATTTAAACTTATACTCACACATATACGAATTACAATTATCATTTGGCTTCGACAATCGAGTAAGGTAAATGTTTCCACTCAGAGCACAAATTGCATTATCACAATAACTAAATGATTTACAATCAACTGAATTAGTACATTTGGAAGCACATTCATCAGGGGTAACAGTTAATTCACCAATTCCTGTGGAAATTATTTCACGATCACTGATTCTTACATAATCAAGAATATGATTTTTACCATAAATGTCACAATCTACATCAGATTCAATGGCTTCCCTTGATTTTAAATCATCAGAGATTAGAAATACATGATTAGTTAATTGACACGAAACCTTAGATCGGTCCTTTGGATTAGTACAGAATGAGAAACCAGAACAATCAATTTTTTCAGATGATTCGCAAATATGATAACAATCACCAAGAGTCGTTATTGGTTCATCGATTGGAAAAACCTTCTCATGATTAGTTTTCAATTTGTATTCGGAAAACAATTTACTAAAGAGTAACTTTGATTCGGTTGATTGTTCACTTTCATCCGAATAGATGACATTGGTCACTTGGAATTTGAACATTTTCGACTTATCGTCCATTGGTCCAACCATGAACGGTCTATTCTGCGATCGGTTAATCAACACATCGTGTAAAGATTTCAATGGAAATTCATTAACTAAATCACGTAAATCACCAACTGGGTGACTGTAAATTTCACACGAAATTAAATCATTTCCAGAAGATTTCAATGATTTAACATCATCAACCGGTGAACATAATTGTTGATTGTTATCCTTACACCAAGCTATTGATCTGTTGATAGGAAAAGTATTAATTGTCGTGTCTAAGATCAACTGATTGTCACAATTGTATTGATTACTTACTTTGAATTGCTATAAAAAGCAACTTTGCTGACACAATCAAACAATGATTTAAATTCATCTGTGAATGGATTGATTAACTTTCTGTCAACTTTTTTCACTAATTTAACCAACGCATCTAAACAAGATTTAGATGAAAAGTTAATCAACTGCTTGTGGATTAAATTGCAATTTAATTACCTGTAATTGTAGGCTTCTCAATGAACATAATTCGAGAATTAATTGTTTGATCTGAGAAATCAAATTCGATGTTTGCTATTCTTAATGGGGACATAGAAATTGATTTGATTATATTATCACGAACACCTTCACGTAACATGATTAAATTTTTTTCTGCAGTTTTAATTGCTTCATTTGCTCTGGAAAAATCTAATTAATGCAAGAAAATCAATTAGAACTTGAAGAAATCTTAATTGTAATACAAATCCAACTCTTACCTGTTGGTACAATTTCAAAAATTAACCACAATTTATCAGCATTTTTAGTGTCACAATCATAGACCTGGAATAAGGTTTGATATTCAGATTCAGGGATCGAATCAACAAGATCGTAAATATCCCGTCGTAGTACTTGATTCAAACGATAATTTTTCTGTTCAAATGACAATTAGTAAATTAAACGATTTCATAAATTGTCTTGCAAATTTCAAATTCATTAATCAACTAACCTGAGAGTCTAAATTGTAAAAAGTTCTGGTCATACTAATGAGAGTTTGTTTCTTATTATAAGGTATAAACCCCGAAATATCAGCCTAATTGTTTGAAAGAAAAACACAATCAAATGTTAGATTCATTAAATTTGGTAAATTAGCAAAGTTAATTGTTACCTTTTCCAAGAAATATTGAGTTGTAACAACTTTATCGTATTTACTTCCCTCGTATTCATAATTGTAATCAATTTTTTCCCAAACATCACAAATTATACCAGATCGATGTTTCTGTAAAAACAAACATCCACACACAATTAGAATCAACAATTAACTTTACAATTAAATTACTTACATAGAAAAATTTTCCTAAATAAAGGAAATCACCTCGTTGCCAAAGAAGCTCCTTGACATTAAATTTACCGTTAATTACACCGACATCCCCATCGACCATTGAGCTTTTAGTACATTGTGACGATGCAAAGGAATAAGAAATTCCTAAATTGTAATCGTAAATTGTTTCCATCAAATCACCTCCATAATCAACGATATATCGTACAACTTTAGCTGGAGAGTCAACAAACATCTGAGAACAAGTTAACAATTAGATGGAGTTAATTGTCGCAATTACAATTTACCTTTAAAAATATCTCATTCCCTTGATCGGTTGTCTCAATGGCAGAGAAATAAAAATTATTAGTTAAACCCATCTCTTCATCTTTTGGAAATGATTTAGCTTTTTCCAAGTATTCAATACATCCTATTCCTGGTGTTGGCTGGTAAACAATTAGTTAATTAGTGACAATTTAGTGAGAGGAAATCAAAATCTAAACTTACAGCAACTTCGTAGCTTAAATCGGTTAAACTTTCAACAAGGTAAAAGTCAATCGTTAGAAATTGATTACCTGTTGATGACGATAATGTTTCCAATAGAAATCCATCAAATTCAACTCGATAAGGTTCATCGGTTACATAGAAACCTAATTAATAAATGACAGAATTAGAAATTATTTCCAATCACAATTAAATGATTACGATCTTTACCTTGTCTGTAAACGGTAACATTCAAAGTATTTTCAATTGTCGTTCGAGTTGTTTGCATTTGTATTCCTCGGACAATTTCCGAATCTCCATTAAACTGATTGATTGAGAGAAAATGATTAATTAACATTGGCAAATAATCGATATGAACTTAATCAATTAATACCCAAATCAATGGTGACTTTCCGACCGGTGTATCAATCATCATCGCCTGAATCCGATAGTAAATTGTTGGTCCAAACATGATTAGTATATTTTCCAGTTCGTTGTCAACAAAGGGAAGTTTTTTATCCCATTTACGTTCATTATATTTATAAACCTGACAATCGGTTTCTAGAAATTTAATGTAAACAATTTAATTGGAAAGAGAACAATTAAAAATGGTTAATTGTGGTAACAAACGAAATACTTACCAGTCATTACGAGGCGAAAATCATCATTCTCATTGTAGAAAATGGTGTAACTCTGATCGCTTCGATTGACCTTAATTTTACCTCGTTCGTTGTACATTTTGGTTGATAGATATTCCTCCATGGAAGTGACATCTCCAGTTAACTGAGACCACAATTAGTTAATTAGATCATTGGAAATGAGAGGAACAAAAGATTCCATTGGAAAATAATAATAACAATTAACTCACCTGATTAGTTAATGTTGATATTAAATGTACTTCACCATAAGCATTTCGTTCAGGTAAATCCAATGGAATTCCTGATTAGATGATTAATGAAAGAATTAGATTTTAATTGTTTTGAGAGAGAAAAAAATTACAAATAATCTAATCAGTTTTCGCGCTTTCAAAGTTAATTATTTACTCATTCATCATATAATCAAAAAGCCTTAATTGTGATTGATTTTCTGAAAATCATTACAATTGAAAATGTTTCTTTTGATTGCTAATCAAAGTTAATTAGTTGTCCAATCTGATTCTAAATTTTTCCATAACTTTTAATAGTAAAACTCACTTTCTATTAACAATCACTTTTTAATTGTCCATTTTTTACACAAACTAAATTAGAATTGATTAATATCCAACTTACCTGAAATTAAATTATTCTGAGACAATATTGTAATTAGGAGGAAATAAATACAAGGTAACATTGAGTTTGTCTTTGTAATTAAATCAGTGGATTAACAAAGATTAAGATGGATTAAAGTTTAACTATTAAAGTTGATTAATCACTTGATTGAAACAAAAAACAATTGAGAAAACAAACAACTGAATTAACAATAATGATGTTGTGTTGTTTTCCTGGTTAAAAAATTGATTGTTCATATTAATAGATTAATTAATGTTAATTGTTATCAGATTTTGATAACAATTAACTTCTCTCTGTTTAATTGTGATGTGATTAAATGATGAGGATCATTTAAAAAAGACCAAATCAATTACGCCTTCATTGTATTTAGAAATTTTTTTCATCCATTTATTGGATTAATTAATCTTTAATCACAATTAGATTACATTCAATTAAGTAGCTACCAATTTGATTAACCAATCAAACAAGTTAAACTGTATCATTGATTAGAGAGCAAAAGTGAAAGTTATCAATCATTAATTAGATTTGATTCCAGTAGCCCAATATTAAGAGTAGACTGATTAACCACTGGAACAATTAACAAATCAAATTTGTTTTCAATTTAAAGTTAACATTTAATTTGGTTATAACCTTTGATTGAATATATTTAATTTCAATAAAATACCAACTTAAGTTTAATTGATGACAATTAACTGATTGTTACTCTTTTGCTTTTCAAGTTGATTAACTCCCTTTAATTGTGATGATGATTTAAATCTTATTGGTGATGAATTGTGAGTAATTAATCATCTCTCTTTGTGATAAGTTAATCAATCAATCAAATTAATTGAAATCATGATTAGAATTTGTAATTTATCATTTTAATCATTTCTTTCAATCGTATAAGTTAACAAAATAATCTATTACAATCAATTTACATAATTAATTAATACGACAAATTGTGTATTATTTTCCGATGATTACAATTTACATAATTAGTTGTATGTAATAATAATATTTACTTATATTATCACTCTGATTGATTTTGTCTCTAATTAAATTGTTGTTTTCCTTTTGTACATTAATAGTGTTGATTTGTAAATTTTAATTCAATTAAATTGGATGCAACAATTTCATTGTATCTTTCTCCTTAATTGTTGATATTAATCAGCGGTAATTTAATTAGTGATCACCAATGGTTTGTATCTTAATTGGATGTGCGTAAATAATTTTAGATCCTCTTGATTTGTTTTAACAATTTACGATTCTTTCCAAACTGCCAATCAACCAGAAGAATTGTTGATAATCAATAACAGTAATTTATCTAATTGTAATTAGATTGAGTAAAATGATTTCTGTTCACTTCCATTTCCATTTCATCCTCTTTGTTGATAAAATCATATTTAATTCCTCTGGTAAATGTACATATTGCCTCTTGATTGATTAGGTTTCCTTTTCTTTTTTTTTTAATTGTGACTTTGTTTCGTTAATTGGAATATATATAAAATGTTGATTAAATTATTCTCCTCCTTAATTGTAAATCATCATAATCTCAGGATGTATAATCGTAACATTGTTTCAACGAAGGTTTATTTTTCTCATAAATCGCTTCTACATCGGGATAAAGCTGAAAAGAAATTGTGAAAAACAATTAGAGAAATTGATTCAATCAAATTGTAATTAGATTTTCATCTTACCTGATCAAAATTGAGATCCATGAATAATTCTTGAAGGAAACGACGAGCAGGTAAACGAAAGTTGTATGATGCCAATTGAATACTAATCTCTGAGTAAAGACAAATATCTTGAAAAGCTGTTGGATGTTTTTGCTTCAAACTAATTAAAATAAAAAATAGAGATGTTAATTGTTATGTTAGAAAATGATTAATTGATGATTGTCATTAAATTACCTTAGTAAATTTTGTTCCGCAAGTTTGATTACCTCAAACCATCCTAATAAATAGGATACAGATCTAATCACCTCTCTCCTCATTTCGACAATTGTATTGACCTTTGAATTTTGTGGTAAACTTTTGTTTTCTAAAAATATCAAGATCAATTGTAATTAGTAAATTGTCACCAATGGAATTAAGTTAGTTAATTACTTGTTTCTGGGCTTGATGATGCATAACTTGGGAAATATGGTTCCTGTAAAGTGGTTGTAGCTACAGTAGTATCAGCAGTAGTGGTAGAAGTTGTTGTTGTTGTTGTTGTTGTTGTTGTTGTTTATCATCAAACTTTTCATCATTCAGATCATCATCATTTTCATTGATAACAGATTCTGTTGATGGGGAGAAAAAGATACAAAATGAAACAATTAGTTGATTGTTAGAGCAATTAGTTAGGATTAATTTACCTTTAACAGAATGAGAGGTAATTTTAACTCTTTGATTAAGAAATTGATTGTGTGAACAAAGTAAACAACTTGTTGAATTGTGAAATTCAAATCCAGCCTCATCTAAATTTCCCCTGCGGCAATTATTTGATGGCGGTTGTTTATGTTTAACACGTGAATGATATTTATCATTATATCGGACATGTTGATATTGACTTAAATTGGACAAAGGTTTATCGGGCTCCGTATCATCCTCTTCATCGGCAGATTGATCAGAATCGTCCTAAATTTACAGTAGAAAAGAAAAAGTTTAATAACCAAAAATATACTTTGATTGTTGATAAATTTACTTTTTTGAGAAAAATTAATTTTAAATCCATAGGTAAACAGATTCCCATGTAACGAACACTTTCCATGGAATAAGAAACAAAAGATGACCAACCATAAGATTTCAAGCAATTGGCTCCAGCATCGGTGGTTGAAAAAAGGCCAAGAACATAATAACCCGTTCCACGAATTGATAGAATTGGTGAATCGCAGGTTAGCTTAATAATGTTCTCAATGATATCTGATTCAAGGAGCAACTGGAATCCCGCCGGCGATGAACCAACCGTTCCGATGGCCCAAAGAGCTGCTTTCAATTGAAGTACACTAAGTTCGGTGGATATGTTGGCCTCACGAATCGTTTGAAATAAAGGTTGGAGAAAATTTTCTTGAACAATTAAATTATAACCTTCATCCTGTTTAACCAATTCACCGTAAAGGTGAGCAGGAAGGTAAACACTTTTCTTATAGTTAAGTTTTTTATCACTTCGACGACCATATGAACCATGTTCATTTCGCTGGTGGTATGAAAGAGCTTCATTTAGAGAATCTTCAACAATTCGAACATATTTAAGGTTAAAATATTTTCTCCATCGGTCAATCTCATAGTTAAGAAAATTGGTATCATGAAGAAATTTATATCCAGAGGGAATGGAAAGATAACGGATTAGAAGTAAAAGTCCACGATCACCGACGCGAAGTAAATTGGGCTGTAAATTGATGAGAGCTTCAAGGTTATCAGTTGAATCACAGCATTCGTCAAGTATATCAATTGCAGCCAAAACCACGGCTTGACTTTCATCGGACAATTGTTGAGTTAACAGTTCGAGAGCCCATTTCCGGAAATCAATGAAACCCGCTCTTAAAAGGACTCTCATGAAATTGGTTGCATATAAACGAGCCGATTCCATCTTACAAGTTAAAATTTTGATGAAAAGTGAACGGGTTGAATTATTATCCACCGATGAATGGCAATAATTAAGACTGGAAACAATTAATTTCATATAACAATCATTATTGGAACAAGTGATTAGATCATTTAATTGTGAATAGATTCCAAGTTTATCTAAAATTTTTGATCCTTTGGCAGTGACGGTAAAACGACCAATGAAAAAGAAATAGGCATGAGACCAAGTTCGTAAAATATTGGTACAATTTAACACCGTATCAGGTGTAGTATTCATCTCTTTAGTAACCTGGGAAATTGATTCAGAAATATCGAGCAACAGTTCATTGATAAATTCTGCAGCTCGAGATTCATCACAATCAAGAAGAAAATCAATCAAATTGGTTCCAACCGATGATATCTCGTAACCCTCTTCATCGTCAGCTCTTAATTTAGAAAAACAAAAGCTACTTGGTTTAAAGTAGGTTAACAATTTTCTCACAAAATTACGATAATTACTATCATCCAGTTTTCGCATTGATTCACATGGTGACTTTAAAATACATCCAATCAAATTCCAGTCCCATTTATTGGGATCACTTTTTAGAACTTGACTATCTCGAATGTAACTCATCAGAGTTGCCTCGTCGTTCTCTTTACGATTACTAGAACTAGAAGATAACGAATAGAATGATGATGAACGATATTTACTTTTAAAGGATAAACTTTGATTCGATTGATGAGATTTACTTGACTTGGAGTGAGAGTTTTTATTATGAGAGGTTATAGTTGGTAGTGACGGTGGTGGTGTTGTTGTTGTTGCATTTACTGAGGTAGAGATATTATTAAATTGATGAAAATAATTTGATGATGATGAATATGGTAATGATGATGAAGAGTATGGTAATGATGATAAGGTTGTATTACTTGTTGGCGAGGATAATGACGATGCTGGTGGTAATGATGATGAAAATGATGATGATATTGTTGACGATGAAAATGATGATGATGAAGTTGATGATAGTTTGCAAAAGTAAATTAATTGATTGAGATAGAGGCTGTGAGGTATGTTACGACTTTTCTTTGCTGCATGCATACGATTAAGGCAGGTAATAGCGGTACTTGCAATGTCCCGTTGCTCTGGAGTATTACTTGTGGAAAGAGCGGCTTCAACTAATTTGGGTAAAGTGTAATGTCTCTGAGCCAATTCAGGGGGTAATAGATGACTGGATAGATGGAGTAATTCACCGACTAATATGATTGCTCGAACTGAATTTTCTGTATCACTTGGGACAATGATCACATCGACTAGACCATCCAGAAGACCATTTGTAAGAAAGGTATATAAAAGTAGGGAAAGGTAATTGTCCACTAGATTGGCTCGTTGTTTTGAAATATGGGGTAAAAGGTAACGTCCTTCAGCGGCAATGAAACCATCATAAAGATGCCAATTGTCTTGAATGATTGATGGATTACAAGAGTCAAGAGCTGCGGTAAAATCAGTTGTCCAGGTAGGAATGGTTAGATAAAATAGTTCAAAGACCAATTCAATTATGTGTTTACGAATATCTCGATAGGGAAGATGAAGCATCTCGATTAATGAGCATAAACTGTTAAATGATGATTTCTCGGAATTTTCTTTAAGTTTACAAATATAAACCATTCCAGGCCAAGATCGTAAGATTGAGAGAAGAGCCGTTTTGGCAGCGGTTAATCGGGTCTCACGTTGTTCACTTGTTTCACTAATATCATCTCGACGTTGAGTATTTAAAGCCAATAAGGGTAATGAGTAATGACAATCGGTAAACGGAGCGACAAATTGTCTAAGATCAATATCTTTACGAAGGTAACATCTTAAATTTGGATCATTGAGGAGAAAAAGTAAACAGCTGATTAAAGCTTCACTAATATGAAGAGATTGATTGGTCATTAGAATACAATCAATTAGAGCAGTTATTCCACCTGATTGACAGCAAACCGATGGATTTAAAAGTGTCATTTCAGCTAAACATCCCATACACGCTCGACCCATCGGATCTTTTTCCGGTCCAATGAAACTGTCCCGAGCAATGGCGATAACACTTCTAACAATTGCCGCTGGTAATGATTCAGGTTTAACGGCTAACAATTTACGAATCAATCGAAGGCATTGTATCCTTTCTGGTAGATTATTTAATTCAATGTCCAATGATCGGGTTATGAGAAGATGTAAATTAATTTTGTACAAAGCGTCAACCGATTCTTGGTTAGTTAAAAGATACCTCATGGCTCTTAATCCGGCGGCTCTCACTTCCGCTGATTCCATGAACAATGTAACTCTAAGGCTGTTGAAAATTGAATAGAAAAGAAAATTATTTCATCAATTATCATGTATTCAGGGGAGAGAAAAAAAATAATAAAAGGAAAAGATATTCAATACTAACCAACATAATATCTCTTCAACTGAAAATCCGACAGTCTCTGAGTTGATGACATTAACTTTGCTACAAAATTTGGTAAAAAAATTAAGATAACTAAGCCTTTGGCCATTGGTGATGCCGGTTTTCAAACAGATAGAAGATAATATTGTTTTTAAATTTTCTCTTGGCCCTTAAAACATTAGAAAAAATAAAAGATTAGTTAGATTATTTTCTCAGGTCACGAATCAGTTTCAAAAGTAAAATCAAAAGGAGATTGAGAAGATTGGATAATGTTTATCAGTAGAAATCTAATGTAACCGGTAAGATGTTGACACTTTTTTTTTGGTTCTGGTTTAAAAATAGTAAATGAAAGGGAGAGAAAAAAGAAATAAAAAAATTCTCATCAATTTCTGTTACATTGAAACAGAATTGAGAATAAAAAACAGCCAGACAATTGGATAAGGAGAGAGAGAGAGAGAGAGAGAGAGAGAGAGAGAGAGAGAGAGAGAGAGAGAGGATGAGAACCTGAAAATTAACAAGTTGTCAATGAACCAAAACTACAGACAAGAATAGAAGACAGTTAACCAGGTTTTATATTTTCTTAAATTCTATTCTTCTGTTTGGTAATAGAAAAATAGAATATCAGTCTCATGTTATTCTAAGAATGATTATAAAAATTAGAAGAAAAAAATAGAGAATAGAAAATCTTGTTTACCTTTGGACCAATCAAGGGAAACATCTTTGTCCAGCACTTCTTTTCTGGCTAAATGGGAGAGCGGAAGGAGAATTAGGTGAATGAGAGAGAGAGAAGAGAGAGAGAGAGAGAGAGAGAGAGAGAGAGAGAGAGATAGAGGTGGATTAAAAGAATAGAGATTAGTTGAGAATCGGTATGAAAAAACGATGAACCATCACCACCATCATGTTGTTGTTGTTGAAGAAAAAAAAACAAGATGATCAATAACAATATCACAGAGAGTTTAAAGATGATGAGAAAATAAGAAACAATCGGTGTGACCTCTTACCTCTGACAGATCTACCACTGCGAATGTTTCGACTACGGTGGACGATTGAAGACATGGTTAATTAATGAACCAAATCGATGAATAATTGGTTTTTCTTGAAAGCAAAAAAGTGAATGATGACAAAAACAACAAAAACAGAATGCGTAACAGACAGAGAGACAGACAGATGTAGAGAGAGAGAGAGAGAGTGAGAAGGAGGGAGAGATGAGTGAGTGAAGAAAGAGAAAGAGAGAGAGTATTTGAATCACTACGCGGCGCACCGATAGTCTGAATATAAACAGAACTAGTGACTCTCCGTTACCGAAGCGATTCCAGGGAGACACCTCACAGTTGCTTCTGGAGCATCTGCCGCTCGTCAAGGGGGTGGGGAGTTCGGCTTCTTGTTACCGATTGTTCAGGATCGGAGCGTTTGGACTCGCCTTTGTTGGGGTTGAACGGAGATCTCAAGTTTATCAAGATGAAAGGTAAGGCTTGACACCGGTGCGAATCAGTGGATTACAGAGGAGGAAAAATTCATTGGACAAAAAGCGGGAGAGGAAGAGACAAAGGAAGATGAAGAAAAAGAAAATGGGAAAAAGAAACTGAGAGAGTCGATTGAGGTAAAAAACACTGATGAGAGTGAGAATGTTTCATTTGGTGCTAATGTCGGTGCGATGGAGATGAAGGTGAGGTGAGGGGAACGAAGCTGAATCGGGTAAATAATCGTGTTCATTATGGTGGGAGAGATAATTCATCACATTTACGATTGAACTTTGGGTTAATTATAATTGAGAGTAAAATGAAAATGGTTGATTGTTATTCATTGAAGAAAAATGAGAGAGTGAGAGAGAAATGAAGATTATGAATGAAAAGGAAGAGAAAAAAAAATTAATATGATAAAATACAAGGAAATGAATGAAAATCAACGAGAGAGAGCCAAAAGTGAGCGATATTAATTGTTTACTAATTAATCGAGCAAATCAATTGAAGAAATTGATTTGATTGAAAGTTTCAGTTGTTACAATTAACTTGTTATAATATTATTGTTGATTTCTAATAATATCAATTGATGATTTTTAGGTGAGTTTGAACAGTTAATTGTTAATTGTTTGTTGATTGTGATGTTAATTGATGTTCACACACCCATAATCAAATTGTTGAATCTGAAATTGATCATCAATTGACAATCAGAGATGATTAAACAATAGCTGTGATTGGAAAGCAAGCAAATTAACAATTAATTATTATGATAGGTAACAAAAACTATTAGAATCACTTAATTGTTGTCCTAAATTTACAAAATCATATTAATTGTTGACCCTTTCAAGGTCTTGGTCTCTTGTGGCTAAATTGATTGTTAGTTAATTCAGGTATGAAATTAATCAGTGTTGATTAGATTTAGAAAATTGAAATTTACAACTTTAAGGTGGACATTAATTAACTTTAATTAGTTTGATGTCAATTGATTGAGTTAATCCTTTGATTTAATCTCAACCCTCTAAATTGTTGTTGATTGAATCTAATTGATTGTTGACCTGTTCAATTGGTTGGTAACTCAATCTGAATCATTTAATTGGCCTTTAATTGTTTAATAATTTTATTTGATTATGATTGTGTTTTAATCACAACAAACCCGAAAAGTTAATTGTTATTATCAAGTTGATTTAATTGTTTCTTTTGGCTTCAATTTTGATCTGTTAACAAATTGATTGATTGACTTTCATCTGATTTATTGATTACCTTATTTACTGAAAATTAGTACAAATTATTAGTTGATTGTTTCATATATAAATTGTCTCATTTTTCATAATCTCATCTTGATTTCATTGATTATTTATTAAAAAACAATCATCAACATAACCTACAATTATAATCTAATTATTGTTTCCTCCTCTTACCATTGATATTGATTTTGTTGATTGTTGTGAAATTAATATTTAATTATTAATTGTTTTCAGTAAAAATCATTAATCTAATCATTGATCAGAAATTATCACAACTTTCACTTACTCAAAAATAAGATAATATCTTAATTATCCAATTTCAATAATCATAAACCCTACAAAGTTTAATGATTAAATCTCACTGATTGTCAACTGGAAAATTGTCTCAATTAATTAAATAAAAAAATTGACGAAATTCGGTTATTTAATCTGCCGATAGATGGAAGCAGGAGAAATGAAAACAAATTGTTTTTTGTTTTAATTGTTGTGATGATTACGATTAATGGTAAGACGATAATCAATTGAAAATGATCAATTGACAAACAATAATTAGCAAATTAATTATCTAAAAATGATGGATACTAAAGGATATTTTCATTTTGAAGGTTAAATTGTATTGTGATTGATTATTAAATAGATTTCAACTTTTGTACTTTTAATTCAAATAATTAACTAATTTGAAATTCTGACCATGAACCTATTGATTACAAGTTGGATGATTATATTACTAAATTATTGTTCAACATGTAAATTATCCTACGTTGATCAACAGCAATCAGCTCAACAATTAAATTGTTCTCACCATTGGAAAATATTTCTGTTTTTGATGTTGATCAGCAAACGAAATTAACTAATCAGGTAACAATCAATAAAGGACAAAATCCTAATCGTACATTTAAAGTGATTGGATCAACAATTGAATCAATCAAACAATTACAAAAAATCACAGCCTCAAGTAAGATAATTAAAATTGAATTTAATGAAACCAGCGGAGAGGGATCATTAATTGCTCCGGACTGGTGGCATAGATTAATGGAAAAAGATTTCATAATTTACGATTGATTATGATTAAAATTCATTTCTCTTAATTGTAACAATTTCAATGGTTTAAGATGAAAAAAATAAACAATAAGTTTAAAAAAAGATTCAGATAAATCACCGATCCTTTAAATTATTTTATCAGATTCACTTTGTAGTTTCATTTATTGAACAACAATTCAAAGGGATAATCAAATTTAATCACCATGAACATCATGAGATAATGAACAATAATAATTCAAATTGATAGTAAACAAAAAAAATAGGTAAAAGCAATTGAGATGATGATGATAATAGGATGAAGATGATGATGAAAGGATGAGGATGAGGATAAAAAAGCGAGTGAAATGATTATATAAAAAAAAACGAGTTCGTCCTGATGCTTTTTATATATTCATTGGTCGATTGAGGTCATTTATTTTTTGAGAACTGGTCATCATTCAGTCTCATCATGAAACTGCAACATCAACGATAATCAGTTGATGATGAACAATCAAAGGTTAGATTGTTGATCAAATAACTAAACTTTTCTCTGTGTGTTAAAAATCATCATGACTTTAAAGGATGAAATTGATTACGATCCTGAGCCAAGGTCAGTTTTGTTTATATTGGTTAAAGTTTTATCCCTAATTGCGATCATGTGTTTGATTGTTTACAAAATTCAATCAATACCAACAAATCAAATCAATTCTTCTATAAATCAATCAATCCCTTGGAATCATTCGGAAAATTATAACGGTCATGTTATCGATAGAATGGAAATGGAAAATGCTCTTCTTGCCATTGGAACAACTTTTACTTTCATCATCCATGTGATCGGACTTTTGGCCGTAATTCGTGAACACCATTGGCTTTTATTCATCTATTCAACTTATCTTTCATGTACCGTTCTAATTAATGTCCTTCCGGTCCTTCATTATCCTCCGTTAATGGTCAATATGGCGGTGAATTTGGCCACTGGACTTTTAACCTTCGCTTTGGCCTTAATGTCACGGAATCGATTTCTCCTTCCACCTTTCATGCCGAGCGAGGAAACGATTTAGTTTAAAAAACAATCAAAATCTCTTGAAAATCTACTAATTATTCAACCAAAGAGCTTAACAACATTTTCACCAATTCTCACTGTTAATTAATCATCGTTTTCTCAGTTTAATTGTTTAACAATTAACTTTATCAGCTTCAATCACTGCCCTTCCATTGAGACCCAACTATCAACCTTAATTTTCAGTTATCTTTATTTGATTAGTTGATTTTATTTTTTTTTTCCTTAATTTTGTTCTTAATTGTGGTAACTTAAATTGCTACAAGATGGAAATATTATTTTTAAATTGTTCAATTAAAACTTTTCTTGATCTAAACAAACAAAATTAATCAACAGTCAAGTTGGATGTTTTTTTAATATTTTAATTTTAAAATATTGGTCATGAGCTTTGAATTTGTTTTTGATTTAAATCAAATTTTTTTTTTACAATGCAGAAGTATTTACAATAATTAACTTATTATTGCTGTTATACAATAAATTGTTTACATTAGCGGAGTAGATTGTCTTTCTGTTTATAACGATAATTCAATAAACGTTATAGTTGTAGTCTTAATCAATGTATTAGGATAATAATTGATTTAATCGGTGAAAACAACTTCTAGAGAATCGTCAGAGTCATAAATTGTTTCATCTTCTTTGAATGAAAACAATTCACTTGCAACAGAATCATTTATTTTTGTCGGTTTAATTGTGGACTCATCTTTCACTGAAGGTTCCAGGAAACTCATGATTGAGGTTAAGAAATTAGGTGAGGATAGAGAAGTATGGAAATTGTTATTCTTATCGGTTGTTGGATTGTTTTTCGAGGTGATGTCGGTTTTTTTCGCGTTTAATTTATCCAACAATTCCTCTGAATGTCGTATTCTGATGTCACGAAGTTGTGAGTATAAAAGTCGCTCTCGATTTACAAATTGTTGAGCTTCTTGGACACCCAATTCAGCTGCTCGGTGTAATAAACTCATTCCTTTGGCTTTGTCCATTTCAATAGGTTGTTTACCGTAAAGGTAAATCAAAGCTAAATTGTAATGAGCCATTCGATGACCTAATGAAGCAGCATTGGTGTAATATTTTGAAGCGATGCTATAATTTGGTTGACCATTGATTGGATCATGTTGACCAGATTCGTAAACGATTCCCAATGCATTTCTCTGTGATCCATTTTGATTATCCTGTCCAGTAGATGATGAAGAAGATGAATTATTTGAATTGCTACAATTTGAACTGTCACTTTTTTCGTTTCCATTCAAGGTGAACTTTCTAGATACAATTGATCCAAAAGCTTTACACCAATTAAACTGCAATACTAGTTCATCAATCTAAACGTTTAGCAAACTAATTGGAAAAACTAGTAACTAGTAACCATTAATTACTAATTACTAATTGCTAAGTGATTTTTTACTTGACATTGTCACAAAGGAAAACATAACATAAAATGACTTGAACATTTTCGCTTCTTCTTCCCCTTCAACCAATCAGGTGAACAGGTGGTAAGGCATAAGATATGTCCGTCAGCTCGATATCTTCACTTTGAGCTGATTTTTTTTCGGCTTAAAGTTCAAGCTACATATGAAAATGGACTTAATTGTTCAGTTAATTGTGTTTGTTTAAATTAGGTTAGGTTAGGTCTTCGCTAATAAGGGTCACCATGACCAAAAAAAGCCCGGAGGGCCTGAGACAATCAAACCGAACCTTAAGCCGAAAAAAAATCAGCTTTAAGTGAAAATGTTGAGCTGACATACACTTGTATCGCCTTACCAAGAAATGAAAACAAAAACATTAACATGTGTTTCTCTCAAGCGCCTCCTGGTGCATAGAAATCAGTGAGTTCCAATTGTGTTCAGATTATTATTTACAAAATTTTTCTGCTAATTAATTGATTAGTTTGATTAATTTTCTTTTTTTATTCATAGTAATTCAAAGATAAACAACATGTTTACTTTAAGAAGAGTTCTACCTGGAGTTTCTTTGCTTAGAAATGAATCAATAACCATGAAGAAAATAATTGAATCTGATTTTCTAAAATAATCTCAATGGTAAGTTGAGTTAACATTTGAAGAGATTTTAATTTTGATTTTGACTTTAATTGTATTTCTTTTTTTTTATTTTAGTTTTCGGGTTTTTTCATTGATATTTAAAAATAGTAAATTGAGTATTATGTCACAAAATATTGGAGAAAAGGTGAATTTTAATGGTCAGAATTTAGCTAAAAGTAAAGGTGATGACTTGGAATTCAGTAAAATAACTGAAGCTGATAATTTGAAATTGTATTTTAATAAAGTTAATCAAACAATTGATTCAACTTCAAAGGATCGTCACTTTGCTGTTGTTTACATGTACAGTAAACAGAAACTTTTAACCGAAGGTGATATGTTTTACGTGTTAAAAGATTTACCTGCTAATCCTGGTGATAGAATTAAATTGGAAAGATAATGATGATTGAAATGATAAATTAACTCTCGTTGAAGACCTTTGCTAGATCGTAACTTGGTTCATGGGACAGTTATTGAAAGACTCATAGTCACACTTTTATGGGCTTGGTCCAAAAGCGTTCTCATCGTTTCCGTCGATATTATTTCCAACGTAAACCATTAACGATTTTGAGAATTAATGAAATTCGTATTTGTCATCATATTAACGAATCACATAGTTTTCTCCAATAATCATTTTCATTTTCCTTCGAAATTAACTTAAAGCTTAAACTTCGCGCCAAAACTCAGTTACTATGACGACCGATTCGCAACCGAATTTTCAAATTTTGAAATAGTCAGTTCAACTCAGTTGGTTTATAACTTTGTCAACCACTTGCTTGTGATTAAATATTTCAATTTTTTATTTAGTAAATTTAATTGTTACCATTCTAATTTTTGTGATTTTTTTCAAAAATTTGTTTTCCACTTTGTCGATATCAATATGTCACAAGAAATACCATCGATCCTTTCATGTTCTTTGTATCAACAAGTGAAGAAAAAGAAAAGAATTTCTTTTTCACAAAATATGGTTTTTCAAGAACTTTATGAAGATGGAACTACAAGAACGTATCATGAGAAAATTGCCGATGAGCTAACACCATCACTGGATGAGATGATGGTGACTCTGGAAGAATCTGATTCTGTCCATAACACTACGCTTTATGATTTTAATATGGTGATTTCTTCACCATCACCATCACCATCACCATCACCATCACAATCAACATCACCCATCATCTCACCAACCACCTCGCCAACCACCTCGCTGATCTCTCTCAGTGATTCTGGATCAACAGAACAAAGCTCTTGTGCTTCAATTGAATTTTCTCGTAAAGATTATTCCACTTTCGAGAGCAGATATGACGACTCAATCCTTTTTTATGTTGATAAAAAATCAACTCTCGAATTGAGCTCAGAAGAAGAAGTTTCTCAACAAATCGAACACAACTCAACCTTCGTTGGCTCTTTATTTGTTGATGATGTTTCAATGGTTGAAGATGAATCAACGAGTGGTGATGATGTTTTCAACTTTATTGATAACTCAATCTTCACGAAAGTACCTGAAGCTAATATAGATCTTTCATTAATCGATCCAAGATTCCACAAGTTTGTCGTTATATTAGATCACGATGGTGCCGTTTTGAAATTTATGAACGGAAATTTTCTCATTCATTTAAAATATTCGGTATCCAATATTGACACTGCCGAAGTTAAATTGGAAGACATCACAATTGAATCTTGTATTGATAAGAAAATCAACTCTCAAGGATTAGCCCAATTAAGTGAATATAGTGTTCATCATTTAACTAAATCAGATGATAAATTGATTCGTTTAATCAAGAAGACAGTGGCCATTAAATTCGACCAGTTCAAGAAACAAAAAGGAACAACAACAGCCTTATTGACAACGATCATTAATGATCTTCAAAAGATTTTCCATCAAATTGTAGCTCTTTTTGTTGATCTGCTTAATGTTTGTCGTTTTCATGAATGGAAAATCATAAACGCCAATATTGCTAATTTTGAGTAAGTATTCAAAATTGATTTTCGATTCGATTGTTTTTTTCCAATTCAGTTTTAACAATATAAATCTTATTTTCACAGGATCTCTTTTGAAATCAAAGGTCTAAGATACTCACTTTGGCTTATTTTGTGTTTCGATCTCCTAAATTATCCAAATGACACGATTAAAGTTAAATTCGGTATTCACAAAGCTGATCTCAAACTTTACCCGTAAGTAAATTTATTTTGATTTATATGATTTGATTGTAATAAATATTTATATTGTTCAAATTTTTCAGGTATCATCTTTTTCACAAAAAGATTAGATCAGTTCCCTCTGGATCCTATAAATACATTGGTCAAATAGTTGAAACGGCCAAAAAGTTCATCTTCGATTGGCGAAGTGGTCATAAGTCAAAGGCTATTAGACTCTCTATCAGACAATTAATTAAAGTTTATTAACGAACCAGAGCTTAATCAAGAAGTCTAATTGTAAATCAAACAAGTTAATTGCAATTAAAAGTTAAAAATGATCAAACCATCAGAATCAGTTTTCCTAATAATTAATGGATTCTTAATCATTGGCTTGGTAACTTCATTAACCATAAGGGATTTAAGGCCTTGTCCAAACACAGGTAAATTTTAACCCGACAATTAAATCATCAACAATCAAGAAGTAATTAAATTACCTCTTTAATTGGATTTTATTTAGCTGCTCCATTGTTAAATTCAGTTGTCGCAATTAACTGTACAGAGGAACCATGTTTCTTTGGCAAAGTTAACGGTCTCTCATTTCAATTCATTCTAACACCAGGTAAGTAATTAGTTTAATTGTCTAAAATATTTCCAATTAAGAATAATATTGAAACTTTGCTCTTTAATTGTAGACAAATCGGTATCAGCGGTGAATCTGCAGTTAACTGCCGTCGATGGTTATGGAAACAACTACGACATCGATACTGTCCAACGAACTACTTGTGCCGATAATAGTAATTACTGTGAATTAGAGGCCAATGTCCCTCGATGTTTTTCCGCTGGTGTCCGTCGTCGTTATCTACCTGACGATGATCGTACCGATTACTTTACCTTTCAAGCTCGATTTACCGATTCAAGGGGCTACTGTGTGGCCTGTAGCCGCTTCCTTTTAAACACTTACATCAGATACACCAGAGAAACATATGATTACACAACGACCACACCTCGACCTTACATCAACAATCAACAAGGAAACATTTATGGGACAACATCCCGACCGATCTACACGACCGCTAAACCCTATCAGCCCCAATCCACTTATATTGGCCTGGAAAATGCCCGACCGATTGGTTCATCTTTCACATTTGATAAAAAAATCATCGATAATTAATTAGCTGATTATCAACAAATTGCGAAACAGTTTTCCCTCTTACTCCTTTAATTTGTCAATCAAAATTAAACCTTCTTAACTTGATAATCCTGATGATCGATTATCCTTGAATCAAATTATCATCAATTAATAATCTATTAATACATGTAATTCAATTTTCTAGAATAAAAGTAAAACTTGACCAATCAAATTAACAAAAAGTATATTAACCTTTTTGTTTACTTTTACAATTAACTACATAACTATTACGAATAATAGTTAATTGTTTGGTTTAAATAAAAATGAATCGATTTCAATTTGATTGAGAAATTGAATCAGTCAATTTCTCAAGGGTAGAAAATTGAATCAAAAGATGAAACGAATCAATTGATTGGTTGTAACAATTTATGTGATTTTTAATCTGTTTACATTTTTGTTTTTAATATAAGAAATTAGATTTAATTTAATGATAATAATTTAAAAACTTGACATAATCGTAGTATTAAATGTAGAGATGCTTTTAAATTATCAATTTACCTGATTGTTTGAAGTTTGTTGTTGTTGTTGTTCAAGCTTTTAAAATGTAACAGGTTAAATCTATGGTAAATTGTGTAAATTGATTTGATTGTAATAATTGATTGGTAAAATTGTAAACAAAAATAATTTGATTGTAAATTGATTCCTTTCTCTGGTATTAATTTGTTTCTTGATTTCAATTGGGTTTACCCTAAGTGTTCATGTTTTTGTTTTCTTACTTATTGTAAATATTGTAAAACTGAAATTAGATTGTAAATGTTAATCTATAATCTAAATTGTTTGAAATTACAATTTATGCAAATGAATCTCAGCTTTACGTCGTTTCGCCCTGTGGTCAATTGAAAAGGACGAGGTTGGTGAGTCCTTTATATCCTGAATATCTTTCATCGTACAGATCCATAAAGGTTGAACTACATCGAATATTTTATTTTCCTAATAATTGAGTAGCAGCATCAATGTCGGAGCCATGAATCTATCTTTATCCATGGTCTGTGAAATGAATCAATTGGAGAGAGAGTTAACTCAAAATTGATTGTATTGAAATCTCTTGGCAAATTATTATGTAACTTACTTGACAACATCTCTAACCAATGCATAAACGGCTTCTAATGGTTTTGTTGATTTAAGTGGCCTGAGGAATTCGATCGCCTGACATGCAGCTAATGTACCGTTCTAATTAATGTCCTTCCGGTCCTTCATTATCCTCCGTTAATGGTCAACATGGCGGTGAATTTGGCCACTGGACTTTTAACCTTCGCTTTGGCCTTAATGTCACGGAATCGATTTCTCCTTCCACCTTTCATGCCGAGCGAGGAAACGATTTAGTTTAAAAAACAATCAAAATCTCTTGAAAATCTACTAATTATTCAACCAAAGAGCTTAACAACATTTTCACCAATTCTCACTGTTAATTAATCATCGTTTTCTCAGTTTAATTGTTTAACAATTAACTTTATCAGCTTCAATCACTGCCTTTCCATTGAGACCCAACTATCAACCTTAATTTTCAGTTATCTTTATTTGATTAGTTGATTTTATTTTTTTTTTCCTTAATTTTGTTCTTAATTGTGGTAACTTAAATTGCTACAAGATGGAAATATTATTTTTAAATTGTTCAATTAAAACTTTTCTTGATCTAAACAAACAAAATTAATCAACAGTCAAGTTGGATGTTTTTTTAATATTTTAATTTTAAAATATTGGTCATGAGCTTTGAATTTGTTTTTGATTTAAATCAAATTTTTTTTACAATGCAGAAGTATTTACAATAATTAACTTATTATTGCTGTTATACAATAAATTGTTTACATTAGCGGAGTAGATTGTCTTTCTGTTTATAACGATAATTCAATAAACGTTATAGTTGTAGTCTTAATCAATGTATTAGGATAATAATTGATTTAATCGGTGAAAACAACTTCTAGAGAATCGTCAGAGTCATAAATTGTTTCATCTTCTTTGAATGAAAACAATTCACTTGCAACAGAATCATTTATTTTTGTCGGTTTAATTGTGGACTCATCTTTCACTGAAGGTTCCAGGAAACTCATGATTGAGGTTAAGAAATTAGGTGAGGATAGAGAAGTATGGAAATTGTTATTCTTATCGGTTGTTGGATTGTTTTTCGAGGTGATGTCGGTTTTTTTCGCGTTTAATTTATCCAACAATTCCTCTGAATGTCGTATTCTGATGTCACGAAGTTGTGAGTATAAAAGTCGCTCTCGATTTACAAATTGTTGAGCTTCTTGGACACCCAATTCAGCTGCTCGGTGTAATAAACTCATTCCTTTGGCTTTGTCCATTTCAATAGGTTGTTTACCGTAAAGGTAAATCAAAGCTAAATTGTAATGAGCCATTCGATGACCTAATGAAGCAGCATTGGTGTAATATTTTGAAGCGATGCTATAATTTGGTTGACCATTGATTGGATCATGTTGACCAGATTCGTACACGATTCCCAAGTTGAACATGGCTTTGGCACTTTTGGGACAAGATTTGAGTAAACTAATTGCTTTATCAATCTGATTTCTTTGTAAAAGTACTGAGGCTTGCAGATTCTTTAGCTCATCAGTAAAAAGATCCAACTCAGATCTCATATTTTCAACAATTCTGTCAATCACATTAGTATCTGCACAAGAGAAAGAGACAAAATTGGAGAAATTAGAAATGCTCGAAAAATAAATGTATTCTATCATTCGGTCACTTGAATGGAGAAACTTACCTTTGATTGAAGATTCTTCATGTTGAATCTCTTTATCACTCTCAAACGATGATAATGAGCTAGAAGATGACGATGATGCCGATGAAACAGGAAGAACGTGAAAAGGTAGAACATTGAAATTCTGTTGATATGAAGATGGATTCAAATTGGATACAAGATGAGGTAAATTCTTGTTCAATGAATAGAGAAAAGAGCAACCATGATGATCTTCAGAAGTAGCCAAAGATGGAGAAGATAAATAATCAGTTCCAAAGGAAGGAGAAGATGATTTAAATCGAATACAATCAGTATGAAATTTATGGCCAATTATAATTAGACTTCCAAATATTCCAATTGAATGGAAAAACATTCGCTGAAGATCAACAAAACCCTCTAAACGACATTGATAAGATTTTTTTCCAGATGCATTTCTCTGTGATCCATTTTGATTATCCTGTCCAGTAGATGATGAAGAAGATGAATTATTTGAATTGCTACAATTTGAACTGTCACTTTTTTCGTTTCCATTCAAGGTGAACTTTCTAGATACAATTGATCCAAAAGCTTTACGACTGGTTGCACGTAACATGGTGGCAATTGTATCACTTTAACCAGAATGATCCAGAACACACCAATTAAACTGCAATACTAGTTCATCAATCTAAACGTTTAGCAAACTAATTGGAAAAACTAGTTACTAGTAACCATTAATTACTAATTACTAATTGCTAAGTGATTTTTTACTTGACATTGTCACAAAGGAAAACAACATAAAATGACTTGAACATTTTCGCTTCTTCTTCCCCTTCAACCAATCAGGTGAACAACAAGTAGTTTCCAATAGAAACAGCGGTTACTCTGAAATCCATTTACAGAAATTAATTGATTCACTTGATTTCCAAATTTCACATGAATTAATAGAAACACAAATAAATTAGATGAGAAATTGTTTTTTCTTCATCAACATTAACACTTTTCTATTAACAATAATCGTTAAATTTTTCCATTAGAGTTACAAATAAAGATGGAGAACAAAAAAAGCTACACCAACAATTAGCTTCTAATTAGAATAATAATTTAGTGTTATTCTTGTTGTAATGGTGATTAATTGAGAAGAACTGGAAAAAAACTGTCACTTTATCAATAAGAAAATCATCACAATTAAATTAAAATAAATTATCAAGAGAATGACAAAGAAAATAAATTCAATCGATTAAAAATTAAAAAGAACAAAAAAATTCGATTATGTTTTCTGCCGATAGATGGAAACAGAGTAAATGTAAACAAATGTTTTTCTTATTTTTTCATTACAAAAATTGATGAACAATTGATTAATCGGCTTAATTGCTCTTTAGTTTTGTTTATGTTGTAGAAAATTTTCTTCTTTTGATTTTAATTGTTGTCTGTTTGTAACAGTTTCACCTGTGACCTGTGGATTGAGCGATTATTTCATTGAGAATGTCAAAAGAATCTAAATATGCTAATCTACCTTATATTGCTTGGGATGAACCTGAGGTTTATGAGACTCCTGATTTACCCGAAGTTGATCAAGAATTTAAAAGAAATGTTGATATTGAATCGGTAGATGATTCATCTGAAAGAATTGAAATAATCAATGTTGATGTGAAAAAGTCATTCGAGAAATTCAGCTCCACCGAGTGTGGTGATTTAATCAGTGAACCGATTATTGAGACACCTTTACAACAATATTCAAGATTAGACACCGAGGTAACTAATTTGGCCCAAACATTGGATTATATTCAAAAGAAACGAGAAGGAAAAAGCCAAGATTTTGGTTGGTGTCCATCTAAATGGTTCTATTTGTATTGATATATTAGGTAGACGATTTAACTCGGTTTTGTCTCAATTTGTTTTGTTTTTCTATTCTTTTTCTTTTTAAGGTGACATTTTGGCCGATATAACTAAATTAGAGGCTAAACTGCGATCATGTAAACTTGCAATCGATGGTATCCCTTTGGAATTACAGTTACAATCAAGTGATGAAGGAAAATCAACTGATGGCCAAGTAACTACCAGCGGGTCGAAAGCTGTTAAAAAATTTGAACACAATTCATTAACCAAATTAACTTCTCTTGAGAGTAGAATTAAAAGATTGGAGAATTTATTAGATCATGATGATGATCAGTTAACTTGTATCTACTATTATACTAATGAAAGAAGCTTAAGTGGAGCGGTTCGCTCGATTACCAGTAAAGTGTCCATGTTGGATGGTAACAATTTAGATCAACTTGACCAGCGAGTCTCCGCTTTAATTCAAAAGCTTAATCAACTTGCTGACAAGAAAAATTTACTCGAAGAGTCTCAAAGTAAAAGCCGAATCAATGAGCTTTATGATCTGGTTACCAAAGGAGAGAAAAATTTATCAATCTTATATGAAGTGGCCGCTCGATTGAACATTTTGGCCGAAGTGGAGGAAGAAGCCTTGAATTTTAGTTCCGCTTTGACAATGATGGAAAGTAAAACAGAGGCAAATGAAAATTGCCTTCAACAATTAAACACCGAATTGTCAGCTTTAAAATCATCATTCCAAAATTTTGAACAATCAATGGAGAAACAATTAACTGAAATGGACAAAAGAGTCAACGCTTTGAAGTGAAATTAGCTTTAGTCTATTAATTAACCTTAAAGTTTCATCAGAATTTGGATTCAACATTGATTCTCATCGATTGAAATTCGAGACACAATCAAGTTAATATTTGGTGGATCATTTTTTCTTACCCATTAATATGATATAACCTTTAAAAGGATTAAATTAATCAATTATTTCACGATAATTAAACAACAGAGACAATTTAATTTCTTTTTTTGTGATGAGGCTCGATGAAGTTTATTTAGGATGATCATTGGATAGGAAATGATGTAACATCATGTTACATGGTTATGATTGTGATTTAAATTTTGTGTCAGTGAAGGAGGATAATTAAATTTATTATTTCCAATGAAATTTTTTTTTCTTCTTTCAAACACTTAAGAGAAACGCCTTTTAGTTAATTAGTCTTGAAATACTAACAATCTTTTCATTTTTAAACTAATATTAGCGTTTGTTTTGTTTTCTTTCTTGTTGATTAACCAAAAAGGTTTTTTTAGCTCTGTTAATTATTGTCTCATCACATTTCTATGAGTAAACAATAATTTATGAGAAAATGAAAAATTCTGAAAATGGGTGAGGTTCCTAGTATTTAAAGCGATTACCAAATAGGCGACTAAACACTTCTAACTAACGGGTGGTTTATATAGTCGACGTGTTTTCTTTTTATGGCATCACAAGTACTTTTGTTTTATAACATAAAATGTTGTAGCGGTGGTGATGATAGAAAAAGGAAAGAGAGAGAAAGAGAGAGAGGAGAGGGAGAGGGAGATAAATGAAAAGAGAAGGTAGATTCTCATGAGTTCCATGTTTTCGAGGTGGATTTTGATTACTTTTCTTTCACTGATATGAAGATTGGTGTTGATTTCCAATGAGAGCAGATCGAATCTTAGAAACAAACTCAGAATCAGTTTGGATAAGATGGATGAGTACATTTTTCAACTGATCAAGTGGAAGTTGAGGATCGTAAAGGTTTGATTGATTAAGTGAACGATTGGTTATTATCGATGACTGATGTCGAGAATGATCTTGATGGTTGGAGTGTTGAGAACTGTGATGTCCACCAAAATTATATGAATCATCGATCGATGGGACTAGATCGGGACTGGAGTAAATTCCTACCGGTGGTTGTCTATCATCTTCTTTAACTATTGATTTATCTTTATTTGATCTTTCCTTAATCATGGCTGGGGTTAACATTTCCTCCTGAGAATCACTTGAAACCATTAATGAAGGTTCACCAGAATCATCTGCTTTAGCTCTATCAAGATCGTAGATTAAATTGATTGGAGCAAATTGGTTACGTGAAGCAGTTTTCGGTGTATGTCGAGAATCGGTTGATATTGATGATTGTGAAATATTGGCTCCTACTCCTTGTGCCAATGATGCTTGAGCAAATAAATCTTGTACATTAACCGATCTACCACCATTTTCTAGCTTTTGTTTATCCAAACTATTACTTGGTGTACTCATAAGTTCACTGGGATCTAAATTTTTACCATCATTGTGAATACAAGGGTCCAACCCTTTAGAAGCACTTTTGGAGACGGTAACGTTTTTAATACCAATTTTAGCTATGATTTGACCGTCAACCCAAAAGAGAAAGATCCAAAAAAGCAAATAGATTACATTGAGAATCGATTGAAAAGGAGAGAAAGAAAACCAATTAGTATTTATAGCTAATGCTGAATAAATTTCTGGATAAAAAAAGATTGAAAGTAAATAAATCAATCAAATCTCTTACCCAATGTATCAACGAAAGATTCAACAGGCTGAGAACCATGAGAATCACCAGTGTTTGGACCATTTCTGGTTAAACTTGCAATTTCACTCATTAATAGTGCAGCAGTTTGTTTACATTCATCATCGAGATAAAACCAAATACAAAAGATTCCCTTTTCAAGATTTTTCATCATCAAATATGGCAATTCAATTTTAACATCAGTGTCCTTTGTAATCGGCTGAATCAAATTTTGAGTATCCAATCTGTTCATGACAATCAGGGCAGTTCTTGGATAAGTTGATCGTCTAACAACATGTAATGGACCCTCAATAGGTAATTTATCCCATTTTTTACCATCAATGGAAAACTGATAAACAGTTACAGCCGAAGCAGTTGAAAGGATTTCCACAACTGAATTATCCATTCGCTTGAGATTCCTAAGGTTAATCTCATCTCGACCTTTGTCACTTCGCTGATTGGACATAATGATCACTATTATCGACGCTTTAACAATACTAAAGAAAGAAAATAAATGATTAGCAGATCAAATTTAATGTGGAAAAGAATTAACAAAACAAAAATAATTAACTCGATGGAAAATTAAATATCAGAGTAAAAAAAAAAGAAACAAACAAAAAAACAAATGAGATTTTCTCAGAAATCGATTAATCGAAATTCTTTTCAATATTTTTTCGATTATCGATTGTATCGCTTATAGGAAATTCATTTGAACAAAAGTAAATATTGTTTTCTAAAATCTTAACATCTGAATGTTAATCTTTATTAAACAAACAATTAAGTTAATTTTTTGTTCTAAATGTAACTGTTTTAATCTTAATTATAGTTACTAATGAATAAACATCCAAGTTTAACCAGTAATGGTCTAACCATTGGTGATTCACATGGCTCTCAATCAATTGATAAATTGGGTAAGTGTTTTTTTTTTGTTAACTAGTTTTTTGTTTAGTTTTCATTTCTTATTGAAATTTAGATTTAATTTGTTTATTTCAAATGTTACTTTTTTGTTACTTTTCTATAAATTGTATTTGTTCAATTGTTTTGTTTTGTTGTTCTTTCGAATTAATTTTCGTTGTTTCTTTGTTAACTGAATTGTAATCTATTTTCTCTGGTTTTCTTTTCTTTTTTCTTCTGTTTTTGTAGCTAAAAATTGTAGCGTCTCCAAAAGTGTTTCTAAAGGGTTGGACTCTTGTAATAACAACGCTGGTAAAAATTTAGATCCCAGTGAACTAATGAGTTTACCAAAAACAGTATCTTGTAATCAATCAACTTTAAACAATTTAAATGATGATCTGGTTAAGGGTAAAACGGGTGATTCAGGTGGAAAATTGATAACACCTCCTTGTGATACAAATAGAAGGCCATCAGTTTATTTTTGTCTTTTTTGTGATAAAACATATTCTAAATTCAATCTTGCCTTACTACACATTCGTGCTCATATTAAATTTGGTTACCATTGCAAGTATGGTGATAATCATTTTGATCTCTATCCATCTTATATGGCCCATCATGTACGTGAAGAGCACCCAAATGAACCGGTTGAATTTGAAGACGATTTTAAGGAGAGGAAAAATATTCATAGTTGGATTATTGATTTTCTCAATGAACAATTTACCGCTTCAAAGTTAACTGATGAAGATGCTGTCGTTCAATCGCCAAACTCTTGGGTTCATTGTTCAATCTGTGTGAAAGCAGCTAAATACAAGAAAAAGAAACCTGTTAAATTTTATTCCATAAGAACGTTAGAAAGACACTTTTGGCAACACACTAGATGGTGGAAAGTTGATTGTAATATTTGTGGTGCCTCAATGCAACGTGCACATCAAATAGATCACCTTGTCGAACATGAAATTTTCATGGATGATTCAAATCCTAACCCAATAAAACGTAAGTCATTTTCCGATAATTTATTAATTTCTTTAATTCCTACAACTATTAATAATCAGAATTTTCTGAACCTCGTTCTGTTTTTCTCTCCCTCCCTTTCTCTCCCTCTTCTTTATCTTTATCTTTCTTTTATCCATTTCAGTTTTTGAAATCCACTTCAAGGAAAGAATTGATACAATAATAGCGAGAAAGTTGGAACTTATTGCAGAAAAGCAAGAGAAGGAATTTTATGATCGCTTTGCAACTCATCGTGGCTGCAAACTCACCCTTAATCTTAAATTAACACCTTGTGATTCCGATTTAAACTTTTTAAAGAAGAAGAAAGTTTTACCTATTAAAGCCTCTAAACCAGTTGAGGAAAACCCGAACTCCCTTAAGGCGGACAATAAACTGATTAAGGCTGATAAACCTAAATCAACTGCTCCACCACCACCACCGCCGCCGCCACCGCGAGCTAAATCCCGTGCTGAAGAGATTCACGATGAACTTGAAGCAGAAGAAGCAATAAGACTGGCAATTAAAATCTTAACTGGAGGTGGTGAATCTCCTCAATCTGATAATTCATCCATTGAAAACGAACCTCCAACTGCACAATGTCAACAAAATAAAACAAAACCTGATGCCAAAAATGATGAGAAAAGTGTATCACCTAAAACTCAAACTTCAAAAAACGTGGATAATTTACAGATATCAGATAATCAAGTGTCTGATGGAAGAGATAATGGTAAGGAATCAAACTCTTTGCGGAAGGATCAACAATTAACAGATATTTCATCAAATGTACAAAATACAAGCCCAGAAATTACTACTAAAATTACTGAAAATCTTAATGTTGATTCTTCCTCAGCTTCAGGTATTTTACCTGATGGCCAATTCAAAATTCCAACCTTGATTGATACCAATGTTGACAGATTAATATCCGATGATCATCAAACAGTAGATATGCAAATTGATCCAACTCCTTTATCTTCACCAATGGCTTCAACATGCTCGTCATCATCTTTACTCAATCCATCGCCATTATTTCCTTCATTGAAAACCCCTTCTACTTCAATCGCTGGTCCACCTCCTAAGAAAAATAAAATATTCTGCACGGAAAAAGTTCAAAATGTAATATCTGAACTCTTAGCCAGAAAGATTGAGCTCGCTCAAATGAATTCAATTTCCGGCGGAGATTCAGGCAACAATGATTTTATCAATAACAAAGAAATTGATAATTCCTCAATGTTGGTAAATCCAAACATGATTCTTCAAAGCTCTGTGCCATTAGTGTCATCTCAAGTTCCAAATCAGTCGAGACCAATTTTTTCAATGTCTTTTCCACCACCACCATCAACACCAATGGAAACTTCATCTTTACAAATGTCTGCACCCAATTTAATGTCGGCATTACAAAATGCGCCACAGATTAATCATAATAATAATAATAATAATAATTTTAGTTCAACACCAACCGCTATTCAACCAAATTTAGACGAAGACGATGATGATGATATTTGTATTTTAGAAGCTCATATTGCAAATGAAACTCAACAAATCGTGAGACCTATTCCTCAACCTCCACAACCTCCACCACCACAACCGCCATCTCAAGTAAAATCATTTTATATTGATGTTGAACTGTTTAAGCAAATTGTTGGTCCGATTGACAATACAATGGTGGAGAAAAGTCAAAATGGAAATGTTAATTTAAGAATTCCAATGGAAAAACTGTCCCAAATGGTGAAAATTGTTGAAGAAAGGAAACAAAAATCACTCAATGCATCATCTTCTTCCGTATTGCCAACTAATAATAACCGTAATTTTCAAATTAACTATCTCCCTGGTTCTCATGCTCCAATCAATATACCATCAGCAAATTTGATTCCGACTGTTACTATTGAACAAGTCCAAAAACCACTTTCGACTGTCACTTATTCAAAAGCTCCTATTATGCAAAATTCTGCCCCTAATACTCTTATTCAACCACCAGTTACAACACAATACCCTCAGTGCGCCTCTGTACCTAGTTTTGGATCTAATTATGTTTCATCTAATTCATCAAATTGGCCCCAACAAGTGAATAACCCTTCCCTTCCAGCAGTGAACAATTTCCCCAACCAAGTACCAATCGTGCGTAAAATAGCTTTCAATAGTCAAATCTTACAAAACCAACAAGATTCAACTCCACGTGCTCAATATATTATGCCAACAGGTCAGTCTGGTTACGCTCGAATCATTCGTTTTGAAAATTCACAAGCCAATCAACAGAATTGTTATGTTTCAAATCAACAATTGCAATACCAAAGATCACAAAGTGTAGCTCCAACAAGTTGTTCTGAGTTTAGCTCTCCAACTCCTCTTATGCATCACCCTAGTCCACCTCCTCCATACCATCAATATGATCCAAATCAGTATTCAAATAACACATATTCTCAACAGCAACAGCAACAACAACAACAACAGCAACAATTAATTCAAAATCAACAGTTACAACAACAAAATCAACAACAGCAATTACAACAGCAACAGCAACAACAGCAACAGTTACAGTTTCAGCAACAATGTCAACTTCAAAATCAACCGTTACAACAAAATCAATATCAACAGTCTCAATTACAGTCAAATATTCAGCAACAATCTCTATCAATCCCTGAACAAAGGGATACCCCAGTAGTTCATCATTATTATAATCCTGAACAACAGTATCAACAATTACCACAAAGTCAATCTGTTATTCCTTCCGTTCAATATCAAAGCAATAATTCAGATGGATTATTGAATAATTTGAACAACCAAATGAACAATTACTCTATGAACAGTTGAGTTTGCTTTTCTATGCAATTTTCTGCTAAAAACAATAATAATTCCTTTCGATACTAAGCTAAAGTATCATCCCTTAAATATCTTTTAATTACCTTAAATTAATACATATATTTTTCTTTTCGCATCAATTTCAGATCCTGGGCATACCTTTTGGAAACCTGATCCAACCAAAATCTTCACCAAAGATCCTCATCATCAAAACCACCCTCACAATACAGTAAATCCCCACCTTTAGATACTAATTAACTAAATTTCAGTTGATCTACAATATGAACAATCATCATCGTTATTTTTTCTCATCTTAAAAACATGACAATATTTTCAATTGAAGGTCTTTAATGGCGGATAACTTTTTGCATTCAATATTATATTTTTTTTCTTTGATAGTGTAAATTGTCACTTCATATTCAATTCACTTTACAATAATTAACCGTCACCCATTCATTATTCATTTGTTATTCTAACTTTATGTTATCTCATCTTATTTCTCTTATTTTCATCACGAAAATTTAATCATTGTAACTTTTGTAATTTAATTTGAAGAAGAAAAAAAAACAATTAGGCTTATTTATATTTCTCTTAAAAATAAAATGTATTTACCATGATTTTAGTTATTGTATTTGAATTTGATCAGTTGAATTTGAAAGATGAAATCGAAACCAATCAATCAATTGTTTCATTAGAAATATAATTCAAATTTAATTTTGATCATTAACAAGATAGAAAAGTAAACAAAAAGTTGCAACTAAATAATGTGAAGGTTTGATTGTGATAACCTTTTAGCTTTTGAACTCTTTTGATAGTATAATAATTGAGGTACAAAAGTAACAATTAGCATTGAGATTTGGTTTGAGATAATGATGATCGTTGGGAAAGAGCTAAATTACAATCAAGCGGATCAATGGCTCCGAGACTTTGTTGACATGGGCACGTCCATTGGATTATTGTTTCCTCTTCAATGATTGATGTTGATGTTGTTTCACGTTTCGATTTATCTTGATTAACCTCACCACGTTTAACAACTGAGATCCAAAATGGATTAAGAACAAATCTTTGATTGTTGATTGATATCACATTCCAGGGAGAAATTAACCTGATTGTTAGACCATTGGCTAAGCCCATACTTTCACAAACCAAGGAAGGGAAAATCAACTGAACAGTTTCACCGATAGTAAAAGTATTTTCAACAGTTGTCTCAATGATTGAACCATCAGCGAATCCACAGTGAAATTTACAAGAGAAATTAGAAAGCTGTAGAGTTATAGTATCTTTACCTTTAACCATCTCTTTAAATTTATTCTTTAATTGTGAAGTAACAGAATGACGCCAAATTGTTCGAGCAGTTTTCTCTCTTTCCATTAGATCTTTCATTTGATCGACTAATGTAATAAGATGAGATGAATTGGTCACCTTATCCTGTCGTTTTGAATGTTGACATTTTCTATTCCGATTGATAAAGATGCAACTTTGGTCAGCATAACAATTACCCTTGACCTTTTTTATAGGAGAACTTTCGTCGATCCCATCATAAGCTTTGGTTGGAGTTAAAGGAGCTAAGGGAATAATTTGCGGTTTTCTTTTCCTTTTTTTAACAAATTCCAAAGGCGATGGTTTCAGAAGATCTTTAAGATTAGATGGAGGAGTAGCCATATTCCTACATTAAAGATTCGACAAAAAGAATAAATAAAAAACAATTAAAGGAAATTAATATACAAAACAAATTCTTTTTACCTTTGAATCATTGAAGTGAAGCTTTTTCTAGCTTCATTTGAGATGTTCAGTTGACTTGAATGGTAACTGATTTTATCTTCATCATCACTTTCATCGATTGTATAATCAAGTGGTGAATCTAATGTTTCCAGATCATCTTCTCTCGGCACTGATTGTCTTCTCTTATTATTGTAACTATTAACAATATTACTATTATTGTTTGAATCTTGGGTTAAAGAAACATCAATAAGAGAGACTTGAACTGTTGGGCTTTTTGTTATTACAATTTTGTCCAAAGGCAAAGGTTTGATGAGACATTTCTTGTAATTTCTCGCTGGTAACATTGCAAGACAAAGGTAAACAAAGAGAATAAACAAACAAACAATTAAAACTAATCAGGTAACAGAAAACAATTAACGGAGACAAAAACTTTTAATCAACCAAACGATCACCAAAAGTGAACATGTGAACCGAATAAAAACAAAAAAATTCTTTTCTAAAAAATCCACTAGATGGCGTTTGAGTTAATTCTTTTTTTTATTTTCTTTTCCATTTTTTTTTCTTTCAGTTGAAAAATTTTCATCCAAAGAGAAATTAACTTGTGGAAATTGATTTTCAAAAATGTTAATTGTCATTGATTTACTTTATTCTCTTTAGTGAATTTTGTATTTTTTTTCTTTTTAAATTGTTTATTGATTGATTCTCTGTTAGATTTTATTTTGGTTAAACTCTGTGTTTTGGGTTCGTTGGCAAAATGTTAAAGAAAATGTTTTATTGGTTTGGAAATCAACCAGAATCTTACAAATCTGGTCTTGGTGATTTGTTTGATTTCGAGGATGGTAATTATTTGGAATGTAAAAATGATGAAGAATCAAGGTGTTCACCTTCTTTTCTCAATCAACACCCGTTGCTTACTCGAGATTTAAAGTGTAAATTAAATTCGGGCGAGCTAAAAGATATACTTGCTGATTTTCGAGCTCATGGTGGCTGTGTACCCAAGAGAAAGGTTCGGATGATTAAGCCTAACACTGACTTCAATCCTGAGGATAATTTATTTGAAGTGGGTTTACCTTTACCAAGGATTCAAATGCCACCATTATGTGAATTGTCAAAAGATAACTCTTTCTCTGACAATTCTCTCAATGTCCAAGAGCCAAAGATGATGGAAGTCTTTGCTAAAGAGGAAGATCCTGGTTCAATTATTGCTTATGCTTTAGTTTCAGCTGATTACGAGAAACAATTGAATGATATTGTTCAAGGAACACCAACTGTTGTAACATCAAGGAAAAGAGTTCTTTCTTCAATTGAAAGTTCTACAAGCTCTGGATTATCCGAGATTAAAGATGCTGGTCAACTTGAGTTGTCCGGTGGTTTCTCTTCAGTTGCCTTTACCTTTAAAGCATCTAAAGATACAACAGCTATAAGTCCACATATTGATATACAATTTAACGATCAGACCACAAAGTATTATTGTTGTGTCTATTTTGCAGAGCAATTTCGTTCACTTCGATCTGAATTGATTCAAATTAATCACCAAAATGCCAATCAAACTAACACCTCATTGACACCATCTCTATCATCTACTTCTGAGTTATCTCAAGGTAATGTAACTGCTACCAGTGATTCTTCATCTTTTTATTCAAATGCCACCGGTATTGATTCATCATCTTCCACCACATCTAACGCCCTAATTGAGGAAACTTTCATCAGATCAATTTCCTGTTGTGTTCCCTGGACAGCCTCTGGTGGTAAAAGTGGAGCTACTTTTTGTAAAACGATCGATGATCGATTCATTCTCAAAGAGATGTCCCGACACGAGTTAGCTTCCTTTCTTAAAATTGCCAAAGCATATTTTGATCACGTTCTCAGTGCCTTTTATGAATCTCGACCAACACTTTTGGCAAAAATACTCGGTGTTTACAGAATAAGCTTTAAAAACAGTTATACGAACAATGCGAATAAAATGTATCTACTTGTCATGGAGAATCTTTTCTACCAGCGAAATATCAGCCGAAGATTTGATCTGAAAGGCTCTGACCGTAATCGTTGGGTTCACACCGATGATCCAACAAACGTAGTTCTTTTAGATGAAAATCTACTCCAGTCTCTACGAAAATCTCCACTCTACATTAGACCAGAGTGTAAACAGAGATTGACCACCGCCATAGACGCTGATTCTCTTTTCCTCTCTTCTCATTCCGTTATGGATTATTCTTTATTGGTTGGAATTGATCAAGAACAGAAACGCCTTGTAGTTGGAATCATTGATTATATTCGCCCCTACACTTGGGATAAAAGGATTGAAATGGTTGTTAAATCGGTTGGAAGTCATGGTAAAATGCCAACCATAGTCTCACCTGATCTCTACCGTGAACGTTTCTGTGATAAAATGAACCAATACTTTCTGTGTATACCTGATGGTTGATCTAATAAATTCATCAACATTTCCAGTTAAAACTAAACCAAAGATTGAAAAGCTCCACAAATCAACTAGTTCAAAGACTTCAACCAAATCAAATTTAATTTTCTTTATCATCATGGACATAAATCCTTTCATTTAATTAATCTGCCTGGAAACAAAAAGCTAATATCAAACTACGATTCATCAACGACCAACAATCAGATCGATGATAATGGTTAACTTTACCAACACTGATTTAATTCAATTCAAACAATCAGTCAAATTGAAAACAAATCATCAAAGACAAGAAAGTCTTATGAACAAATCAACTTGAATTATAAAAAAAAACATTTTTTCCTTTTAATTATTTCCAATCTTTCAATTGTCTGAATTTCTTGTCAACTGGTTTTATGTGTAATAATTTTTATAAATTTGATTATTTTGTAAACAAATCAATTGTAACTACATCAGAAAAGAAACAATTAATTCTCATTAGATTTTCTATAAGATTAAATTGTTGCAACAATTAATTTTGCCTAAAAAAAGAAGGTAAATCGTTCCGACCAATGTAACAATTTGTTTCCTCAATTAAGCCATTAAGAATTGAATATAACCTCAACATGATCGAATCAACAATTTAGCAATCAGACTAATTATAGTTAGTGGATCACTTTCACCAAATAATTAATTGTTTAACGAAGGCAAACAAATGATTAGTGAAAAAAACCCAGAAAAAAATTCCAACTTGATCAAGATTATATTTTGATAACAATTTCTATATCTCTTAATTACGATAATTTAATCATTAATAAAAACTATTTTAATCTAAATCAAATATCAAATACTTTCCACTGTTTATTATTGAGGTTAAAGTACAATTATGATTAAAAAAAACTGATTGAGTTGATTGTTAATCAAACTGGTTAATCTCATTTTCCTTTTACCTTAAAAAAAAGACAAGTTGATCAAACTAATTGTTTTGTTGTTTAAGTGTAAAGAGATTATCGCCCATTAATTGTGATTTTAATTATCACTGATAGATGATCAGGTCAATCAATTAATCAGTTAATTAAATGATGAGTGTTGGTGATTCTCGGTAATTTGTCCATTTACACCATTTACATTTGGATTGTTGGTAACACGATTTAGATTGTGAAACAAATTAGATTTGATTGTTTTCATGATCAAAAGTTGTTGATTAATTTGGTGTAAATCAATTGTTGTTGACGAGAAAGAGGTGAGGATACATTGATGAGCAAAATGATTAACCAAAATATCCAAGAAAAAAAAACAATTAATGGTTATGAGTGTTTCCATGTGTAGGTGGGTTTGGTAATTGTGTTGATTGATAACTAATTGTGAGGGATTTCGGGTAATTATTTGACAAGAAAACGAGAATATGGTCAACAATTAACTTAGAAAAAAAAGGAGATTAAGAATTGAAACTTGTATTGGTTTCTAATTCATTTTTGTTTCTTGTCTTTAAGTTCATCCATTGATTATTGTCTTTTTCCTTTTCCTTTCTCCATTTGATTATTTCTTCAATCAATGAACAATCAATCAAGTGAATTGAAGGCGCTATCATGATGATAATTGTTATGATGATAAAGGATGGAAAACAAACTTTCTTTTGCTCTTGATTCGTGATTATTATGCCCAAAAAGTTCAGTTAAGATAGTTAATAATAAAGGTTAATTGTAATGTTATGGATAACACAATTTTCTACTTTCTTTAAACAGAATTAACAAAAACATTGTCAATTTAGCTGAGATTTTGCTACTAAAACGATCATCAGTCAACCTTTTCGAAATTGGTTTAATTATTTTCAGCGCAATTTGGTTAATTAGAGAAACACCATGAGAATTTTTTTTCAAGTTTCAATTCGAGTCATTTCATGACTGATTTCGCAATTAGTTAAATCATGACAGTAGAAAGTAAAAGAGCTAAAGAAAAGATCGGACGAATGAGTTTGTAGTGTGTGAGAGTTGAGAAAATGCTTTTTTACAATTTAAATCATCGGGTAATTTGTTTCAATCAAGAATCATTTGTTTGATCTTTTATCTGAATTTTTAGATGAGTTTGATTTATCTGCTTTCGATTTTTCCGATTTTCTTGATTCACTTGATTTTCCTGATGATGACGATGATGAAAATGATGATGTGGTTGAGGCGGTTGTAGTTTTTGGTGCTGTTGTTGTTGTTGTTGTTGTTGATTGTATTGTTGAAGATGAAGATGATGTAATATTTGGTGGTATTGTTGATGATGATGATGATTTTTTACTCTCTAAAATAGAGGTTGATGATTGTGATGAGCTAAGAAGATTTGATGATGATGGTTGATTATCTTTTTGGTCTTTACAATTTTTTATTTCTAAATTATTAATGGTAACCCGATGGTGATTACTGTCATTTTTAATTGAAATTTTTTCATCTGATTCAGGAAAATCTTCTGTTGATTGTTGTCCTGATTTCACTTCAATTGAAGATGAACATGAACATGAAGGCACAGAAGAAGATGATGATGATGATGAGATATCCACAAGTTTGTTACTATCAGAACTCGTAATTGAAGTAGTTGTTGTTATTGTGGATGATGAAACGGTGGACATTTTATCTTCTTTAGTTGAACAATACTGATTCGTATAATAAGGTGGTGAATTTGTATCGGTGTTTGTTGAGGTGCTTCTCATATTCTGTTGGTTGAATTTAGTTGAAGTACAGGGTGGTAATGATGATATAGCTAAAGGAGAGGAGACTGGACCTCCCAAGGAATGTCTTTTATGCTTAATTGGACCAGAAGCTTTACTGGGATCGGTGTTACGTTTAATTAATAAACGATCAGGTGAAAGGGCTCGACGTAATAATGGGGAACTTGGTTCAGCACTTTTGGGTCGTGAGAAACACTTGGAACCTGGTGCAGATAAACAGGGTGACGACAATGTAGGTGTAGATGGTGTTTGGGTAGAGGTATTGGTTGAAGAATCGGTTAATTTATTTTTATGTAAAATGAAGGATTGAATTGTTGATGAGGAACCCGGTTGATGAACTCCTGGAAATACGCTTGTTGGACAGTTTGAACGTGTAGGTGAACTTGTGGAAACTGGTTGGATGGAGGGTGAAGGTGTACGAGCGAGAGGTGAAAGTGGTATGTGACCACATGATTTACGACGAGGTGATCGAAATGATTTAACTTTGTGCTGTTTCAGACCAGAAAGTGTACTTGGACGGGGAAAATGGGGAAAATGACTTAATGATGCCGGTGAATTGGGTACACTTGAGCTTGGTGAACTACTTTGTGATGAATTGGCAGCTGATGAATCAGAGGGTGAACAATGAAGACGATTGGGTGGAGGAGATCTTGGAAAGCGAGGTATTGCAGATGAAGATGATGATGAGGCTAAAGTTGCTGTGGATAAGGTTGTAATAGCAGCTTGGGGAGATTCGCAGGCTCCCTCGGAAGATACAAGGTTAGCAATGTTACTATTGACACAATTACTATTACTGTTACCAAATGAACGATTTAATGATTGATAACTTCGACTAGGAGTAAGTAGTGGTGGTGATATACCGCCAGTGACACCAGAAGAAGAACCTGCTCCCCCACTGGCAGCCATTAACTGTTGAATCTCAGCGCTGGCTCGTTTAGAGCTTAATTTACGAAGAAGTGATGAACGCCGACGCTTATCGGAATCAGTACGCTTAATGGGAGCACCTTTTTTATGGCTTATCAGGTTAGGACGACGAGTCATACGACCTGATGAAGGGTGACGACGACGACCACCGGTTTTAATTGATGTATTTTCCAATGGGGTGGTTCGGATGTTTATCTTATCACCACCTGAGAGGACAAGTTGTAAAACTTGATGATGAAGAAGCCCTTGAATTGGTTCACCATTAATATGAGTAATCAAAGCGTTCGGCCTAAGTCCAGCCTCAAAAGCGGGACTATTATTTTCAACGGCAAGAACTAAATGATGAACTGTATACAAATCAGAATCACCATAATAAACTCTAATTGCTCTTAAAGTGAAACCAAATCCTCTTGGACCTTTACGAATTATAATTGGTGGTTTTAATTGTTGACCCATGGGACCAGTTATCTCACGATTAGGTGAGGTATCACGGGAACTGGTACTTGAACCACCGGAAGAGGTAATTGAACATGATTTATTTTTAGCATCTTCCGTTGGTATCATGAGAGATAAGCCGGTTGCCGAGGCTGATTTAATCACAGCTCTGCCTTTGGTATGATTTTTAATTAATGCATTTAACTGTACAGGGAAATTTGATGATCTAGGAATTTGAGATTTCGACGTTTTCTGACTACTACTACTGTTAGAACTGGAACAACCAGAACTTCCATTGGCACCACTACTTGCACCGCTATCGGTGGTACAAGTATCTTTACCTTCACTTGTTTCTTGAGAAGATGATCTCATCTCATCTCTATTTGACTCGTTGAGTTTGGGATCACTTTTTCTGTCATCATTATCTCCACTAATGGAAAATCGTGGGATACACGATAATTTAATGCTCATAAATGGTTTTCTACGACGGGTGACTTTGGGAGAGAAATCTTCTGATTCGGTTTGAGATAATTCAGGAGTACTTTGTTGGAGAGGTTGAGGTTTCTCCATATCAACAGTTAATTCATTTTCCTCGGAAGGAGTTAAACTTTCTGTTGATTTAATTTGATTAGATTCACGTTTATCTGATATCACCGGTGTAGAGGTTTCACTTGACACCATTATGGACCCATTTAATAGTGGTGGAAGAGAATCATTTAAACAGGAAGAAGAAGTTTGAACAGATTCATCGAGAATGGAGGAAGTTGAAGATGATTTCATCAGCTTTTCTTGAGCCAATTCTTGTTCAATACGAGAGTAGACTCGATGATATTTGGGTGAACACGAGGAAAAACTGCTGAACATTGAACTTGAGCTTTCATCTGTATCATCTTGCTCTTCTGAATCGTCAATCTCATGATTATATCTATCCAATCGAGTATCAAAATAACTGGTATCTTCATCATTATCCAATTGAGGCACAAATTCAGCTTTTTGCCGAAGTAGATCATCCCAATTGAGACCATCAAAGAAAGGGTGTTCTTTCACTTCCGAAGCACCAACAGTTCCTAATCTTTCAAGAGGATCTTGTTTTAAAAGTTTACTAATTACATCTTTTGCATCCTCAGGTAGTGGCCAATCTTCATCATCCGGCCAGGTAATCTCATCGTTTATCACATGAGCAAAAAGCTCTTCAGGAGTTTCCCCGAAAAAGGGAACACAGCCAATTAGTAATTCGTATAAGATAACACCCATAGACCACCAATCAACAGGTTTACCATAACCTTGGTGAGAAATAACCTCAGGAGCAATATATTCAGGGGTTCCACAGACTTGTTTATCGAGAAATTCTTTGGTATCTTTTTTACTTAAATGCTCTTCACAAATATTGGTTGCCAGGTTCATTAAACCGATCTTAGATAATCCAAAGTCAGTTAACTTAATGTGACCCAGGGCTGTGATGAGAAGATTTTCTGGCTTCAAATCACGGTGAACAATTCCTAAGTTATGGAGATACTCGACAGCAAGAACTGTCTCAGCAAAGTAGAAACGAGCTAAATCAACTGGCAGCGGTCCCATGTTCTTAAGAAGAGTAGCCAAATCACCTCCTTCAACATATTCCATGACAAGGCAAAGATATCGCTGAGTAGATTAAAATATAAGAGGGAAAAAAAGAAAAATAAAGTGGGGAGAGAGATGAGAAAATAATCGAAAAAGAGAATAAAAAAATACATATTAGTAAATTTTCCTATTGCCATTTAGAAAAAAAATATATATATTTTTCCTTCATTCTTTCATTTCTCTCTAATAATCAACAATGACGATAAAACAAAAGTTACATTATGACACATTTATATATATAAATATTTGATATTTACCTTGGTTTCAAAGCTACAATATAAACTAACAACAAAAGGATTGTCTGTGAAACTCATGATATCTCTTTCTGCAAATGCTTGTTCAACTTGATTACGCAGGATTAAACTTCGTTTATCAATCTTTTTCATAGCAAATTTTTGACGACTTTCCTTATGACGAACCAAATAGACACCGCTGATGATTTTTCAATTTAAAACAGCCAAAGAGAAGAAGAAGAAAGAAAAAGAAAAATTAGAAGAAAAAAAATGGAGAAAAAGAAAAAAGAAATTGTCAAAAAAAATGTGGTTAAAGAGAAAGAAGAAAATTAAAAAAAAAGGAGAGCAAAAGTGAACAGAAAAAAGTGAAATTTTAAACTTACCCATAGGCTCCATTGCTAATTAATTTAATTGTATCATAATCTTCTTCACATGGTAATTTAACTGTTGTTTCAGCAATAATTTCTTTCTCAGACTTACGAGTTTCATTGTCTTTATCAGAATCATCTTGTTCTGTTTCTGTGTTACTATTGTTAACCAATTCTGGAATCCAACCTCTATTGTCATTAATAAATTTCTCCAATTTTTGCTTCTCCATCTCATGGAAAACACCAAGTAAAAGGAAACTCTTACTCTTCTGGTGGTTAAAAACAATCAAACACTTAAATAAATTAACTTGTTTCCTAAACAAAACAATTAAAAATTAAATTACTAAGACATAACATTTTTAAGGTGTAACATCAACATTCAGTTTCTTTGTTATGATCTCAAAAGATATTACCAAATATTGGATCTTGATACAATCGATGTATCGAAGTTTAGATCGATGATAAATTAACACAATTTCTTAATTGTTGTTAGCTTTTTATTTGATTGCTCTGTTTTTAATCAACCAATATTATCCAATTATTTTAATTTACTTCCTTTATCCATCAATTAACGGAGAGAATTAGTTTAACAATCGATTCTCTTGATGGCTTTTTTTTCCATCTTCTTTTTCCTCAAGACAATGTTTCATTCATACGAATGTTAATTGTCACAAATTTAGAATAAATTGACAGAAAATTAAACTGTCACATCCGCAAGAGAATTTAATTATTTTCAAGACTAGAAACTTCCTTTTTCTATTTATTGATTCAGCTTTTCTTTTCCTTTCTTTCTGATGATTTTAATTTGTTTAGAAGAGAACAGAAAAAAGCTAATGAAAAGTTTTTTTCTGTAATTAGATTATATTTATTGATTAAGATTTTGTTTTGTAGGGTTAGTATTGTATAATCATCATTTAAATGAAAAAGATTTTATCTTAGTAATAATTTGAAGCAATTAAGATAAAGGTAAGTGGTTAATATCCTTGGTAATGTTAAAATTAATGGAATTTTTTTAAAGCGTCCATCCGATATGCTTTTTTAGGCATTTTTCTTTGGGATCTTGACAACAACCTGGGAAAGAAATAAAAAAGTTAATTAAAATTAGTTTTTTCACGAGGAAATGTAGTTTTTTTGAGATTAATTATCTTACGGATTTGACTTGACAGTATTCTTTGATTCCGTCTTCTCCTCCTTCTCGTCCAATACCAGACATTTTGTAACCACCAAATGGCATTTGTGGTCCAAAAGCAAGGAAAGTGTTAACCCAAACTGTTCCCGCTCGAACTCCTTGAGTGTACATTAAGGCGGTGTCCATGTCTTTGGTTATGATACCAGCGGCTAATCCATAAGTTGTATCATTTGATCGTTCGATAACCTCATCTAAAGTCTTAAATTTAAGAATCTGTTGAACAGGACCGAAAATTTCTTCAACAGCGATCTTCATGTTATCCTTGACATTAGAGAAAACAGTTGGTTGGATAAAGTAACCTAAAAGGACAAATAACAATTTACAGTTACAATAAATTTTTGAGTTTATATTAATAAAATAACAATAATTAATAATTCTTACCTTTGTTTCCAACGGCTTTACCTCCGCACTCGAGTTTAGCTCCTTCTTTTTCTCCATCTTCAATTAGACTTAAAATCTTCTTGAATTGATCGTCATCAATTTGTGGACCTTGTGCAGTTGAATCATTAAATGGATCACCAACAGTTCGTTTTAAAGCAAGTTCACGACTCTTTTGTACAAACTCGTCGTAAATACTTTCTTGGACGAACGTTCGAGTTGCAGCACAACAACATTGACCTTGATTAAACATACAAGCTTCATGAGCGATATTAACAGCAAGATCGATGTCAGCATCATTCATAACTACCAATGGACTTTTACCACCAAGTTCAAGTGATACCTTTTTAATTGAATCTTTTCCAGCTGATTGTAAGATAATCTTACCAACTTCAGTTGAACCTTAAAGTTTTCAATGAAAAAAAAACAAAAATAATATAAAAACTCATACGACTAAAAATATAAACAAAGAGATTAATTGATCATCATACCAGTAAATGCAATTTTAGCAACATCAGGATGAGTAACCAAAGGAGCACCGGCAGTTGGACCATAACCAGGAACAACATTAACAACACCGGCGGGGAATCCTGCCTCTTTAATCAACGAACAAGCATAAAGAGCTGTCAAGGGTGTTTGCTCGGCTGGTTTAAGAACCACAGTGTTACCACAACACAAGGCTGGAGCAATTTTCCAGACTATCAAATACAATCAAAAAATTCACATATGAGACATAATTGAATTAATCAAGAATAATAATATTCGAATATTTTATATTGAAATTGGCAATAAAAGTCCAATGGTAGTTAAACTTACTGAACATCATGAGAGGAAAGTTCCATGGGATAATTTGACCACAAACACCGAAAGGTTCAACTCGAGTGAAAGAAAAATGATCACCATCCATAGGAACAGTTTTACCTTGTACTTTATCAGACCAACCAGCATAGTAACGAAGATGACCAGCAGAAGCATAAACATCCCCAATAGCTAATTTATAAGGTTTTCCATTGTCTAATGTTTCCAGTTTCGCAAGGTAATCAGCATCACGTTCAATAAGATCTGCAAGTTTATTAAGTAATTTACCACGAGCTGAGGCATCCATAGTTCGCCATTCTGATCCAAGTTTAAACGCTTCTTTTGCAGCTGCAACAGCCTTGTTAATATCTGCTGAATCTCCCTCGGCAACTAAACAAATTTGTTCACCAGTTGATGGATTAATTGTTGGAAATTTTTTACCATTAACAGAATCAACAAATTCATTGTTGATGAAAATCTAGAAAAAATAAGAAATAAATGTGAAAAGATTAAAATTCAATCGAAATTTAAATCAAATACAAAAGTATTAATTAAACAAATACACGTTAGATTGAAATATTAACCAACCTGAGTAATTTTAACTTCAACTTGAGCCATAATTATTTAATTGGTTGTTCGAGATTAATTTCCAAAAGATGAATGAATTAAGCAGCAATTTACGATGTTAACAACTGGAAGAAAAAAATAGAATAACAATTAATAGTGAAAGAGGGTGTGAATTTAAGATAAATTTCAGCAAGGAAATTAGTTACAAAAAAAAGATAATCAAAGTACAATTGAGATTAACAATATAATTGGTTGATTAGATTCTCTGAATGATGATGAAGGACTGAACGAGATAATTGAAATAGAGAGAGAAAAAAGAAGATAAGTGAGTGATAACTACAGGGTATCCAGTAGAAAACAAGAAACAATTAAAGAAACAGAAAACTATTAAATAATAAAAGTGAGATTAACTTTTTGTTGTTGATCATCGACTATCAACTATCTCATAGACTGGAAAAGGAAAACAGGTAGACAAAAAGAGTAAATAATCTCTCACCTTTTTAAAAGAACAAACTTTTATTCTCATGTGATGGTTAATTGTTAGCACGATAATTTAACCAAAAGCAAAACACACAATTGATGAAACGATTGAAGGAAAAAAAAAGAAATGAACAAGAAAAAAGACACAAACACAGACAGAGAAAAATGTTGCTAATGGGGAGAGAAGAAAGTTGACTTTCTCTCTCATAAAATCATCTCATCTTCTCATCTTTTCTCTCCCTCCCTTTCTCTCTCTCTCTCTCTCTCTTTCTCTCTCACTCACTTTCTTTTCGTCAAGTAACAAAATTATTACATCAACAAGAAAAGTGAGAGAGAAAAAGTAAATGAGAGTTTAACCTTGAGAATGTTGATCAACGTCTATGAGTAACCAGGGCACAGTTGATTGGATAAGAGAAAAGAACAAAATTTATTCTCTTTTCTCTGAAAAACATGGCGACCATTTTAAGAAAAGAGGAAAGAAACTAAAAATTATCTGTTCTTTTACCTTTTAAATTTGTGAGACTTTTTGAAGGAACACTAATTGTGAGAATTTTAATCATTGTGTTGGATTTTGATTGTCGTTGGATAATCGATAATCATTAATATGGACAAACATGACAAAGGTTGACAACGATTTGAATATTGAAGTGTTCCAGTTACCTAATAATGTACCGGTTGTTTTGGTTCAAGAGGAAAATATTAACTCATCAAATTTAATGGTAAATCATCTTTACCTTTGGTATTATCTTAATCTTCATTTAATGAGATCATCTTAACTCGTTGCACTCAATTGAAATGGGTACATTGTTGCTGAGAAAATTTCATATTCAATTGAGTTAAATAGTTACAATTGTTGGTGATAAATGGATATCTGATTGCACTTTGAAGTGTTTACCAATGTTATGACGATTTGACAAATATTCACATTTCAAGATTTATTTGGTTCGATGAACAATCAGTGAATAATTATTGTGTTGAGTAACTAAGAAGATTGAATTTAGTTAAATTCAAGAATCTAAATGGAAACTTAAAGTAAAATATTGTAATTTACACAGTTTAGAAAAGATTACATTTCAATTGGAATTACATGTAGTTGATGATTGAATAACAAATTTTCTCATCATTTAAATGATTATTCAATCATGGAAATTTGATCGTTGATTAATAACTAGCACTGAAATTAACACCAACCTCTCAAGGATTTGTCTCAAGTATCATTTTCTCATCTCTTACCTGTCAAGGAACAAAAAGTAAACAAGAGACGAGAATTGCAAATGAGATTCGATAAATATCAAAGATTAACAATTTTCTTCTCTACAATCAAAACGGAAACTAATCAATTAGACAGATAGAAATTTGTTAATTCTAATTATCTGACAAGTGCGAGTCAAGTGCTTAAATTAATCTCGCTTCAAAATCTTTAATTACTTTGTGCATTAGAGATATACAACTTACCCACTGTTGAACTGAGATCAATTGGAGAGAAATTAACTATTAAATTGATTTAGATGAAAATTTGAAATTAGGAAGATTTGATTGGATTTGGAAAGAAAATTTCGATATATTATTTTATTTACATGTTGAGAGTTAGTTGATTAAATTGGTCAATTAGATAATTATACAGAAATGACCAGTAACTTTCCTTTGCTCTCTTCGCAATTGAGCTACTTGGGTAACTAATTCACTAATTTGATTCTGATAAACATTATTTCTTTGTTGACTTTCCATCAGCTGATTGTTAAGAATTTCCATTTGCTCATGAAAAAGTTGAAAATAATTACGAAGCTCAAGTCCACGATTCGATAAAGGATAAGTTTGACACAATTCCACTTTTCGATCATCTAATTCAGTTTCCCATCTTTCAGCTTCCAATTTAATCCAATCAGGAATCTAAAATGAGTAAAGAAAAACATTAAAATCTTAAACTGGTCTAATCAATTACATCAATCAATCATTTTCTCACCTCATTTATTGATGAAATGTCTCGAGTATTGACCATAGTCATTGACATTTCCTCTTTAAGAACGGGTAATACTGAAGTATTAATTGCTCGAGATCGTTGTCGTTTAACCTCATTTACTTTACTATTTGCAGGCGATGGAATTTTATATTAATTTGATTAGTTAATTATTTTTAATATTATTTGCAAAGTACATCATTAAAATGTTAAAGATTTAATCTTTGAAGCTCTAGTAACAAGTTAATATCCTTGGTAATGTTAAAATTAATGGAAATCTTTTAAAGCATCAACCCGATATGCTTTTTTAGGCATTTTTCTTTGGGATCTTGACAACAACCTGAGAGAAAGTTTAGAAAAATTAATTGACATTAGATTGTTCATGAGGAAATATGAGTTTGATTGTTCTTTTCTGATTATCTTACAGATTTGACTTGATAGTATTCTTTGATTCCGTCTTCTCCTCCTTCTCTGCCAACACCAGACATTTTGTAACCACCAAATGGCATTTGTGGTCCTAAACTGAGGAAAGTGTTAACCCAAACTGTTCCCGCTCGAACTCCTTGAGTGTACATTAAGGCGGTGTCCATGTCTTTGGTTATGATACCAGCGGCTAATCCATAAGTTGTATCATTTGATCGTTCGATAACCTCATCTAAAGTCTTAAATTTAAGAATCTGTTGAACAGGACCGAAAATTTCTTCAACAGCGATCTTCATGTTATCCTTGACATTAGAGAAAACAGTTGGTTGGATAAAGTAACCTAAAAGGACAAATAACAATTTACAGTTACAATAAATTTTTGAGTTTATATTAATAAAATAACAATAATTAATAATTCTTACCTTTGTTTCCAACGGCTTTACCTCCGCACTCGAGTTTAGCTCCTTCCTTTTCTCCATCTTCAATTAGACTTAAAATCTTCTTGAATTGATCGTCATCAATTTGTGGACCTTGTGCAGTTGAATCATTAAATGGATCACCAACAGTTCGTTTTAAAGCAAGTTCACGACTCTTTTGTACAAACTCGTCGTAAATACTTTCTTGGACGAAAGTTCGAGTTGCAGCACAACAACATTGACCTTGATTAAACATACAAGCTTCATGAGCGATATTAACAGCAAGATCGATGTCAGCATCATTCATAACTACCAATGGACTTTTACCACCAAGTTCAAGTGATACCTTTTTAATTGAATCTTTTCCAGCTGATTGTAAGATAATCTTACCAACTTCAGTTGAACCTAAAAGTTTCCAATGAAAAAAAAAACAAAAATAAAATAAAAACGTACACGACTAAAAATATCAACAACTAGAAAATGATTAAGATAAAACAAAGAGATTAATTGATCATCATACCAGTAAATGCAATTTTAGCAACATCAGGATGAGTAACCAAAGGAGCACCGGCAGTTGGACCATAACCAGGAACAACATTAACAACACCGGCGGGGAATCCTGCCTCTTTAATCAACGAACAAGCATAAAGAGCTGTCAAGGGTGTTTGCTCGGCTGGTTTAAGAACCACAGTGTTACCACAACACAAGGCTGGAGCAATTTTCCAGACTATCAAATATAATCAAAAAATTCACATATGAGAAATAGTCGAATTACCTTGATTTAATTACATTTGTTTATAAATAAATGTTTTCAACTTTATGCAAATAAACAAGGAAATTTCTAAGCAAATTTACATTCAAAACTAGTGAAGGTAATTCAACTTACCGAACATCTCGAGAGGAAAGTTCCATGGGATAATTTGACCACAAACACCGAAAGGTTCAACTCGAGTGAAAGAAAAATGATCACCATCCATAGGAACAGTTTTACCTTGTACTTTATCAGCCCAACCAGCATGGTAACGAAGATGAGCTGCAGCACCGTTAACATCACCCAAAGACAATTTATAAGGTTTTCCATTGTCTAAAGTTTCCAGTTTCGCAAGGTAATCAGCATCACGTTCAATAAGATCTGCAAGTTTATTAAGTAATTTACCACGAGCTGAGGCATCCATAGTTCGCCATTCTGATCCAAGTTTAAACGCTTCTTTTGCAGCTGCAACAGCCTTGTTAATATCTGCTGAATCTCCCTCGGCAACTAAACAAATTTGTTCACCAGTTGATGGATTAATTGTTGGAAATTTTTTACCATTAACAGAATCAACAAATTCATTGTTGATGAAAATCTAGAAATAAATGAAAAAATATGTTGATGAATCAAATAATCTTATTAGACTGTAATATGAACTTACCTGAGTGAATTTAACTTCAACTTGAGTAGCCATTCTTAATAAAGGGTTCGTTCCAAAAAATCTTTTGATAGAATTAGATTGTAATTGTTGCTGATGGAAAAGAAAATTCTGAGAATATGTGGAAAAGAACGTTGTTGAATTAAATAGTTTCCTGGACGTGAAACAAATAGAGAAACGATTAAATGATAACAATATCGTAAAGTGAGATTAACTTGATGTCGGTGATCATCGACTAATCATCAGATAGATTGAGAAAGGAAAACAGGTAGACACAAAGAGTAAATAATCTCTCACCTTTGTAAAAGAACAAACTTTTATTCTCATGTGATGGTTAATTGTTAGCACGATAATTTAACCAAAAGCAAAACACACAATTGATGAAACGATTGAAGGAAAAAAAAAGAAATGAACAAGAAAAAAGACACAAACACAGACAGAGAAAAATGTTGCTAATGGGGAGAGAAGAAAGTTGACTTTCTCTCTCATAAAATCATTTCATCTTCTCATCTTTTTTCTCCCTCCCTTTCTCTCTCTTTCTCTCTCACTCACTCACTTTCTTTTCGTCAAGTAACAAAATTATTACATCAACAAGAAAAGTGAGAGAGAAAAAGTAAATGAGAGTTTAACCTTGAGAATGTTGATCATCGTCTATGAGTAACCAGGGCACAGTTGATTGGATAAGAGAAAAGAACAAAATTTATTCTCTTTTCTCCAAAAACATGACCATTCAAATTAAGAGGAAAATCTCTAAATCAGCTGAACAAATGAGATTCTCATTATGAGAATAACAAAAATTTTCTACAATCAATTCTCTTGAATTCAATAACTGTTGCTTACGATTCGTAAGTTACGAAGAGAAATTCGGAGCGACATCTACAGAGAGAATTGGAATTCACAATTAGTTGACTACTTTTATACAGTTGAAGTAATAATTGAGATCTTTCAACAATTGAACATCTTTTTTCTTAATTAATTTTTTATTCTTCCGATTGTGTTAAGTGATCGTCATTAATTGTTAATATTCATCTTTCTTTTCCAATGAATTTATGAAGGCAAAGAAAAGTTATTGTTCAACATTCGTTGGGATCGATTGTCTTTAACGATTTTATTTACATGTTGAGAGTTAGTTGATTGAGTTGGTCAATTAGATAATTATACAGAAATGACCAGTAACTTTCCTTTGCTCTCTTCGCAATTGAGCTACTTGGGTAACTAATTCACTAATTTGATTCTGATAAACATTATTTCTTTGTTGACTTTCCATCAGCTGATTGTTAAGAATTTCCATTTGCTCATGAAAAAGTTGAAAATAATTACGAAGCTCAAGTCCACGATTCGATAAAGGATAAGTTTGACACAATTCTACTTTTCGATCATCTAATTCAGTTTCCCATCTTTCAGCTTCCAATTTAATCCAATCAGGAATCTAAAATGAGTAAAGAAAAACATTAAAATCTTAAACTGGTCTAATCGATTACATCAATCAATCATTTTCTCACCTCATTTATTGATGAAATGTCTCGAGTATTGATCATAGTCATTGACATTTCCTCTTTAAGAACGGGTAATACTGAAGTATTAATGGCTCGAGATCTTTGTCGTTTAACCTCATTTACTTTACTATTTGCAGGCGATGGAATCGTTGTGTCAATTATAATATAAACTCGGTCATCATGAAAACAATGAATCGATGATAATGAAACAGTTTCACCGAATCTCAGATAAACATGAGAAGCATAAAGAGCCAAAATGGGCTGAGGCTTAAGAATATAATCCCGTCTGATTGAATTTCGAGAGGATGAAATTATCGATAAATGTTTACTTTGTTCAATTACAACTTTAGGATCACGAACCAAGAGAATCGGATAATCTGGTCCAATTTTCTCAACGATATTCATCAAAGGCTCATTCGTTTCACCTTTAAATAGATCAACATGATAACTATACGATAATCAAATGTTCAACTAATTTCTTACCTATTTTGATAACTTCCAATATCTCTGATTCATCGTGATTAACGTTAATCAACGTTTTCGCCTCTTCTTCAACCTCCCTGATTCCCCAGAAATAAACTTGATTTTCAAAGGTTTGAGCTAATAGGAAATCACTCCCAGTTTGAATTTTCTGTTGATATATAAATTGTTGAGAAAAATTAGCAAATCTGATTGTTGATCGACATTAACACTCACCGTTATTGAATTTTGTGACATCTTTGGTAGTAACGAAATCTTTTCAGCGATCATGTTTGAACCTTTGGCTATTCGTCCAGTCTCATTAAGTCCTAATACTAATAGAGAACCATTTTGAAGGAGAACTAAAGTGTTTCGATTACTTAAACTAATCGAGTTAACTTTATCTTTTATACTTCGAACAATTTTTGGAACATAAATTCGGGTAAAGTTCATTTTCTTGATCAACGATTTCTCTTGTATTCCAATCTTGTTGTGTTCATTTGAACCGCAGGCCCAAATGATTTCACGATCATCGATGAACATTGTTGCATCCGAACCAGTGAATACTCGTTTAATTATTATATTTGGAGGGAAATTAACTGCTGTTGGTACTTTAATATTAACTGGTTCCTCGGCGATTCCAAGTTGTCCATCTATGTTTCGACCCCAGGCCATTGCTTGTCCTTCATCGGTAACAATCATTACATGCCGTGGACCTGAGGCAATGTCGCAAACATTATAGCCCATTAGTTCATTGATTATTTTCGGTATATAACAATTATCCTCAGTTTCATATCCAAGGCAGCAAGATTCAGCTGATCCACATGATAGTACGAGGCCATTTTTACAGATAAAGATACTGAAACCTTCACCAGCGACCAGTTTGGTTACAAATTTACCAGAAAGTTCATCAACCAGAGTTGGTTTGGAAACCCAATCAACTAAACCTGATCCCATTGGACTTATCGTCTTTGGTTGACCCAAACCAAGTTGACCTTTTCCCGATTGACCCCAAGCATAAACAGACAAATTGTCGGTCAAGGCTAAGAAATGAGTAGAGCTTCGAGCAAACTGTCCGAAAACTTATAATTAATGCCCAATCAAATTCGTAATTGAATCACTCACTTGTTTAATCCTCTCATTAAAAGGTAAATCAATTTTAGTCAACGATAGGTTTGGTTCTCGGAGGTTGACCTCAAATACTAGCGATCTCCATAGTTTCATTGATCTAGTTAATTACATGGAATAATTAAAATTGATCAGAAATTACTAAGAAATTAGGACGTTTCAATGGACTATTAATTGATTATCAACAAACCTGTACAGTTGGTCGGCAGCTAACATGGCACCGGTTGAGATTTCGTTTGAATAAAGTTCATTTTCATATCGATTGAGACGCGATTTGATCAAAAGTTCAGAAACTTCATTCTGAATCTCATGAGCATGAGGACGAAGTGTTGGATTGTGTTGTAACATTTCACCAATTAACTTCTGAAATCGAGCTGAATATGAACGTTTAACTGGATCATATTTACCCTTTTGAAAGAAACAATTAGCATAATACAATTTACTTTGATTCTAATTCTAATTACCTTAATTATCTTATTAACTAAAGCTGATAAATTGGTTCCTTCGAAAGTTTTCTGAAGACAGGCCATCTCATAGAGAATACAACCTAAAGCCCAAATATCGGTCTTCTTATCGTACGATTTACCTTCAATCTTGAAACGAGCAAAGTTCAATTAATGATTAGTAAATCATTCGTATTTAAATCTAATCATCTTACCATTTCTGGACTAATGTAGTGAGGTGTTCCTACAACGGTCGATGCTCCCGCTCTATGAGTTCCAAGAATTTTAGAAATACCAAAATCGCCGATCTTAAATATCTTATCAATGGTCATGAATATATTGGCCGTTTTCAGATCACGATGAAGGATATTCCGATCATGGATATAAGTGATTCCCATGACAATTTGATTGAAAATTGTGAGTATTTCAAATTCCTTCAATGGTTTTGACAATGAGGATAAAAATTCTGCCAAATTTCCGCCTTCACAATACTCCATTTCGATTAACAATTTACCTTCCCATTCATAATTATTATAAAACGAGACGATATTTGGATGGTCAAGAATGGACAGAACTTTAACTTCGTTAATGGCCAATAATCGTTCCGATGCATTCATGTAGGTCACATCGACCTCCTTAATTACAACTAAATCACCATCAGATCGCCTTCGGTATAATATTGCCGTTCCAAAAGCTCCTAAAGTACACAAAAGGATCAGAGAGATAGATTAGTTAATCATCAAGTCAATTTGTCTCCATTAACAACATAAAACAACAAAATATGAGAGATTTTTTTTTTATTGGAAATTGATTGATTATTGATAAACAGTTAATTCAACAATTAACTTACCTTTTCCGACAACTCTAACCTTCTCATAATCTTCCCAGAAAACATTTCTTGATGATAAATCAGCTGAACGATAATTAGAATCATTTTGAATTGTTTTAAGGGATTTACTGTTGAAAGAAAATGATTTAAAGTCAACCATTGATTGAGAATCAGGTAAATTAACCTTAATCAATGACTCTCTCTATCTCTCCCATTCTCTCTCATTTATCTTTCTCTTTCATTTTCTCTGTCTCTTTTTCTTTGTTTTAATTAGTAAATCTTTACCAATCAAATTAATAGAAAAGATAATTAATCTAATATTGAGAGCGAATTATGAAAAGAGAGAGAGAGACATTGATGTCACTGATGATTAACTGATTGTCTGTATTAATCAGTGAAGTGATTTAAAGGTAAATAGGTGAAGGTGAAAGGTGATGATGAGGTAAATTAAATTCTATGGTTATTATTGATCGTTAACAAGTGATAGAGTGATTTTGGGGAGAGAAGACAATTAACTTAATCTCTATCCCTCATAATCTTTTAATCCTTAAATTTTTGTTGCAACAATTAAGGTGAAACAAGAAAACTTTGCAAATTATTATACAAACAAATTCACCTTAAGATTAAAAGATTAACAATAAAATAATATTGCAAAAGGATTTACCTTTTAAATTTATGGAGCTAATTGAGACGATTGACCAACAGCAATTAAGTTAATTACTTGGAAAACTTTACGATTGTAAAGTTTTTTGCTGTTTCATCAGTTGATCAACTCAAGAATAATAAACCAAGTGAGAGAAATAAAAAGATGACGGAAATTAACTAATCAATTAGACAAATCGAAATCTGTCCACTAATTAACTAAATCAAGTGCCTAAATTAATCTGGATTCAAAATCTTTAATTACTTTGTTTATTAATTAAGAGTATTGGTTAGAGTAAACAAAGAGAGAAAAGGAAAATAGTTACAATCGATTGTGGTTAATTATCCAAATCGACCATAGAGAACAATTTAATCGTTACTATTGATTTAATAGAAAAAAAATTCGAAAATAGTTAAATTGATTGTGAGCAATTAAATTTAATTCCATTTGAAAAGAAAAATTAACAAACTGTTGATTGCGAAAAAGAAGAGAGTTCGGAGCGACACCTACATAGAATTTGATTTAAATTTTGTTCTTTCATTTTTCTCTCAATTAGTTGAATCCTTTTCTCCAAGTGAAGTAATTAAAATCTTTTAGCATCTTTTTTTTCTTATTCAATTGTAATTTTCTCTAATTAATTTGTTTTTTTCTTGTAATTAAGTATCAGCTTAATACAATTTATTCGGAAATGGTGAGTAATTAAAAAGATTTTAATTCAATAATTGTATCTTTTTTAATTTGGTTTCTTTGCTTTTTTCAAAAATCAACTTTGACTCTTTCATTTTTCTATTCTAAATTAATTCTTTTATTTGTCTCAATTTGGTCAATTTTTTGTTCTCCCTCCATCTTTGTCTGTTATTGAATTGCTTTTGTTTGTTCTCTCTTCTAGAAATACGTTTTATTGGATGGTGAAAGTCTTGAGACTAGTGATTTACTTGAGATTGGTTATGGCCGTTTGAAGGTTCGTTTGACTTCTGAGGCTGAAATTAAAGTAAAAAAAGGTCGTGATCTTTTAGAATCTATTTTGAAAGAGAATAAGGTTGCCTATGGTGTTAACACTGGATTTGGTAAATTTGCTAACAAGGTGATACCAAACGATTGTCTTGAACAGTTACAGTTAAATCTGGTCCGTAGTCATGCTGCCGGTGTTGGTAATCCACTTACACCTGATAGGGTTAGAAGGTTACTTGCTTTACGAATCAATGTTCTTTCCAAAGGACATTCTGGTATCTCTTTGGAAACATTGAGACAATTAATTGACGCTTTCAATGCCTCATGTCTCTCATGGGTACCCGAAAAGGGTACAGTCGGTGCTTCTGGTGATTTAGCGCCATTGGCTCATCTAGCATTGGGTATGTTAGGTGAGGGTCAAATGTGGTCACCTGAAACTGGTTGGGCAAATGCTTCCCATGTTCTTGAAACACATGATCTTAAACCAATCAGGTTAAAGGCTAAAGAGGGTTTAGCTTTACTCAATGGAACCCAATTAATTACTTCACTTGGTGCTGAAGCGGTTGAAATGTCTGCCAGTATTGCTCTTCAGGCTGACATAGTTGCTGCTTTATCTCTTGAGGTTCTAAAAGGTACTTCTCGTGCATTTGATGCTGACATTCATCGTATTCGTCCTCATCGAGGTCAAATTATGGTTGCCAAGCGACTTCGATCTCTTTTACACTCTGATATTCATCCATCAGAAATCGCCGAGTCTCATAGATTTTGTGATCGTGTTCAAGATGCTTATACGATTCGTTGTTGTCCCCAAGTTCATGGTATTGTTCATGATACTATTACTTTTGTCAAAGATGTTATCACTACCGAGATGAATTCGGCTACAGATAATCCGCTTGTTTTCCCAGAAAGATCTGAAATTATCTCTGGAGGTAATTTTCACGGTGAATATCCTGCCAAAGTATTAGATTATTTAACAATTGGAGTTCATGAATTAGCGGCAATGTCAGAAAGACGGATTGAAAGATTGGTTAATCCTGCTTTATCCGGTCTTCCGGCTTTTCTGGTTGAAAATGGTGGATTAAATTCTGGATTTATGATTGCTCATTGTACCGCTGCAGCCTTGGGTAAGTCGTTCGTTTTTCTTAGCAACTAAATTATCATTATTATCATTTCCACAAAATCTTCTTTGATTTTTATCATTAACACTTTTTTTTTGAGGTGTTAATGATTAATTTTATGTGCAAGTTATATTTTTTAACACCAGTAGTGTGAGTTATCAATCCAATTAAATGAGCTAATTTTTTATCAATGGCAAAATTTTACTATTCTAGACATAGAAAATACTGAATCATATTTTTATTATACATTTTATATTATTAGTTAAGTTGTGATGTATACATACACTGTATTAAATCACTACTTAACTATTATGATTACTTTGAGGTTTTTCCCATGTGATATTATGAACAATCTGATTGATCAGCAATCTGCGACATTAATACGCAAAAGTGATTATGTAGACCTGTTTTTTAATGTAGACCTAAAGATAATCTTATTTTTCCATCAACAATTTTGATTATATAGAATGATTTTATCTTTATTGCTATTATAATGATGAAATAATCTTATTTAATTACCACAAATTAAATTTCATAATGAAAACTGTGCCAAACCAAACACAATGATAGGAAATTACATGGACAAGAAAATCTTGATTTTTTTTTGTAGTTTTTTTTAACAGTAATTAACTAAATTAGAAAAACAAAACAATTAACTATTAATTTGTGAGTTCAATTACATTGATTACAAAAAGAGGACTCTTAACAAGTATAAAAGAAAATTATAATCACCATCAATATCTAATTATCGTTGAAATTGATTATTATTTCTATCGAACAATCTAATCAACTATTTTGATCACTTTCTATGTGCGTAATTTTTTTTTCTCAATCTGTGGATCTTTGCTCTTACATTTCCTCCTGATAAACATAAATTAATCTCATCTAATCTTGATTCTTATCATCACAATTAGTTTCAGAAAACAAAGTATTATGTCACCCGGCTTCAGTTGATTCATTGTCAACCTCTGCTGGAACTGAAGATCATGTATCAATGGGTGGATATGCTGCTAGAAAAGCACTTACCGTTGTAGAAAATGTTGAAAGAGTAATCGCCATTGAACTTTTAGCTGCATGTCAGGCGATCGAATTCCTCAGGCCACTTAAATCAACAAAACCATTAGAAGCCGTTTATGCATTGGTTCGAGATGTTGTCAAGTAAGTTTACATAATAATTTGCCAAGAGATTTCAATACAATCAATTTTGAGTTAACTTTTTTCCTCTCTCCAATTGATTCATTTTCACAGACCATGGGATAAAGATAGATTCATGGCTCCGGACATTGATGCTGCTACTCAATTACTTAGGGAAAATAAAATATTCGATGTAGTTCAACCTTTTATGGATCTGTACGATGAAAGATATTCAGGATATAAAGCGGACTCACCAACCTCGTCCTTTTCAATTGACCACAGGGCGAAACGACGTAAAGCTGAGATTCATTTTGCATAAATTGTAATTTCAAACAATTTAGATTATAGATTAACATTTACAATCTAATTTCAGTTTTACAATATTTACAATAAGTAAGAAAACAAAAACATGAACACTTAGGGTAAACCCAATTGAAATCAAGAAACAAATTAATACCAGAGAAAGGAATCAATTTACAATCAAATTATTTTTGTTTACAATTTTACCAATCAATTATTACAATCAAATCAATTTACACAATTTACCATAGATTTAACCTGTTACATTTTAAAGCTTGAACAACAACAACAACAAACTTCAAACAATCAGGTAAATTGATAATTTAAAAGCATCTCTACATTTAATACTACGATTATGTCAAGTTTTTAAATTATTATCATTAAATTAAATCTAATTTCTTATATTAAAAACAAAAATGTAAACAGATTAAAAATCACATAAATTGTTACAACCAACAATTAAAATTTTCTCCCACAGACAAATCAATCAGTCCTAAGGAGGGAGCCAAAGAGATAGAGGGAGATAATTAATTTACCTGTTTACTCAGGTACAGGTATACTTACACTTACACAGTACATTTGAACTTGAAATCTATGAAGGTCAATTGTTTTCTCTGAAACAAAAAACTCATCGAACTCAAAATAGCCTAAACATTGTACTCGGACACTGTTATTATAATTCTAATCATCATCATCATAAAAGTCTAGTAATTTACCTTAGAGCAATTGTTGATTAAATTGTACGAAAAACTTTTAAGCCGGTTTATTATCCATAGAATTTACAATTAGTCCTTGATTCGTTTCATCTTTTGATTCAATTTTCTACCCTTGAGAAATTGATTGATTCAATTTCTCAATCAAATTGAAATCGATTCATTTTTTATTTAAACCATACAATTAACTATTATTCGTAATAGTTATGTAGTTAATTGTAAAAGTAAACAAAAAGGTTAATATACTTTTCGTTAATTTGATTGGTCAAGTTTTACTTTTATTCTAGAAAATTGAATTACATGTATTAATAGATTATTAATTGTAACGATTATCATAGACACTTAAATTGAAACTTAATTCTCAGTTTAACTGTACTCATAATGGTCAGAGGCAATTAACTGATTAAATAATAATAATAATTGATGATAATTTGATTCAAGGATAATCGATCATCAGGATTATCAAGTTAAGAAGGTTTAATTTTGATTGACAAATTAAAGGAGTAAGAGGGAAAACTGTTTCGCAATTTGTTGAAATTGATTGTTGATAATCAGCCAATTAATTATCGATGATATTTTTATCAAATGTGAAAGATGAACCAATCGGTCGGGCGTTTTCTAGGCCAATATAAGTGGACTGGGGCTGATAGGGTTTAGCGGTCGTGTAGATCGGTCGGGATGTTGTCCCATAAATGTTTCCTTGTTGATTGTTGATGTAAGGTCGAGGTGTGGTCGTTGTGTAATCATATGTTTCTCTGGTGTATCTGATGTAAGTGTTTAAAAGGAAGCGGCTACAGGCCACACAGTAGCCCCTTGAATCGGTAAATCGAGCTTGAAAGGTAAAGTAATCGGTACGATCATCATCAGGTAGATAACGACGACGGACACCAGCGGAAAAACATCGAGGGACATTGGCCTCTAATTCACAGTAATTACTGTTATCGGCACAAGTAGTTCGTTGGACAGTATCGATGTCGTAGTTGTTTCCATAACCATCGACGGCAGTTAACTGCAGATTCACCGCTGATACCGATTTGTCTACAATTAAAGAGCAAAGTTTCAATATTATTCTTAATTGGAAATATTTTAGACAATTAAACTAATTACTTACCTGGTGTTAGAATGAATTGAAATGAGAGACCATTAACTTTGCCAAAGAAACATGGTTCCTCTGTACAGTTAATTGCGACAACTGAATTTAACAATGGAGCAGCTAAATAAAATCCAATTAAAGAGGTAATTTAATTACTTCTTGATTGTTGATGATTTAATTGTCGGGTTAAAATTTACCTGTGTTTGGACAAGGCCTTAAATCCCTTATGGTTAATGAAGTTACCAAGCCAATGATTAGGAATCCATTAATTATTAGGAAAATTGATTCTGATGGTTTGATCATTTTTAACTTTTAATTGCAATTAACTTGTTTGATTTACAATTAGACTTCTTGATTAAGCTCTGATTCGTTAATAAACTTTAATTAATTACATGATTGTGTTGATCTCTTTTTGTTTTCATCAGTGGTTTGGTTAACACATTTACGAATTGATTTAAATTGATGATTAACTAATCACTGGAAACCACTTGTGGATTACGAGGCCGAATTAATTAAATTAAATTGTGTACAGATTTCTAATTAATCGGGACAATGATCTGTATTCAAACCCGTTGATTACCATTAATTTAAAGGAACTACAGATGCTAATTAATTAATTAACATTAAATGTGTTGGTTCAATCGTTTGTTTCATGATTATGACAATTAAAACGCTAACAACAAGTATTCAATTTGATTAAGAAACTAATTGTTAACAATTGATTCTCTTTAAGTTAAGAAACAAATAATTAATCAATTATGATCGCGATTGTTTTATCATTATTGGGATTGTTTGTCTCTGCCAATGGAATCCAAGTTAAATATAATGATTGTGGTAAGAATTAAGATGTTAATCATTACAACAATTAACTCGTTTTCTCTAATCAAAGGTAATCCAAGAAGTGATTCCATTTTCCGTTCAATTGTGATCTTGGGATGTCGACAACAACCTTGCGTCTTTAGTTCACAGAAGAATCTTGATTTTGAGATGGAGATCATATTAGGTAATTATTGATTAATTTTCGCTGATTCCTTAGATCTTTAATTGTGAAATTTTCATTCCAATCTACAGATGAGACTGTAAGTCACTTCCAGGTTCAAATAGATGCTCGAAGCTACGAATATGGTACAACCAAATCTTTGTCGACTTATACACTTCAACCACCAAATTGTAATTCGAGCAAATGTAAGATTCGAGCGAATGACATTCGTTGTATTCACCCAAGTTTAAGGCTTTCCGATCGACCGCCCGCAAATATTGACCTTTTCGTGAGTATTTATGACCAAGATCGTCGTAATTTGGGCTGCGCTGCATTCTCACTTCGAGTGAAAGATAATTAGAAAGCGAAAAAGAGAAGAAAAAACCAAAACAAAGAATCAGGGAAACACCAACAAGTTGATTCGATTCGATTCGATCATTGGTAATCTATGGACAGTTTTTTCCGCATCGAAAGCAAATCAACCTGAACAGAAGAAAACATTGAGATAAACAGTTAATTGTTGAAATAGATGATTACCTGAAAATGGAATAAATTTAAAAGAGAAAATAAATTCAATCCAATTTTCTGATTCTAAATAAAAGTTTTCACCTTTACAATTGTACATTTACCTTTTCCTCGATTAAACCGATCACTTTATAATCACTTATTGAGTTTAATTAGTGAAAACCACAAATCCAAAAGCGGGAAAAATAATCAAACAAAAATCGATAAGAACTTAATTTTCTGAATTTATATCGGTGATCGAATTCAGAATCTATTTATTTGAAAGTTTTCGTTTCTTCTGATTTTCTAATTCACTCTAATTGTTTCGTTCCTCGAAAAATCGCCGGTTGATGATGTTAAATCATTGAAATCTACTGGAAATGATTTAATTTCGTGTGAAATTTACAGTCACCCAGTTGGTGATTTACGTGATTTAGTTAATGAATTTCCATTGAAATCTTTACACGATGTGTTGATTAACCGAGCGCAGAATAGACCGTTCATGGTTGGACCAATGGACGATAAGTCGAAAATGTTCAAATTCCAAGTGACCAATGTCATCTATTCGGATGAAAGTGAACAATCAACCGAATCAAAGTTACTCTTTAGTAAATTGTTTTCCGAATACAAATTGAAAACTAATCATGAGAAGGTTTTTCCAATCGATGAACCAATAACGACTCTTGGTGATTGTTATCATATTTGCGAATCGTCAGTCAATTTATCATTAACTAACTCTGGTAATTGTTACGTTAAAAAACGTTTGCTGATCTATCAATAGATCAACAAATAACAACAATCATCACTTCTGCTGGTGGTGGATTGATAGCAATTGTTATGGTGATTCACTTAATTGTTGGATTTATTTATGGTTTGGTTGGTGAATACATTTATTATTTGGAATAACATTGATGGTAAGATTTATGAGAGTATAATAATGGTGATACCAATATCGGTTGTGGATTGGACATGCTAATGTCTGATAGAGAGTCTAATAGCCTTTGACTTATGACCACTTCGCCAATCGAAGATGAACTTTTTGGCCGTTTCAACTATTTGACCAATGTATTTATAGGATCCAGAGGGAACTGATCTAATCTTTTTATGAAAAAGATGATACCTGAAAAATTAGAACAATATTAATATTTATTACAATCAAAGTATATAAATCAAAATAAATTTACTTACGGGTAAAGTTTGAGATCAGCTTTGTGAATACCGAATTTAACTTTAATCGTGTCATTTGGATAATTTAGGAGATCGAAGCACAAAATAAGCCAAAGAGAGTATCTCAGACCTTTGATTTCAAAAGAGATCCTGTGAAAATAAGATTTATATTGTTAAAACTGAATTGGAAAAAACAATCGAATCGAAAATCAATTTTGAATACTTACTCAAAATTAGCAATATTGGCGTTTATGATTTTCCATTCATGAAAACGACAAACATTAAGCAGATCAACAAAAAGAGCTGCAATTTGATGGAAAATCTTTTGAAGATCATTAATGATCGTTGACAATAAGGCTGTTGTTGTTCCTTTTTGTTTCTTGAACTGGTCGAATTTAATGGCCACTGTCTTCTTGATTAAACGAATCAATTTATCATCTGATTTAGTTAAATGATGAACACTATATTCACTTAATTGGGCTAATCCTTGAGAGTTGATTTTCTTATCAATACAAGATTCAATTGTGATGTCTTCCAATTTAACTTCGGCAGTGTCAATATTGGATACCGAATATTTTAAATGAATGAGAAAATTTCCGTTCATAAATTTCAAAACGGCACCATCGTGATCTAATATAACGACAAACTTGTGGAATCTTGGATCGATTAATGAAAGATCTATATTAGCTTCAGGTACTTTCGTGAAGATTGAGTTATCAATAAAGTTGAAAACATCATCACCACTCGTTGATTCATCTTCAACCATCGAAACATCATCAACAAATAAAGAGCCAACGAAGGTTGAGTTGTGTTCGATTTGTTGAGAAACTTCTTCTTCTGAGCTCAATTCGAGAGTTGATTTTTTATCAACATAAAAAAGGATTGAGTCGTCATATCTGCTCTCGAAAGTGGAATAATCTTTACGAGAAAATTCAATTGAAGCACAAGAGCTTTGTTCTGTTGATCCAGAATCACTGAGAGAGATCAGCGAAGTGTTCGCAGAATGAGCTGGTAAATTGATTGATGATGAATTAGTTGGTAAGGTGGTGTGTGATGGCGAGTTGGTTGGCGAGGTGATGGGTAATGGTGATGGTGATGGCGATGGTGAGTTAGTTGATGAGGAGGTTGTCAAGTTTACTGGTGATGGTGAGGGTAAGTTGGCTGGTAAGGTTGTGTGTGATGGTGAGGTGGTTGGCAAGTTTATTGGTGAGTTGGCTGGTGATGGTGATGGTGAGTTAGTTGACGAGGAAGTTGGTAAAATGATTGATGAAGTGGTTGGCGAGTTGGTTGGTAACTTAACTGGTGAGGTGGTGATTGATGGCGATGTTGATGTTGATGGTGAGGGTGAGTTGGTTGGTGATTTGTTCGGTGAGGTAGCTGGTAAATTGACTGGTGATGGTGAGATGGCTGGTAAGGTAGTGGGTGAGGTGGTTGGTAAGTTAACTGATGAGGTGGTGTGTGATGGCGATGGTGATGGTGAGTTAGTTGGCGAGGTGGTTGGTGAGTTTACTGGTGATGGTGATGGTAAGTTGGTTGGTAAGGTTGTGTTTGATGGTGAGTTGGTCGGTGATTTGTTCGGTGATGGTGAGTTAGTTGGCGAGGTGGTTGGTAAGTTAACTGGTGAGTTGGCTGGTGATGGTGATGGTGAGTTAGTTGACGAGGAAGTTGGTAAAATGATTGATGAAGTGGTTGGCGAGTTGGTTGGTAACTTAACTGGTGAGGTGGTGTGTGATGGTGATGTTGATGGTGATGGTGAATTGGTTGGTAAGTTGACTGGTGATGGTGAGTTAGTTGATGAGGTTGGCGAGTTGGTTGGTAAGATGGGTGAAGAGACTGGCGATGGTGAAGGTGATTGTGATGGTGATTGTGATGGCGATTGTGATGGTGAAGTAAAAGAAATCACCATATTACAATCATAAAGCGTAGTGTTATGGACAGAATCAGATTCTTCCAGAGTCAACATCATCTCATCCAGTGATGGTGTTAGCTCATCGGCGATTTTCTCATGATACGTTCTTGTAGTTCCATCTTCATAAAGTTCTTGAAAAACCATATTTTGTGAAAAAGAAATTCTTTTCTTTTTCTTCACTTGTTGATACAAAGAACATGAAAGGATCGATGGTATTTCTTGTGACATATTGATATCGACAAAGTGGAAAACAAATTTTTGACAAAAATCACAAAAATTAGAATGGTAACAATTAAATTTACTAAATAAATTGATTGAAATATTTAATCACAAGCAAAAGTAGTTTGACAAAGCGAAAGTTATAAACCAACTGACTATTTCAAAATTTGAAAATTCGGTTGCGAATCGGTCGTCATAGTAACTGAGCTTCGGCGCGAAGTTTAAGCTTTAAGTTAATTTCGAAGGAAAATGAAAATGATTATTGGAGAAAACTATGTGATTCGTTAATATGATGACAAATAGAAATTCCATTAACTCTCAAAATCGTTAATGGTTTACGTTGGAAATAATATCGACGGAAACGATGAGAACGCTTTTTGGCCACCAAGCCCATAAAAGTGTGACTATGAGTCTTTTCAATAACTGTCGCTTCCACATGAACCAAATTACGATCTAGCAAAGGTCTTCCAACGAGAGTTAATTTATCATTTCCAATCATCATTATCTTTTCCAATTTAATTCTATCACCAGGATTAGCAGGTAAATATTGTTAATCATCATTGTTAACTAATCAAGGTGGTAATTAATAGTAAATCGGTGGTGGTAGTAATAGGAATCAAGGAATAGATTTAGATGAGATGATGATTATCAGGGTGGGAAAGTGGATGGTCAATGTATTAAATGGTCAATCAAGGCAATTCCACAATTAATTAAATTGTAAGCAAAATAATCAAGCAAAAAAATAATAATAATAATTAACATTTTATTAACTGTACATTGAGACAAAAAAATCAGTGCATCACTTGCAGGTAAGATGATGATGATGATCAAGGTGAGCAGTTGAACCAAAGTGAAATCTTTGTAATAATCAAATTTGATTGTTGATTGTAAATACACATGAATTAAACACTAATTATAGATTTTTTCCCGTTGGTATAAATACCTGGTGATTGGTGGAAAGGTAAAAGTTTATATTGATTAGTATCTGATGATATATAATTAACTGATTGATGATTGTTAATTAGTATTAATTAACTTACGAGATCTGTTGTTCCCTCTCGACATCCAGTTTGAAATCTTAGTCGACGTTCAACTAAAGGGCGATCTTTATAACCAACATAACGAATCTAAACAAAATGTGATAACGACAATTAATCAATCGATTTGAAGTTAATTAACTTATAATGTTTAACATACCTCCTTAATCGACGAAATAGTTCATCGGATTCAAATTTATCCTTCTGATTGGAAACAACTTTTGGTACTGAGAAAAGTTGTTTAGGTAATCGTTCAAAAATGGTTGGAGTTTCAAATGGAAGCATTTTGTTTGGTGGTTGTAATTGTTATACGAAAACAAATTCAAGAGAAATTGAATTAACTATCAAAATGGTTAACACACAATTATCATGAGATGATTGAGAATTTAGGATTTTTTGTTGGAGTTTAAAATTCACTTTTATTGATTGAGATTATCTCCTTATAATCCAACCAATAAAACAATGAGGTAATATCTTTGAATAGGATGAGGATGAAAACGATAAGAAGATGAGGATGATATTACAATATTAACGACATGAAATGTTAGGGACTCAAGTCGCTTATCAAGTCGAGTGTGAGACAGAAATGAGGCAAGAATGAAGATGAGAAAAAAAGTTGATGTGAGTGAGATGGCTGGTAAGGTAGTGGGTGAGGTGGTTGGTAAGTTGACATATTGATATCGACAAAGTGGAAAACAAATTTTCGACAAAAATCACAAAAATTAGAATGGTAACAATTAAATTTACTAAATAAATTGATTGAAATATTTAATCACAAGCAAAAGTAGTTTGACAAAGCGAAAGTTATATAAACCAACTGACTATTTCAAAAAATGATTATTGGAGAAAACTATGTGATTCGTTAATATGATGACAAATACGAATTTCATTAATTCTCAAAATCGTTAATGGTTTACGTTGGAAATAATATCGACGGAAACGATGAGAACGCTTTTTGGCCACCAAGCCCATAAAAGTGTGACTATGAGTCTTTTCAATAACTGTCGCTTCCACATGAACCAAATTACGATCTAGCAAAGGTCTTCCAACGAGAGTTAATTTATCATTTCCAATCATCATTATCTTTTCCAATTTAATTCTATCACCAGGATTAGCAGGTAAATCTTTTAACACGTAAAACATATCACCTTCGGTTAAAAGTTTCTGTTTACTGTACATGTAAACAACAGCAAAGTGACGATCCTTTGAAGTTGAATCAATTGTTTGATTAACTTTATTAAAATACAATTTCAAATTATCAGCTTCAGTTATTTTACTGAATTCCAAGCCATCACCTTTACTTTTAGCTAAATTCTGTCCATTAAAATTCACCTTTTCTCCAATATTTTGAGACATAATACTCAATTTACTATTGTTAAATATCAATGAAAAACCCCGAAAATAAAACAAAAAAAAAGAAATACAATTAAAATCAAAATCAAAATTAAAATCTCTTCACATGTTAACTCAACTTACCATTGAGATGATTTTAGAAAATCAGATTCAATTATTTTCTTCATGGTTATTGATCCATTTCTAAGCAAAGAAACACCAGGTAGAACTCTTCTTAAAGTAAACATGTTGCTTATCTTTGAATTACTATGAATAAAAAAAAAGAAAATTAATCAAACTAATCAATTAATTAGCAGAAAAATTTTGTAAACAATAATCTGAACACAATTGGAACTCACTGATTTCTATCCACCAGGAGGCGCTCAAGAGAAACACATGTTAATGTTTTTGTTTTCATTTCGTTTTAATTTTGATTTAATTTTTTGTTTCTCCTAACATGTTAATTAGTTGATCAATTGAATTGATTTTTTTTTGTGTCGAAGTTACAATTGATTCTCTGGTATCATGTTATCATTTAAAACAATCGTTTCTCGAGTACAACCACTAAGGAATCGAGTAATTTTAATGTCTCAAGTTTTTAATTCACTTTCAATTAAATCAATTGCAAGGTAATTAGACTATTTTCTAATTGTTTCTCTTTTTATATTAAAATTTGTTTGATTTTGACTTTTTTTTCTATTTAAATATTTATAGTAATACTAATTATTCCGAGACTTCAAGTGAGAAGAGAAAATGTTTACCCACTGAACCAAATTCGCCAAACCAATCTTGTCAAACTGAGGAAACTAAATCAAGTCCAGTTGAAACTTACAATCATAATAAGATGATTGCTCAAAGAAATATTACTGGATCATTAATGGAAGAGAGTTTAATCAAAGAAGAGGAAAAATATCAGACTAAATTATCAGAAATAATTGAGATATTTTATTCCATCGATGAATCTGTTAGGCCGGAAACTCTGAAAGCAACTGACGTTGATTATATGGTGAAAATGAAACCAAGACAAATCAGAAGTTACATTAAAAGTATGGGAAAGTTACAAGCTAAAAGAGAGTCTATGGTTGAATATAAGCAAGAGATCAAAGAGGCCATTTTCTCAAGACCTAAACCTGAACTCGGAGTCACTTTCGACCAAGAAACCGGTAAACCGATTTACAAATTCCACAACATTTGTCCCGTTTGTAGTTATAATATCACAAAGCGAATGCGTGAGTATTGCCTCAGTCGAATCGCTCAATGGAAACTAGCGGGAACACAGAAAATTATATTCGACTTTGATTACGACCAGTATATGACCGCTAAACAACACATGACGATAACTGCTCAGGTTAAAATTAGCATGGGAATTTTAAAAGAATCGCCTGAACCGATTGAATTATTTTTCTGTAATCTTAAACCAGAAAGTCCAGTTGCTCAATATTTGATCTTGATTTTAAATCATTATCATCTAATATGATCGAGGCAACTTCCAAATCTTATCTTGATCTATTTCCAAAGGAAAGGTTAGTTTATTTAACTGCGGACACCGATAATGTGCTTAAATATGATCCTGATGATATTTATATTATCGGAGGGATGATTGATACTTTAACCAATGAACCTTTATCAGCCATTAAATCACAACGAGAGGGACTTCGAACAGCTAAATTACCTTTAAATGATTATGTTTCTATACGAAATGAAGTTAAATCACTTAAAGTTAGTCAAGTTTTTGGAATAATTTGTCAACTTTGTTCAAGTTCCAATGACAATATGATGGAAGCTTTAAAAAAGTATATTCCATTTCGTATTCGACCAGAGGCTGAACTTGATCGAATTGGGGAAAGATTTGAAAAAGCAAACCTTAAATCACGAGAATCGTTGAAAAATAAATTCTCATTAACAGATGAAGAAACTGATGTTATGATATTATTAGCTGAATATTATAAACGTGATGGTGGATTAGACAGTTTAGATTCTAATTGTTAATTTATAAATAATAATATAAATAAAGGTTAATTTGATCACCCTCAATAAATGTACATTGTATATAATTGATTTTGTTGGTTGTTTTTTTAACAAAACAACATAAATATATCAACTTATTGTAATTTTGCTTACTTTAGAAAGTATTAAATTATGTGTTTATAATAATTAATTAATTATCGTCGTTATCAAGATCGTTTTATAAGCTTTTCAAGTCTTTTGATTTTACTTGATTCTTGGTCGATAGTTGTTTGTGTTATCGAATTTGATTCGTTAGCATCTCCTTTAGGTGCTACTCGATATGAATCAATTAGAACTGTTGATTCTGGTCTTCGAACTCCTTTCATGTCTAAAATTTTGATAAATTCTTCTAAATTGGAATCAGGAAGTAGTTTGATGTAACTTTCAATATAATGAGCAACATCTCGATGAGGAACCAGAACAACTTTTAAAATCATCTCAGCTTTGGTCATCCCTCTGATCACTTCCTTGACATAAGAGGCTGGAGCTGATTTAACATTTGATTCCCAACCAGGTAGTTCTTGTAATACTTTTTTCAATAGATGAGTATCTAAAAGTAATTGTTCAGCTCCTTCTTGTCGTAAAGGTTTACAACGGAATAAATAACCAATAAATTTTGGAATGAAAATCTGAGCGAATCTATTGCACAATTGGGTAAAATATTTTCTCGCATCTTGTAAATTTTCACGAATAAAAGGGAATATTTGTTGTAAATTATCAACGATTAATTTAACGTAAGGACTTTGATCAATTGGTGTTCCAATTGTTGACCATTGAGTTTTAACCATAAGAGAAAAGCCCAATTCACATCCTGATTCAATGTCTTGGATTAGCAAATCAATACAATTTAAAATTATTCTAAAATGAAAAGGAAGGAAGAAGAAAAAAAAAATTCTAATTAGAATAATTGAACAGAGATTAGAAAAAAAAAATTAAATTCTCTCTGTAAATATTTACCTATGAAATAAATCTTGTTCCGAGCTCATGTTTATCTTATCAACATATTGTTTATCCACTTTTTCTTGAAGTTTTTTCTCTAATTGTTGAACTGTTTCCAGACAGTAATTAGCAGTTAAAAGGATACAGCAAATTTGACAGAGATCTTGTTTCGTGTATCGAACGACCTCTCCTTCCTTTAGACTGATCTGAAGAAGACCTGCCGCCGAAATAGCGGCATTTATAACGGAAACTCCAGAAGCTGATAAACTGGAAGTTTTAATTCGAGGTAGATTGTTGTTTAGAACTCGAGTCGCATAATCTTCCAGATTTTTCTTGAATTTAAACGATAATTCAACCAAAGGACGACCGGTACTCAGTTGGACACATTGAACTAGACAATTTTTATATTGTGAGAAAAGGATTCCAGCGGAAGGAAAAACTTCTGATACATTTCGATCATTGGTAAACTTTTGCTTCTGATATTCATCGATAAATTGATCAATCAATTGGGATAAATTTTTCTCCTGCGCTTCAACATAGATTTTCAAATGAGGTTCAAAACAGTGAGTAATTAAACCAGCAAATGGATTTAGTAAATTCTCTTTACTCATCTCTTCATTGATCAAAGTTACTCCGGTAAACCTTTGATTCAATAGATTTTCAAAGGCAACAGTTTTGCTAAATGCAAATAATAGTAGACGGACATTCATCTCGTTGGCTCGATTTAGCATCACCTTGCTTAATTGAGAAGCGGTTAATTTACAAAATTCAACTGCAATACATTCACTTACCTCCCATTTGGGAGGAAACATGCGACCAAATCTTTCCTCGAATTCAATTAGGTGTTTCTTCAGCCAATTATACCGTTTATCAATTTTATCCAACCAGGCTAAATCTTGATTATCTTGAAATAAAGCTTTATACTCTTCCAATTCTGAGTCTATGAACCATTCAAGAAGCTGATCTTTAACAGGATTTTTATCACCATCTTGAGACATGGTGGAAACAACAAGACAGGCCTCGGCTAATAATCGTAATTGACTTTGTGAAATAGCAGCTCCTTGTTTAGATTTAGGTCTACCTTCAAGTACACCTTTAAAATCAGCTTTAATCTGTTCTGCTAAGGAATCGGTGATATCATTTAATTGACTTGAAAGTTGTTTAATCTGAGGAATATGTCGATGTTTATCCAATTGATTTAAAACATCATTTACACTTTGAAGGATACCAGCAGCAGTTCCATAATTACGTTTGGAACAAGCTTCACTGTAATTAAAAAAATGAGAATAAATTAAAACGATAAACAAATTTAAAGCAATAAAACAAACCAAATGACATTTGGATTTGTTTACAAACTCATCCAATTCTTACCTGAGTTTATCAACCCCTTCAACGAGAATATGAAGATTATTTAACATGGTGATAGATGAAGTTAAATTCCTTTTAGCATTATCCAATTGTTTGATATCCGCAGTAATTTCATGAACCATTTGCTCTGATTTCTTGGCTTGTTCCTTCATTTCACCAATATTACTTGTCAATACACCGATTACCCTTTTCACCTCATCCAATGCAGCTCGACCTTCAGTTTCAACATCACTTTGACCTCTAACAACTCGTCTAATATCTTGATCTAAATTTCTTATTTTATCCTTCATTTTAGATAAAACATCATCAATATTGGTTAATGACTGTTCGGTTGGAAAAATTGTATTAATATAATCAATGGCATCAAAATCACATTGGTCCAAAGGATCATCTGAAACCAACACCTTACTGATTGTTTCTTGTACCTCAGCAGGTATGGTGACCTTAGTGTCCATTGGTGCAGACCACATTCATAAGCGAAAGAAAATCAATCACAATTTAAATCAATCACATTAATTAAAACGCAAAGAGAATGAAAAAAATTAATTGTTTACATACAAATATCTGAATCCATTTGAATGGATCAGAAATTTTATTCCCCAAATAAAATAGAAAAGAATTTACATTCTGTAATTAGTAATCGGTCCCTAATTTTTTTTCTTCCAAACGGAACCGGAAAGTTACTTTTACTTCATTTTTTGGTTTCAAGATTTTGTTTTGTTTCAATTAGAGATTGTTAATTGTAATTAATAAGTTATTTCTTTAATTGTGAGTGTAAAATTAGTTTAAAATGGTAAGTTTTGTATCGAGAATCATTGTGAATAATTAGTTATCTATGTTTTTCTATTTGTGATTGAATTATTTTATGTTTTTCTTTGATTCTCATTTTTTGTTCTCTATCTTGATTTTTTTTCTTCTCTTCTATAGTCTGCCCATAAGACATTTAGGATTAAAATCAAGTTGGCCAAAAAACAAAAGACCAACCGACCTATTCCTCAATGGATAAGAATGAAAAATGGAAACAAGATTCGATACAATGCTAAAAGGAGACATTGGCGAAGAACCAAGCTTAAGCTCTAATTGTTTTGTATTGTGCTGACATAGAGTTTCCAATTAAATTAATAATGTTTCAACATTAATTCAATCGTTCATGGTGATTCTTCATTTCTTTCATCTTATTCACACATTTCCCCGTTGTTCTTCGCGCTGACTTAACGTCTTAAATTCAATTTCTCAAGTGTGTTAGGCTTTTTACCTCAAAAACGTGCTCTCAACAAACTAAATGTTAAAGTCGCTTCGTTGTAAACAATTTTTATTGTACAAAATCTATAGCTCTAAATTTACTATTTACAGTTTCTCTTTTGCATCGTCAAAAAATTTTGTTATTTCTTTTTACTCCATTCCTTGTGCAGCTTCTTTAACATCTCTGCAGATATTTGACCAGATTGAACTAATTTCTTAGCTGTTGGAGACTCAGTGATTTCTTCAGTTTTAAATTGATCTTCGTTCGAAGTTGTTGATGATTGGTCGACTTTTCCATTAATTGCTGGTTCTATTCGTCTTCGGGTTCTAGTCGATGGTGAACTGAGTTTACTTGATTTTAAATTAGCAGTAATCAATTTAGCAAGATGAATTAATCCTTTCTCAATTTTACCATCAATCTCCTTCTGTAATCCTCTTACTAATTCAGGATCAGGGAAAAGATCTGGAAAACGGTAACTTAACCATAGATAAAGATCAAGAACATCAAAAGTCATCTCCAATGAAGCTAATTCATTAATATTTCTCGGTATTGGAACAGGCCAATTAATTTGATTACTCAACCAGTCGATAGTTACTGGTTCATTGATACTGTATTGCCGAGCAAATTTGGTGAACATACTACAAACGAAACCATATTGAAGGTTAATTGGTGCACAACAGAAAACATAACGAGCTCTTAATGGTAGATTAATGTGTTGAATCATATCAGCTAAAGCTTTGAATGGACTAATATCACAAATAAAGTAATTCGATGAATTAATTTGACACAGTGAGACAAAAATATCTACTAAATTGGATAAAGTTGCTTTCGGTAAATAGTAAGCAAAAAGTTCAATCTGCTCAGCGGTTGGATGAAGACCAGCGGCAACAATTGGATCAACTGTTTGAACGAGAAGTTTTTTCAATATTTGAAGATCTTCCTTGTGCATGGTGGTGGCGAAACCCTCCGAGTAATCAGTTCCAAATCTACCTGCTCGTCCAGCTATTTGAAGTGCTTGAGAAACACTGATTAACTGTTTCTCCTTTTCTCCTTTATCATTGGTATTGAGTTTCAATTGATTTGAAAATAACTCTATTAATACTTAAATTAAGACCCATACCAATGGCATCGGTTGCAACCAATATTTTACAAGATGAAGATGGATCATTAAATTTTCTTGCTTGAGCTAATTTACTGGTCGGTGGTAAACTACCATAGATAACGGCCACTTCTTTTCCCATTTTCTCTAATTCCAGGACAGTTGCATAGAGTTCGGCTTTATTGAAGCAAACAATACAATCTCCAGGTCGAACATTATTCAATGATAATAAGGGTTCGTCACTTATTGTTAATTTAGTTAATCGATTATATTTACGAACTTCAACTGTTTCGCCAATTGGAAGTAAAATTTCTTTAACAATGTCTACCGCTGCTTCTTCACCACATAAATGTACCTCTAAAGCGGGAACACCAAGTAAGGCTCTTGTCCAAGCCCAACCTCGTTGAGGATCACGAAGCATTTGAATTTCATCGATAACAGCGACTTCACAATTATCTCGAGTTGAGACCATCTCTACGGTACAAGCATTATGAGGTGAAGGTGCTCCACTTGGATCGGCTAATCGACGCTCTTCTCCGGTAACAAGGTCACATTTTGTTCCTCTATCATTGGCCTTTGAATGTACTTCAACAGCTAATAACTTCAAGGGGCCACAATAAACACCCGATTTGGCGGATAAAAATCTTTCTAAAGCATGATATGTTTTACCACTATTAGTTGGTCCACAGTGGAAAATAATTTTCCTCTGTATTGATCTTGCCTCAGGATACCAGTTTGGTGGAAGTCGAAGGTCACTGATTTTCTTTAATTCCTCAATACAATCAAGATGAGGAAAAATAGAACGAGCATATTTAATAAAAGGTGTGTAAATATCATCAACATGACCAGAGTTATTTAAAATATCCGAGAAAGTGACATGAAGATCAACTGGTAAAGGATTAGTTGTAACACAATATTGTTGAAAACTTTTAAAAGCTTGATTGTAAATTGAAAGATCCATTCCCAATTCAATTGCCATCTCTTTAATATGTGGTCGTTGATAAAATTTTTGTAACAATTGTAAAATCTCAAGACGTTGAATTTTCCTTCCAGTCAATTCTTCACCAACATTTGTTTGATTGACCAAATTTTTCATCGATTTTGGTTCAAGTGGTATCACAGGTAAAGATTTTCTCTTCTCACTAAAAGTCTTGGATTTGCCAGTATTACTATCAACAAAAATTGAGAAAAAAACAGTAAATCAATATAAATCATAAAAACAACAATTGAATCAAAAACAATTAGAATTACAAAACTTACCTAGCAGCTGATTTGGTTAAAGTTGATTTAACCACATGAGGCATGAAAATTACTCGATTTCTTTGTGGTTGTACTCGAGAAACGATTGTTTTAAATGATAACATGATACCAGAGAATCAATTGTAACTTTGACAATAAAAAAGATCAATCCAATTAATCAACTAATTAACATGTTAAGAGGAACAAAATTAGAAAATTAAATCAACACTAAAACCAAACGAAAACATTAACATGTGTTGACTAACAAGCGCCACCTAATGAATGGAAATCAATGTAAACAATCAAATTTTAATTGTAACAAAAATAATTAATCTTCACAACAATTAGATCCTCAAGATTAACTTAACTGAATCTGATTAAAAAAAAAATAACAATTGAACAAAATTAGAGTTAATTTGATTAAGAAAATATAATTTTCCATAATCATTGATTTGTTTTCATTTCGATTTTAAATTTTATTCTAATTGTTATTGTTTTCTAATTTAATTGTTCTTATTCTTCTAATTTTTTTCTCCCAATCAATAAATGATTTAAGAGTCTATTCATTAAAATAGAAAAACAAAATTAATTAAAAGAGAGTTGAGACTTAATTGTTTGGAAAAAAGAAAAGAAATTTTTTTTTCTATTCTATTCTAAAGCGTATTTAGTATACGGTCCCCTATTCGAAAGGAAGTCGGTTCTGTATCCGGTCTTCAGTTGATAATTTTTTGTTTAAGGCAAAATCTTAAATATTTGGCACATGGGATTAGTTTAACAACTAAATTAAGTAATTTAATTTTGATTTTGTGATTAATTCAATCATCTAGAGTGGTTATTTGTTCGTTTGTGTTTATTGTTTAGGGTTTTATTGTAATTAATTAGTGAATTGAAATGGTCGTTTCAAAGGTAACTAAAGATGCTCTTTATGAAGGAGTAAACCAAGTCCTATTGGAAAGTAAAAGGAATAAAAGACATTTCCTTGAGACTGTCGAATTACAAATTGGTCTTAAAAATTATGATCCCCAAAAGGATAAGCGTTTCTCTGGTACCGTTAAGGTGAAACATATTCCTCGACCTCGATTCCGAGTTTGTATTCTTGGAGATCAGCAACATTGTGACGAAGCTGCTGCCAATGGATTGGATGCTAAGAATGCCGATGATTTGAAAAAGTTGAACAAGAACAAGAAATTGGTTAAGAAATTGGCCAAAGGTTATGATGCTTTCCTTGCTTCTGAATCATTGATTAAACAAATTCCTCGTCTCCTTGGTCCTGGTCTAAACAAAGCTGGTAAATTTCCAGCGCTGTTGACTCACAATGAAAGTATGGTGGCTAAAGCTGATGAAGTTAAGGCAACCATCAAGTTCCAAATGAAGAAGGTTTTATGTTTGGCTGTAGCCATTGGCCATGTTCAAATGACACCCGATGAATTGGCTCAAAACATCAACTTAGGCGTCAACTTTTTGGTCTCTCTTCTCAAAAAGAATTGGCAAAATATTAAATCCCTACACATCAAATCATCCATGGGACCTCCAATCAGACTCTATTAATTTAAGAAACGAAGAATTTTGTTATTAAGGTTTTCTATTGCAAATATCTGTCATTGTCTAGAGAAAAAAAAAGAGATTGAAAGGTAACTGAAAGAATATTTGATTGTCCAGTTACCTTTTTCTTCAAATTAACCCAACTTAACAAAATTCTATTTTGTTTTGTGTCCCCTTTCGACAGTCATTTGTAATAAAAGCCTTAGATGAAAAAAACCCAATCAAACCCCAATGAAAATGAATTTTGTTTCTTTCTCGCGAAACAATTAAAAAAAAAGATATTCGGACAATTGAGACAATCATCTTTAGAAAAGCTCAGAAAACATATCGCTTTATTTCACAAGAAAGACTTTTCATCTCATTTTACTTGTCCCTCAATTCACAGGATGAGGAAAAACCTGTAGAAATATTTACATTTAATTAATCAACTTAATTCGTTGGTCATCTGTATAATTTAGATTCGCACCTCTTGCTTGTTTCATTTGAAATCCATTGTGGAGGAAAACGAAAGTAAGAGAAAAAGGAAACAATATAAAGGTGAATAAATTAACAGCAAAATGGAAAAAGATGTCAAAGGTCCTGATAGGAGAAAGAGAGAGAGAGTGAGAGAGAAATTACATGAAAGAGAAAAAAAGAAAATGAAAAAAAGACTGAAAAAAATGTGCGAGAAAAAGAGTAATGTGAATACGAGGTAAATCCCTGGCCCATAAAATTGAAAATTAGATGATGTTGATTGTTGGTGGTTCTTGTTGTTGGCTCATGTGAAATCGAGATGAGGAACAGTTTTTTTGGATGATCTTAGTTATTTAAGCATTTTAAATATACATAATAATAAATCTCTGGGTGTTTTTGTTGTGAAATGAAATGTTGATACCTATGACTAAGTGTCGTCAAGACATTTCAGCTCCGAGTAGAATACGTGTAAATTCATAAATAAAGTAATTAATGCTAACTGCTGGAGTACATTTGAGAAAATTGGGTAATATTCCTCGATATAATCCAAAGTAACCTTCCTCGGCGATGATTTTCTTGAATACCATTAAAATAGGTAAAACTGAATCAGATGTTTGAGCTTGTAAACGAGTTCTTATTAGTGTTAATGGGTAGACGATGCAAACACCCGTTATATTACTGACAGTCCCACAGACAAGATAAAGTCCTAATGGTGGGTTCCCTGGATGTCTTTGAATGTACATTCTTTTCAAGGTCTATATATAAGAGAAAGAAAATATTGATAATAATTAAACATGAAAGAACAATAATAATAAAAAAAAATATAATCGATTTATATTGTTGAACAAAAATTATGAAGCAATTTTATGTTTCTCTTTTCATTTTAACTGAGAGATTGATGAATTGCCTCGATAATCATAATAATGATGATGGTGATGATTAAAACGAACCTCATAAGTGGCTAAATCTATTCCAGCGTAAGGTATGATCCCAAGAAGATTGGCAATATAACCTTTATAGAAAGCACGAACTCCTTCAGTTGTGTAAATCTTAACTATGGCATCCCAAAGGCCTTTATATTGTCCAGTTTTACGAAGACAGAAACGAGTTTTTAAAACCTCCATCGGGTATATCACAGTCTGAGAAAAAGATCCAGCAATGGACCCGGAAATGAATCTCTCTATAAAGCCAAGTTCAGTTTTCATCTGATCATGCATGAGAAGTTTAATCTAAAGAGAATGAAGGAAAAAAAAAGAAAACAGAAAGATGATGATTCAGATTAGTCATTGATTTTTGATCAAGGTAAGATATTAGACTAGGAATAAAACAGAAAAGGCAAAAGTATACACATATTAACAAGGAAAAAGATATGAAAGCGAGAGAGAGAAAAGAGAAATAGAGTATTTAAAGAGACATGATGATGATTGCGAAAGAGGTGAGAATGAAAAATAAGAAGGCAAAATTTCAAGGTTAACAAGATGAATAACTTTTCAGACACTTTTCAGACCGGTTCATGGTGATGAACCCGGTAGTTAACACACATAGAGAGGAAACGAAAACACAATGTGAAGAGCAATTTTTGAGTGGAGATAATGAAAGAGAGACAAAAAAATACAGCGACAAACAGAAATGAAAATCTCTATTCAACACAATCCAAATACAGAATACAAGGTGTACAGAGGAAGAAGAAGAAAAAGAAATGGATTAACAGTTGGATTAACAAATGATGTTACCTGATCATGGAAAGTAAATTTCAAGGCATTTTCTGGAGCTACTTTCATCACATTTATACCATTTCCCATCCAGAACGATTTAACACCCCCCTCTTTAATCATATAATAATAACAACCTCTTATACTGACTAATTGAGCCCCTTGGACCTGTAAGAGAACCTTAATTCTGTCTAATGGAGCGGTTACCGTTCTCGAAACACCACCAGCAAATGCACCAGCGATAACGTGTTTCCACCAATTTGAATTATCCATTAGGCTTAATTACCTTAAACTGTATACACTCAGTTTAATTAAACACAATTAAAAGGTTATAACTAATTGTTAATGAGAGAAAATAACAAAATTGCTTCATGTAAACAAAAAAATTTTTAGAGAAAAAAAATCAACTTCAATTATCAACATTTCCACCAGAGGTCATCATAATCACTTTCGATTTCAACTCCATCTGTTGTTGAATTGTTGCGAAAATTAATTGTTTATCTTGTTCCAATGATCAAATTGACACCAATATTATGACAGTGCGACAGTTACTTTAGTTGTTTTCTCGTTACTCTTAAAACTGAGACTCTTATTGCGTCGTAATAACTACAACCACCTCTCATCTAAGGTTAGTATCACATAATACATCTTACTAATTTTCGCTCTCTCTCTATTTCTTCCCATGATTTAAAATAGCTTGATTGAAAAAAATTCTGATTTAAAATAACAATATTTAAAATTCTAATATTTAAAATTACAATATGTATGTAAAAAAAAAAGAAAGGAACCAAACAAACAAAAAACTAAACAAAAGGATTGTCACCATTAGATGCATCCAACCAAATGAAGGACAAGCCAATGAAGCCACCAAATTATTCAATCACTGTTTAAATTGTATTTGAAAATTCATGTAAACTGGGCGGTTAGCTCAGGGCCTTAGGGCAGTTGGACTAAGTCCAATGGAAATGTATAAAGCATTAACCTCGGGGGTAGGTGTAATAAAATGTAACTTAAGGAGAAAGATTAACTTTTTTCGCTCCTAATAATTTTTAATTTAATTAACTTTACTTGTGAATTTAAAATTAAATTTTGTGTTATTATTGTTAATCTCATCACAAGGATCAAGTTGATACCAAAATTATGATAGTTCAACAGTTACTTTAGTTGTTCTTGTTACTCTTAAAACTGATGCTTTTATTTATTTAATAACTTCAACCATTTTAGTTTTCTTGGTAAGTTTGATTGATAACCTAACAAAGAAACCAAAAACCACACTCAAAGCCTCAGATGCCTTTCAAATTTAAACTTATCAAATACAAACCTAAAAATAAAAACACAATCACTGTACAAAACTGAGCGCTTAACTTGATACAAATTTGAAATTTCTCTTCTCTAATTTTATTTTCTCTTTTTCATGACGAACCTAATGAGTTAAACTTTTTTGGACCTGATCTTGGCCTTCGTCTCAACCTACTGATGCCTATTTCATATTCAAATTTAAACAATCTCACTGTTCAAAAACCAAGCTGATGAATCCAAGACAACAAGACACTTACGATTGGAGGACTGGTATTTAATGAATGAAGAAAATATTGTAAACAAACTAAAGATTTTCAATGAAATTGTAAAAATACTACAAGCAAAAATTGTAAGAACTGAGCGTTTAGCTCAGTGCCCACAAGGGCCACCCTCTCGGGTGCTAAATGCCTAATGAATTACCTCCGACCTTGGGAGGATAGTAAATTGTAATCAATCAACAATTGAATGAAAAATATTTACAATTATACAATTGATACTTATTTAGTAGTCAATTATAATAATCGTAAGTGAAAATATTTCAAGTTCAATTTTTTAATTTTCTAAAAACGATTAACCAATAAAACAATTGGACCGATTTAATTGTGATAATCAGGCCAATAGAATGAAAAATTTAATGATCATTGAAATAATTAAATAAATAAATTTTTATTACCAATTAATAAATAAAGTTTATATAAATATAAAAAAAGAAATAAATAATAGTACAATTAAATTAAAGGGTTAATTGTTTATAAATAACTTTTTCCAATCAATAAATTACTTTAAACAAAAAAGTTAATTTGAAATTAACAAATGAAAAAGATGAAAAATAATTTACTCAAAGTAAATGATTAAGTTTAAAGAAACAATTGTTTACCTGATTAGTTGATTTTCTTTGTGATTGGCACACGTTATAAATATATTGATAAATTATAATTTCTTACACCTCAAAATTAGTATTGAGGGTTAATTGTTACATTGATTGTGATTGAGAAGGTTAATCGGTAAACAATTAGTTCCAATTTTCATTTGACTGACTACTTAGATCATTCTGTTGATTAGGAGGGATTATTTTCTCATCTGAACCATTTGATTCGTGAAGAGAATTAGGTTCAAGTGTAGTTCGATGGTCACTTTGTGGACTGGACGTTTGGTCAGTCGCTGGATTATTAGAACTAGAATTAGAATCAGAATAATAAGTCAATTCTTTATCATTCTGAGAATTTACTGAGAAATTATCGTTTTGATTAGAGGGAATTCCCTGAGTAGTAGTTGGACTATTGGTCGTGGTGGAAACAGTTTCGACGAACGGACTGATTCCTTGAGATTCTTGCGGCGATAATTGATTACTCGAAGTACTTTTTTGGCCTTGTAAAGGGGTTTGTTTGTCGTTCGATGGACTTTGAGTGCTAATTGTCCCTTCGTCGGCTAATGAATTGATTCCTGAATTAACTGGAGTATTTTCAGAGTTAGTAACAGTTTCAGTGAACGCGATCATCCCTTCATTTTGATTGGTTCCTTGTTGATCATTGTTTGGGTTTTCTTGATTATTTGATGAACTTGAAGTGTTTTCAGTGAATGAGCTCATTCCATTATCATGAGATGTTTCACCATGAGATTCAGAGGATTGTCTATTTGGAATCGATGAGTCTTGATGTTGTCCAGATGAAATCGACTGATCATTTGACTGACCATTAGATGAACCTTGATTAGAAGTATCGGAAAAATGAGAAACTCCTTGATTGTTGTTAACTTGATGATGATCATGAGAAGAATCTTGATTAGCTGACCCATGGTCACTTGGATTATCATTTTTTCCAGAATTTGATCCACTAAACGGTGACAATTCTTGATCATTCGGAGTACCATTGTGAGTGGGAATATTATGATTATCACTTGATGAATCGTGTTGATCTGTTGATGTTGGATTATTATTATTGTTTTGGTTACCAGAATTTGAACCCGAGAATGAGGACAGTTCTTGATCATTGGAAACTCCATGTTCATTGGGAACATTTTGTTGTTGATCAAATGATGAACCATGAGCACTTTGAGTATTTTGAGTATTAAAATTTGATCCTCCAAATGAACTTTGATCATCGGAACCTCCATGATTTCCAGGAATTCCATGATCTCCGGAGGAATCAACATTTTGCTCTTGAGAAACTAACTGCTGATCAGTTCCATGATTTGAGTTACCATAATCACCGTTAGCATTGTTATTCACGTTACTATTGTGGTCACTTTGAGCTCCATTAAATCCTAATAGTCCATCACCTTGATCATTAGCACTTTGATCATTACCATGAATAGAATCAGAATTGGAAAGTTCTGATTCACCTTCCATACCTGAGTTATCACTTTGATCGGTCTCCGATTGATAAGCTGAATCCTGATTACCTGCGAGGTCAAAATCACCTTGACCATCATCATCAGAATACCCACCGTGCATGGAACCTCCTTTCATCTTTTTTTCTTTTTCTTTTTCTTTTTTCTCTTTTTTCGACATTTTCTTAGCCTTTTTCATCATTTTCTTCATCTTCTTTTCATCTTTCTTTTTCTTTTCCTTCATTTTCTTTTCTTTTTCTTTATGTTTCTCCTCACCATGTTCATAATGTTCACCATGTTCTTTCTTCTTCTTCTTTGCAATCAATGCTCCCGCTAATCCACCAGTTAATCCGCTAGCAAGTCCACCAACTAATCCACTCGCCAGTCCACCCACAATTCCGGCAACAGCACCAATCGCACCCACCGGGTCACGAACGGGAATAGGTAATGGTAAAGGCACCGGCAGTGGCACCGGCAGGGGAACTGGCAGTGGAATAGGTATTGGTAAACGAATGGGAATTGGAATCGGAATACTTTGACTTAGAATGATGATCATGGAAAGAAAAAGCATAAAATAACATAATTAACTAAAGAGAAAGAGAAAATCATAATTAGTTAATTGTAATGGAAAAATGAAATCGAAATGTCCAATCATTCGAGAAAAACTAATTGTAACAATAATTTAATTCCAATGGTAGATTGATTTTTTATCCAATGGTTTTTCATTTACTTACACTTAGTCTCATTTTCACAGAAATTAATTAACACAATCAACTAACACAAGTTAAAATAAATAAATTAAATTAAATTTGACTTAAAAAAAATAATGTTAACAGAGTTGATTTGATTGCTCAAATTGGGAATGAATTGATTAGTTGATCAATCGAAACAATTTATATAGTTTCTCATTCTGTCATTCGTGAGTCTTACAATTAACTATTAATTGTCAATGGGAGAGAGAGAGAGATAGAGATAATTAAATCATTAAAATGAACAGAAAAACAATCACAATTAAATAATCATATTTACTAAAATCTAAATCATTTCAATTGGATTAATCTCTATAAATAAAAGTGAAACAATTAAATATTAAGCGTTGTTGATATTGATTAAGGTGATAATGGTTAATTGTTTGGGAGGGAATGAAACAAATCAATTTACTAATGATCTTTAAGATTGAAACAAACAGAATTAAAATTGATTAATCGTTAATTTGTAAACAAGATCATTAGTAATATTTAGTTACTTATTTAATGATTGTTTAAATTGTAGTAATTGAGTTAACGATGTCATTACCAATTACCAATTAATTAATCAGATTGAGATTTAACAGTGATAATGATTGATAGTGTTACAATTAAACATCAACAAATTGTTTACAATTAAACCTTTGAAAATATAAATATCATTAATAAAAAAAAATAGTAAATTAATTGTTCAAATGTTAATTACCTTTGATTAATTGTATATATAAATCAAATGATAATCAATTGTTTTGATCATCACAATTAGTCAAGTCTTTCAACTTTGACTTTAATTGTTTCATTTCATATGAACTTATCTTTAAACTTTCCATAAATTAATCACCAATTGATAAGCAATTGATTAATTAGGAAAATCAAATGAAAATAATTCATAATCACAATTAAATTAAACCGATTGTTCAACCAGTTGCTCCTTTCGCCATCTATTGTTAACCTAAATACATTAAAAAAAAATTAATATCCATTCAAGATTCAGTCTAATGAACAAAATAATAACAAAAAATGAATCAAACTCTTCTGGTGCAAATGAAAGTGTTAATAACAATGTACTTAACAATTTGACCAGTGGTGTTGATAGTATTTCTGGTTTTCTTATTAATATAACTTTACACAATTTCAACAACATTGGTTTGACTGGATCATCTTTATCATCTTCCTCATCCACTGGAAGTATACTCAATATTAGCAATATATAAGATAAATCGTGTTATTCAGCTCTAGTGTAAGAAAGTAGAGAGGGTAATTGTGAAAATGCCACCGAGAAAACAAGTAAGGGAGGTCAGAGTTTTTCAGTTCCGATTCTGTACAATTTCCAGCATCGAAGTTAAGCAAATAGGGCAATGATAACTGGCAATCGTAGATTGATCTTATTCTTGGTTGTTGGTCAATATTTTCCTAAGAATACGTTTCATCATATCGATATATTTGGATATTCTCCTCATGAACAAATTTTTGATATTAAAGAAATTTTTGGCCATTAAAGAAAACATTGATTCCAATTGCAAGTGTAAACAATGTTAATTCATCTTCTTGTGATGTAAATTGTGCTTCTGCCCGGATTAAATCAGATGCAACAACATCAACAATTAAAGTTAATTGTGGTCGTCTTTCAATTAATAATGATAATAATTCTAAAAGTTTGACCAATGGTCATCATCATGGTAACGTTAATGTGATTAATTCATTGAAACATGTTCCAAGTTTACCGTTTCCATTTCGTTCATCTAATAATCAACAATTGGTTAAGATTGCTGATCCATCAACTGATTTTGGGTTAAAAGGGCTTCTCTCATTATTGAACTTGCAAATGATTTCATCACCAAATGAGACTCGAAAAGTTTTAAATTTAAATTCATCTTCGAAAGGTGAACCGTTTGTCCAACTTCGTGAGCTTCTCAGACGAGATCCGGATCCTGACACCGGACATGAAAAAAACCGGAAACAGAAACGATGAAATGATAAGTAATCAGGAAAATGGTGAGATTGAAAATGAATTTGACCAAAATAAATCAAATGAAGCATGATAATGTTAATGATGAGGATGACCGTATGGATGATAGAGAGGATGAGAAAGAGATGGAAAGTAAAATGATGATGTAAAAGGAAGATGATAAACAAGAGGAATTTGATTTTTGAAGAGGAAGAGGTTGGAGATGAAAGATTAAGTAGTGCAGGGGAATATGCTGATGCGGATGAAAAGGAAGTAGAAGAAGATGGTAAGTTTATTATGTTTGAAGGAAATGATAATAATAAAGGTAAAGGTCAAGAGATGGAAAACACTGACTATTTATCATTCGAAGAGTTATATGTGATTGCGAGATTAAAGCGTGTGACATATTATAACTATATTCTCTATCTCCTTAATTGGGGCAAAATTAAATTGTGAAATTGAAGAATCTGTGACATTATAGAGGCGGAGATTAGAGAGGTGTTACTCTGGCTGTATTAATCGTAATTAGATTAATCAGAGAGTCAGAAATTATGAATCAAATGAAATTGTTGTTCACTTGATTAAACTGAATCAATTAGAGGATTGAACTTTCTCAATACATGTATATTTTTTGGTTCAATTCAAACAATTAAAAATTTAACCCATCTATGGTAAATTAATAAAAATCTTAATTTGCAAATTTTATTTATCTAGAACTTTATATTTTTCTATTCTTTTCCATTAGAAAATTTCCAGTTCTTTTGTAAGTTGACCATTGAATGTTTCAAGTGATCCATTTCGTAATATCACACTCTTTCGCTATTTCTATCTATTTTATAGATCACAATAATTGTTGATCTCTTGTCAAATGATGACAGTCATCATTATTATTGTTTGCTGTTCTTTTTACAAAATCAACCCATCGACCCATGTGTAAGTCTAATTAAATCAAAAGGAAATGAACGAAATACTCGTCAAATTTGAGTAATGTGCCTTTTCCCCCTGTTATTCGCTTTCTCTTTCTCTCTCTTTCTATACACTTTATAACATCAATACAGTCACACCTCTCTAATGCTACACCAATCGGTACCAAAAAACTTGGCACATGCAGAAGGGTGCGATTAGAGAGGTGACTGTATTTTGTGTAACTACCAACTATTACTTTTATTGCTATCATTTCTTTCTGCCAAATGTGGTCCAATGCTAACTGTTCCAATGATAGAACATTACTTCCGTCAGGTTAGGAAAAATTCACCAGTTACTGTTTTTTGTTGATCTTATTAATCCATTTTCTATTTTAAATCCTCTTGATCAGCTCCATTCATCTAAAAAAATCAAGATCCATTTTTAAATAAATATGCTGGTGAAAGTGTAACATTAAAGTGTCGGTCCAATGGTAACCCTTGTCTGGTAATTATCTGGTTCAAAGATGATCGAAAGTTACATGGAAGTTATATGAATTCAATGTAAGTTTAATATTTTTATTACCTCTGATGAGTTCCAAATGTCTAATTGGAATTTTCAAATTTACATTTCTTTAGACCAACAAAACAAAGAGACTAAAAATTGTGCCTATTGAAAAATGCTCGGCAAAATGAGATGAATTCCTTAAAATTAAAGTAAAAATTTAGCGTTCCCCAGTGCTAGCAATTACTTACTATCGAAAGCTACAAGCACAATCAAGATAATTTTCAATGCCTTAAATTTTCAATTAAAGGCAACCATGAGAAGCCATTTATAATTCCTGGATTTGATTTAATTATTAAAGAAAACCTACCCATGCCAATGACTGATGACCAAAAGGTGTAGGATTCAAACCAAAATGTCAAAGGAAAACCCCGAAACCTATTGGGATTTCGGAACTTGACCTGATTAATGGTGAACAATCTTATGATCACAACTCAGACGTTTTGCCTGAAAAGCTAACTAAAATTGATTAGCGACTGACTGGCTGAACTTATTGACTTTATCCAAAAATTATAATTAAGATTCACATTCTAATCGATCACAATCGATGAAAAATTCATTCATGTATTTACATGTATTTTCCCATTGAAAAAAGCAAAAAAAGCCAAAAATTTTTTTGAGAATTCAATTGTTTTCTATAGAAAAATTGATGAATGAAAGAGGAAATTAAATTTCGACGCGCTCATGTTTGGACCTCCGTATTTTTTAATCTTAATCATCATGAAATTGAATTTTTCAACAATTGTAGTCAGATAGTGAATCTTAATTATTACGGTCAAACGAAGCCATCAAGTCTAGTCAATGAGACGCTACTTAATTTTAAAAAATTAGTCCAAAACATTACCAGTCATACCTTACTAACTCTTTCGATTCACTCTTTTCAAATTTCGCGGCAAATATTCTCTAAGCTCCTCCCTTTTCTCTTTCTCCGGTTAACCCAACTAGTAATCGATCTTTTTTTAAATCGATTTGCTATCGGTGATTTTTTTTCTTGTTTGTTTATTTATTTTTCTTCATTGAAATTTTTTGTTTTCTTTTATTTTGATTGTGTGTTAATTAATATTTATATTTATTAAGTTGTATTTTCTTTTCTTCTTTTCTTTAATTTTCTTTCTTCACTTTTTCGCTGTGTGTGTTTGAATGTGTGATTGTTGAATCTTTTGTTTTGTTTTCTGCTTCTTTTTGGTTCATTATGTCTGATATTTATTTTAATCTTAGTGAACTTCTCAATTCTTTAACCGATAAAGAAGGTGAGATTCCTTTTACTAACAATAAAGCTGGAGTATCAGTTATTATTCCTGATCCTGATACACAAAATTATACCTTTGTTGAGGATAAATATGGCGGAGATAAAAAGTCAACCTCTTCCAAGATTGAAAAGGATGTACAAGCCACTCGAAAAGTATTAGAGTCTCTCCTGTTGGGAGAAAATTTAACCGAACAATATTTCAAACCAGAAATGGTTCGATTACCTCCACCATTACATGTCGCTGAAGATGAGGTAAAAATAGTAATAACCCCATCTCTATTTCATTCCCATTCTATAAATGTCTCTATAAATGTGACTTTTTTCATTAATTCATTTCAATTCATCTCTTTCAGCTTGCATGGCTTTTCCCTTCAGAATTGGATGATTTCAAAATGGTCTGGGATCCAACTGTGTCTTCTCGTGTCTCTGGAGTATCAGAAGCTAAAACTCTAATGTCCAGAGCCTTTGAATCAACTTTAACTGTTGACCAACAGAAAACTTTACTCCAAGAGATTGAAAAAGATCATACATTAATCTACCATGTTGGATTAACACCAGCCAAGTTACCTGAATTAGTTGAAAATAATCCACTAATTGCTATTGAGGTTCTATTAACACTTATGCCATCTAATCAAATTTCTGAATATCTATCGGTTCTTGTCAACATGGAGATGTCCGTTCACTCAATGGAAGTTGTAAATAGATTAACCACCGTTGTTGAACTTCCCCCAGAATTTGTCCATCTTTACATTACTAATTGCATACAAACCTGTGAACGAATCAAAGATAAATGTATGCAAAATCGTTTAGTCCGATTGGCCTGCGTCTTTCTTCAATCACTAATTCGCAACAAGATAATCAAGATTCAAGATGTTTTCCTAGAAGTTCAAGCTTTTTGTATTGAATTTAGTAAAATCCGAGAGGCAGCAGCTCTATTCAGATTACTCAAGCAACTTGATTTATGTGAACAGGAAAACTCACCACCATCAACCACCACAACCAATTCATCATCTTCATTCAACATTGTGACAACATCCAATAGCAATAACAACACAGGCACATCTTCACAATCATCTTCACCCTCATCATCTCAACAACAATCACCACAAGCCTAAACAATTAACTTGGTTTCTTTTTTTTTGCCTGTTTACTGGAAATGGTTTCCTTTTTTTTTCTCTCTCTCTCTCTCTCACTATTTTTTTCTTTCTCTTTCTCTCTGTCTATCTCTCTAACCACACTTCTTATAGACCTGAAGCATTTTTTTCCTACATGAAGACTATTTTCATTTATTAATTACTTGTAATTAGAAACAAATGGAAATCAACATGATAGTAATATCAGCAATATAACTGTTCCATTTAAAAGAAAAGCCAAATCAAACCGATCATCGATCCATCACCACTAAGATGTAATTGTCTCTTCATCCCTATCAACCCTTACAAGGATAAAAACAGCTGATTAAACCTGATAGAGTGTAAATTACAAATCAAAACAAAACACCGACCCAATGGTCAACACCAATGAATTTTTCACCATCAACCGGCGATGAAATGAGTTAACCAATTGACTTGATTGCTCTTAATTTCACTTATGACCTGATAAACTCAACAACCTGATGGAAACCTTTCAAACGACAAACTTTTTTATACCTGATTAATTTTTGCTAAGACGATGCGACTGTTGTTGTTGTTTTTTCTCAGGCTTCCTTTTTGATATCTATCAAAATCTATTGATAAAATTTGCATATTGTTTATTGATACGAACGCAATGAAAAGGTTGCAATCAACGTTAATTAATCAATGGAGAAAAACAAAATGTCAACTTTATGTACATATAAGAAACTCAGTTGAAACAAACTTGTAAAGTTAAAGTTTGATCGTAAAGTTTGATTGTACAGAATTTACATCAATCAATTATAATTGATTGTAAATCAATGGTGGTTTGGGAATATTGTAACTGTTAATTGTAATCATGGTGGTTGATGATATTGTTTATCGGTTGATTAAATTAAAACATATTTTCTTGTTTACATTAATCTGTAAGCTTAAATGTTGCAATTTCCATCTCATGTCAATAAGAACCATATGTTCCTATGGTAATATTAATCCATTAATGAAACCTTATTTATCAAGATGATAAAGATGAAAATGGATTAACATTAATTTTGTTGTTTTCTAATAATCATCTTCACAATTTGATTATACTGGTATTTGTAAAGTCATTGGTGTAAATTGTGATGAAATTAATAGTTACCCAATCAAGGTAACAAATCTAACTGAATCCCATATAAACGATACCATGATGATGATTAGATAGAAACAATAATATTAAAGCTTAATTGCTTGTTAATTGTTTGAAACTTTTCTTTTGCAAACCATCATCAAGATTTATCTTCATCAATCATCATAAAATAAACTGTAAACAAAAAGCAATGTAAATGATTAGTGTATTAGGGTACAATTAATGTGGTTGTTAGAGAAATTGAAAGATTAAAGGTGAAGAGAGAGAGAGAGAGAGAGAGAGAGAGAGAGAGAGAGAGAGAGAGAGAGAGAGAGAGAGATGATAACGATGATGATAAGAATGAGATGAAGAAAAAACAAATATCATTGCAGGTAAATCGGTGAATTTGATAACAATTTGAATGATCATGGTGATAAATTGAATTTTCTTTAGACAATTGAATCAACTTTTTGTTTTCTAACCAATAACAGTAACAATTAAGTTGTGATAAATTAACTAACGTGCGTGTGTGTCTATGCATACACGTTGAGTATCTTTACTGAGTGAGAAGTGGGAAAGATGATGATGAAGAAAAAGAGAGAGAGAGAGAGAAGGTGAGGGAGTTTGAAAGACTAAAGATGACGAGTCCCGCCTCGAACCCCACCTTGGTTAAAAGCCTTTACCGTTTCAACCACCGAGTGGCATCGATTGGTTTGATTAATACAATAATCCACTGACTGGGAAAATGAAGAGAGAGAGAGAGAGGAAACTTTCCCCTCCTTCTCCTCTACAGCCATCACCTCCTCTTGCAACTTTGAAACGCCCTCACAAGGGGGTTTATGATTATTTCTGCTGACTAAGAAGAGAGAGAAAGAAAGAGAGAGAGAGAATGAGTGAGAGAGAAAGAAATGGGAGAAATAGTGAGAGGGAGAGAGTGAGAGTGAGTTAGTATAAATACTGTGTTGGTACTGGAAAGTCAATTTCCTCCTTCATCTTGTGCTACGGACTGTGAGTATTACATCAGGTACTGGTCGGTCATTTGAATCTAGTACTTGATGTAGGACTTATTGCCCGTTTCACTTAATCGTCCAGGTCATAAAAATCATGTCCAATCGTCATCACCTTTAATTGTCAACTTAACTAATCCTTCATCTTTTTATACAATTAAGTTAATCTTTTCTTTTTCTTACTAATTGTTATTCACATTTCTAGACGATCCCATTGATCATCTTCAATAGTTTCTCATTCTCATCACTCTCATCATCATCATCATCATCTCATCATTAGCTAATTAATCATCTTTTCATCATATTAATCAACTTTAAACCAACAATTTCAATATTACCTTTTCATTTGATTAAAGACTCAAAGTGAAACCTTTCAAATTACAATTGAATTGATAAAAAATTAACCATAATCATAATTTCCCTTAGTCATTAATAATCAGCGTCATAATTAATGTTTAACGAAGGCCATTTATCCAGATTGATTGTAAATCGTTTCCGTGACAACAATTTAATTTCTTTCACCAATGGAATCAATTTTTTTTACTATTAAATCATTTACCCGACATTTTAACATTCAACATGATTTACCTTGAGTTATATTATCACCATGATGATGATGATAATTGTAATCAAACTAATAATAATAATAATCATCTAGTAATATCTTAATTCAGTTAATCATAATCATAACTATTAAGCTTATTATTATTAACCATTAAGTTTAATTTGTTTTAATTAAACTTTTATTGTTATTATCGTTATGGTGAAAATGATTATTAGTATTAATTGTGATTACAAATGTGAGATTAGGTTTGGATGGAACCTTAATTAACTTAATCACAATTAGTATATTGTCAAAAGGTTATAATCAGATAACTATGAGAATGTTATTAAAACCAAATATCCATCATAATGATTAGTTAATCAGTTAATTTAGTTTATTTTTTTTTCTCGATGTATTTAAGGTAAATGTTTATTCAACAATCTGTTGATTAATCAATTAGAATTGATTATTTGATTAGCAGTTAATCATTAAGGTAAATCTTTGGCCCTTTAATTGTGATCTTAATTTTAACCGGCTTAATATTCAATCTCCTTAACGGTAAACCAAATGAGCAATCAAATTAATAACGATTGCAGGTAATTTAATCCTTAATAGTAAAGTTAATTTGGTTTGATGTTTAATTAGCTGATTAGTATTTTATCATCATCTTAATGATTGAAATTAAATCTGAAGAAAATCAAACAATTGGATTATTAGAGAAAAATTAATTGATACTGATTTAGTTTTGTTTTTCTACTCATTGAATATTGATCACAATTGCGAAAATATCATAACCAATTGATCACATTAACTGTATTATAACAATTAACTTAATCATCATGACAATTATGCTTTTTAATTGGTAGGTAATTTTATTGGTTGTATATTAGTTTTTATGGTTTTAATTGTTTTAGATTGGAACAGGTTAATTGATTATCTTTAATCAACCATACAGATGAAAATACAAAGTTAATTATATTTCATTAAAAATGTAATTAAAATGTAATTGAAAGATTTAATCAACTGTATGTATCTTGATCATACAACTGTTTTCAAAGGATAAATCATTAAACAATCAATATACACAATTAAGATGTACAATTAAGATGTATAATTATCGTTGTAACTACAATTAAAGATACAATTAGAAATTGAAAAAGGTAAATAAATGTATTGATCGTTTTAAAGTTATAACCTTTCAACTCTCAGGTAATTTAAGCGTAACTTAATTAACAATTTGATGATGATGATGATGAAGTAATGAGTAATTATCAACACACTATTTGATTGTTGATACATTAGATTGAGAAGAAACAAAAAAAAAATGTTTACAATCAATCAGCAATTAGAATTGAAAAATTATATTAATCCATATGAATTGATTTCCAATATTATATCTCATCAATCAACTTATTGTTTGACCAGCAATTGACAAAACCCTCAAAAATATCATCAGGTAGATGATCACAATTATGATTACAAACATAATTGATGAAAAATGATGATGATCATCAATTAACCTTGAGTTAATCAAACAATTAACTAATATGATTCAAAGTGAGTTAAATATAATTGTGAATGAACAATAACAAAATCGTCAAGGTAAAAAAAAGTGAAAGATTTTCAAAGTAATAACAATAATAATAAGTGAATCTTATTGAACTTTAATTAACTGACCAGAAACTAATTAGTTTGCTAAATTACCAATAGAATTTCCAATCAATCGATTAATTGTTTCTCTAAATAATCAACGATGATTAGATTTTCTTTTTCCCGCCAATTTCCATCTATCGGATACAATTAGATTTACCAAAAGAAATCAACAATTAACAGATAAACAATCAAAGTTACACTTGTTAATTTCAATTCTTCCTCTAATTGTTACTCACTGATTGATCTTAAATTGTTGTCAAATTATCCTCTTCTAACTAATTGTATCCATGGATAATTTATCCCTATGGTAATCCTTTTGAATCAGAAAGATGATCAATGTTGTAATACATTTAATTTTCATTTGTCAATCAAGTTAATCAAATACAATCAATAGGAAACTGTCAACAGTAACTCACCGGATTCCTGTTAAACTTAAATGATTTACTAATAGTAATTAACCAACAAAAACAACAACAAAACGTTGATTGTTGATTGTTGATGATGGGAAAAGATTATGATTTATTCAAGTACCAAGTCTATGGTTGACTGGAAACACTTTCTCACCTAATTGTTGATCCACCTTCATCATTGGGATTGTTTTTACAATTCAACAATCAACCAAACCCATTTCCGATTACCTGACCTGATAAACAATAAAATAACAATAACAACAAGGTAAGTAAAATGATTAATATATAAATGAAAAACAAATCAGGATAATCAGTGAAAAGCCAATAAGTGTATAAACCATATAAACATTACTATTAACATGTATTGAGAATCGTTGTAAACCTGAATCAATGAAAATATTAATACATTTGATTGTTGATTGATTCTGTTAAATGAATTTTACATTTTCTATTTTTACATTGATAACATTATTATATTACCATTTTCATGTTCATTTTGGTTTAATGAATGAAAGAAAATAATAGAAATCAATTGAAGAAAAACAATGATATTAATCATCAATGAGAATTGATAATAATATTTTTTTTTGTTTCTTTCCATCACCAGAAAGATACGTTAACATTTACAAGGTAATTTCCTGGGTGTAAACCAACAATTTATTAATTTAGTTGTTAATTTACACCTTGAATCCCTTTTGTCTTTTATTGTAATTGTTTCTACTAACAATTAGAAAATGATTATCACAATCAAATGAATATGATATGAGAAAATCACTAGTTAATTGTTGCTCTTATTTGCCGAAATTTTTTTCTATTAATATTTTATTATTATGTATTATTGATAACTCGTTCATAAATTGTTCCCATTCAAAGCTCATTCACAATTAACTCCCTGTAGATTGATATGTACGTGAACAATTAACTTGATTGATACCAATCTTAATCAAATTTTCCAATTGTTCTCATATTTATTTATTTATTATGTCGTCAAGTTTAGATTAACATGTAAACTTAAAGTAAATTGTTTTCTCAATTTTCATGGTTATCAAAATTAATTGTTGTCATTTAATTGTTATTATTATTATTATTGTTGTTGTTGTTGTTGATTTAGTTTTTATTACTCGCTTTCCATAGGCAGGTAATTGGCTATTGGATTTATATTAGATTATTATGATTTATATTACAGGTAGAAGGTCATCTTAGGATTATAATTGTTTATGATTAACAATTTAATTCCGCTGGTTCAATAACCTGTACTAACCTTTACTATGAGTTGGCAAAAATATTTACCAACAATTAAGGTAACGAAATTTAATCTTCACTACCTCAGGTAATTTACTTTTCATTTTTACCTAAATCACCGTTAATTGTTTATTATATATTCACAAGTGATTTAGTCTTAGACATTAACCATTGGCATTTAAATTGTAGACGATGATCATGTTAATTGTTACGATAATCGATATATTTTATTATTATTAATACATTTTGATCATATTCATTTGATTGTCGTTGACAATTAGCCTTTATATATATGAATAGATGGATAGATAATTATGTTAATTGGTCTAAATCATCACAATCAATGTGTGTCCATTTACATAAACATATTGTATTAATCTGGTTGTTAATTAACCAGATTAAATTTATCTAAAACTTTTCACCGCTGCTGTTTAATTAATTATTGGGTTGGACTTTTAATCAAATAAAAACAAAAGTTTTACTCTTAATTCATTGTTAACTTTATTAATTGTAGTTAAACGTTGACTATATTAATCTGATATATAAAGTAGATATAAGATTTCATCAATTGTTGAAGAGGAAAAGTAAAAAATCAATAACCATGAAGACAATAATTAAGCTAATCACTTTCATCGGATTATTATCAGGTAAGAATTTAAATTGTCTCTTAATTGTTGATAATTATCTTTTGTTGATTAAATTTAATATAAATTGATAATGTTTCGAATTGTTAGTTTGTTTTGGTCTTAGTTTACCTCGAGAGTTTCTCAATCGAATTTGTGAAACGGCTAAAACCGCCAAGAAATTTGGATTAAGCCGAGAAAGAGTATCCCAAATGGCGATTGCAGACTTCTCAGATTTCACTGGTAAAATTGGATTAAACTCTGGATTACAAAAAGGTATGACCTCAGTGGTAGTCGATGCTACAAACAATGGTGGTTTCCAAGGGCTTAATCAAATGAATGCTACAGTTTCAGCCGATACAAGAGCTATTCTTGGTATACTCACCTTTCTCTTGGAACTCTTTGAATCTGCTGGACTGAAAGGTGTGGTGGTACCTGAGATTACAGGAAATTTTCAATTTCCTGGAGGTTATCCTAACCTCTTTAAGCCAACTACATATCCACAAATATCTGAGACGTTAACCACCACCACCGGTCACCAAGTTTCATCGACTTTAGATCCAGTCTCATGTTCACAACTTGATTTCCCTGAAAAACTTGACACATCAAATAAAACCGATGTCCAACAAGCGAAAGCCCGATTGGCCTTAAGTGGTCTCAAAGTACAAGCAGAAAAGCTCAAGAAACTCGAAAATATATTTACCGATATTCAAGAGAAATTATTTTCTTAACATAATTAGCTAAATGTTTAATTCTGCGAAAAAAATAATAATGTTTCCCATATAATCCCGATAATCTACTAATTTATCATTATAATAACACAATTTATCTTTGAATGATCAAATAAATGAAAACTTAATTGAGGTAACGAAATTCAATCTCCATACACTAGTTGATTTACTTTCGCATCACAATCATCATTAATTGATTACTATTCAACTAATTCTGTTTTAATCTTATAAGATCAAAACAGAATTCCCAAAAATCCCAATAATTAAAATTATTGGGACTTAGATTGTGATGATCAATACAATAGCCTTAATTTAGCCTCCAAATTTAGTTATTTGATTGAGATATGATTTACCTAATGATGATTATGTTAATCATTAATTTGCCCATTCACTTAAACATATTTTGTTATAATTAATCAGATTAAGTGTATTCATTAGAACTGCTGTTTAATTAATTCTGGGAACAGATTAAAAATGATGAAACAAAAGTTTTACTTTTGATTCATTTAAAACTGTCTCTAATTGTTGTTAGTTTTGTCATTTATCAGATAAGTAGTGAACAATCAAGGTTGAAGACAATGATTAGACTAATCACTTTCTTTGGGTTATTATCCGGTGAGTAAATTGTTTCTTAATTGTTGATTTATTCAATGAATTGATTATGATTCGGACTTGTAGTTTGTTTTGCCCTTAGTTTACCTCGAGAGTTTCTTGGTCGAATATGTGAAATTGTTCAAAAAGCCGAGAGATTGGGATTAAGCCGAGAAACGGTAAATCAAATGGCGATTGAGGATTTTGAGCAATTCATTGGCTATGGATTAAGTTCTGAATTACAGAGAGATTCAAATACAAGAGATAATACAGACGATGGTGGTTGGCATGGCTTCCAACAGAAAGGTCTTGTCTTAGGATTACTCAGAATGATCCTTGATCTGTTCAGAGTTTTATTAATGGGCAATTTTAACAATTTGGTATTAATTCAAGAGAGTGTCCTATTCCCTAACCTCTTTAAGCCAGCCGAAGCATATCTTCAAATCTCTGAGATGTTAACCACCGCTGGTCAACAAGTTTCATCAGTTTTAGATTCGATCTCATGTTCACAATTTGATTTTCCTGAAAAAATTGATCCAACAAACGAAACTGATGTCCGACAAGCGATAATTCACCTGATCCAAAGTGGCCTTAAATTACAGGAAGAAAAGCTGAAACAGCTCGAAAATACATTTACCGATATCCAAGAGAAATTGTTTCCGCAACAAATTAAGACAACACAAAAATAAATGTTCTGCGGAATTATAATTAACTGATTATTAGGATCTGTAATAACACAAATCAAATCTTTAAAAGACCCAATAAATAGATGAAAATCTAATTACTAAGTTTCCGATCCACAATTTAAATTCTGATTAAAATTAATATTAATTTTCTCATAGAAATCAACACTTCAATTTCTTTGATTATCGATTTCATTTAAATCTGGTAGTAATTATCGTGTCCTAATTAGTACTAGTTACTAGATAATTTTGATCAAGATTAGAATAGAATTCATTGTCAATCATATCAAATGTTTTCTGACCTTTTCTTTTGACGTGGACTGTAAATTAACAATCAGTTAATTGCCGAGAAATCAAACTAATCAGATTATAATACAAATGAATTATTAATTAACAAGCGAGACGTGCGATCTAAAGATCGAGATTAATTAGGATTTTCTCGGGCCTTCTTTCAAATTAACCTCTTTACGCAGTTTAATTAATTCATTTCGTCTGAATTTCTCATGAATGGGTGCTAAGATCTTGTTCTGAAAATTGTGCTTAGTCTTTAATGTATTAATAAGTAATTAAAAGTTTCTGTTAAAAAGTGACAATTTAAATGAACAAAAAGTTTCAACAATTATCCAGAAAATTCAATAGTAATTGATTAATGTATATGGTAACAGTTATGTTAATTGTTATTTTAATTATATAATCAACTGTCCATTTACATAAACAGTGTTCAACACACATGTTGAAATGGTTGAGGTATTAATTAATTGTTAATCAACCAGATTAATGTTCTGGATTAGGGTAATTGTATAATTAGCATTTGGCTTTGACTTTTGATCAAATAAAACAAAAGTTTAATATTTAATCATTGTTAATTTGATAAATTGTTGTTGTAACATCAACAACGGTTACTATTAAGAACAATTAATAAAGTAAAATTATCCATATTTATATATTGTTTAAAGTAACGAAAACATTATTCATAATGAAGACAATAATTAAACTAATTGCTTTCGCTGGATTACTATCAGGTATGTAAAAGTAAATTAATTTAACGAAAAGTTTTTGGTGCTTCATTTTTAATTTTAACTTGATAATTTAATTTCGTTAACAGTTTGCTTGGGAGCAGTTTCCTTTCCGAAATCATTTCTAATCCGATTATGTGAAACTGCTCAAGAAGCTCGTAAATTGGGCTATGGTCAAGATCAAGTTCATCAAAAACTTATGAACGATGTAAAAGTTTTCCTTAAAACGAGATACGGTTTTCGAGGTGATATGCCAGATAGTACCTCTGTCATGATGAGTGCCACTAACAATGGGGTCGTTCAAATTGTTAACGTCATGAATATGCAAGCAATGGTAACTGCTTCCGCTGGTTTTATGAGTCCGTTTCAATCAATGCTCGATAATCTTACCGGTGCTAATTCTACAAGTCCAAAGCCATTAGAAAGTTCATCGCTTATTCCAACTCTTCCTGATAACGTTTTCGATGGACTTACACCTTCATTGGTTAATTCAACTTTCCCAAGTTTCCTACCAAATAATTTCTTTGATAAACCTTCAAATGCCAAACCACAAGGATCTACAACAACCACAACCACCACCACAACAACAGCAGAAACTTTAATCGTTTCTGAATCTCAACCAGAAACTGAACCAGAAACTGAACCAGAAACTGAACCAGAAACTGAACCAGAAACTGAACCAGAAGCTGAATCAGTTACTGAACCAGAATGGGAATCAACAACTGAATTTATCTCAATCCCTGAATCATCTTCAGAAACTTCAGAATATTGTTCACAAATTGATTATCCTGGGGAGTTGGACATTAATGATACAACTGAAGTTAAAAAAGCTTACCTTAGAATTATAATTAGCAGAATTAAATTAAACGAAAAACAGGTTAAATCCTTTGAGAAAAAATTTCAAGATTATCTAGCTAACTCAATTAACTAATTGTAATAGCGTTTACAATTAGTTAATTGTTTACCTAAATACAGCAAACATCCAAGAAAAACATTTAACAAAAAAAACAGATACAATAAAAAAATACAGTTGAAAAAGTGAAGAAAAAAACAAAATTAAATCTTAATTGTGATTTATTTCATTATAATGATCATGTTATTCAAAAATGTTACAATCAAATTTAATCCAATTGATTGACAGTAATTGACAATTTTCTCGTGTTTATCAACAATCAACAATAAATATCATCTTACAACAAACAAACAGCATGAAGTTTGACATTAAATCATTTGGTTAACAATAACAATCAAGGATTATCAAGATTATCTTGATTAGTGTTTATTTTCACTGATCATGTAAAAAGTATTAAAACAATAATAGTAATAAATGTGTAACAATTTAACCTAATTTCTTGTCTAATCTAATATGTTTTCTTGTTATTTTTAAATTGTCACAATTTAAGGTTAACATTATTGGTTAGTTAAGACAAAATTATGATTACTTTCAAATCAGCTTTCAAATGATGATGATGATGATGATGATAATATGAAATCAACGATTAACAATCAACAAGTTTAATATGTAATAGAAAAAGTAAATTTAATCTTGATGATTGATTTAGATTAATGATTTAGTCTAAAGAGAGTCATTCATTAATCTTTGGGTAATCATCATAATCTTAATTATCTTGTCAAATATAAAAAAAATCCCCGTTTAATCCCAATGTCTTGTTTTAAATCCATAATCAACAATCAGATGATTAAGTTAATTGATTGTCATTAGTTGATAATTTGATTGTTACTTTTGTTGACCTTTTCCTTTGAGGTTTGGTTTCTTTGATTGTTTCATCATTTTTACAATCAAATTAATTGTAATAAGTCAAATGTTTCTAATGTATTGAAAGTGATCTCGTTGTTTTTGTCATACTCGTAGTCTTAATGATTAATTATTGATTGTCCACTTTGCAAGTTAATTTGTACACTCCATTGACTTTTCTGTTATTATTAGTATTATCTGTCATATCATTAGAACCAATTAGTTGACAATATAATTGACTTATGTATTGATCCAGTTGAGACCAATAATTAGGATCATCGGATGAAAATAAATCAGTCAAGTTAATTGTTATACTGTTAACTCCGGACCTTTTACCAAATTGTTGACATTTCCTAACCAATTGAGGCCAAATAAAAGTACAATCTAAATGATAATAATAACGGAGAGAAATAAATTATCATCATTAGTAAATTATTGTTAAAGGAAAATAGATTTTTGCTTTCTAATTTGTAATATTTAAAAACTATTCTATTGTTACAATCAATAATCTATCATTTGAAGGGATGTTTAAGTAATAATAACAAGATACTTTTCTACTGAGGGTGTAAAAAAAGTGTCTCTCTCACGATCTCTTCCTCTTCAACAAACCGGAAAGGGACATTATTTGTATTTGTACGTAGTAAATTTGGAAGAGAAAAGGAAGATAAAGATATGTGTATACGTCTCTGAGAGAGAGAGAGAGAGAGAGAGAGAGAGAGAGAGAGAGAGAGAGAGAGAGAGAGAGAGAGAGACTGAGGATCGATTGATGAGGATGATGGAAGAAAAAGATGCAAAGGAAAGAAAGAGAAAATCAACTAACAAGTAAGAGTAATTTCCGGTGATGGTAGAGATGATAAGAAGTAATAAACAGCAACAATCAAGTAAAAGCGAAAGGAGATGATGAAGATAAAGAGGGAATAGACTAATTATCATTACTGCTATTAAATGGTTATAATCATTTGAATTATTATCAACCTCCATGACTTGTATTCTGTATATAATATATTCTGAATCAGGATTCGTTGAAAATGCAATATAACGTCTCTCTCAAATCTATTTATCTCTCTCTCTCTCTCTCTCTCTCTCTCTCTCTCTCATTTGATGATATACGTTTTCCAGGTCAAAAGCCGATCCAATCATTGAATCTAACCAGACGTTTGAATTTAATTATCACAATCATCTAAATACAACTCAGCTTTTTTTTACTAACTGTTGCTACTTTTTCATCATAGTCATCATCAGTTATCAGTATTGTAGTTATTATGATTATCATCATCATTAGTCAATCCTTAATTAAACATTAATGTCGGTTTGTGTTACCATTAAAGTTGATTGGGAAAAAAACAAGCAACAAGAAAAGTCTGTGGTAACAACAGAAAAAAAAAGATTCTGTTTGATTGAGAAAAATAATAAAGAATTAATTTTGGTGATAATGATTAAATAAACAAAGCTGTTGATGGTTCTCTCATATATATTAATTAATATAAACTAATCAATGTTGATTTGGTTAAGGTGATAAAAGATGCGAGTTTAAATTGTGTATATAACAGAAAGTGTCATTAATTCATCATGAATGAAAGTCATTATGAGTATGCTAGTGAGAGAGAGAGTTGGTTAATTAGTCAAGAATTTGTTGATTGTTATCATAATCACACAAAGAAATATGTTTAATAAAAGCGAGTTTACTTAAGGCTAAATAAGTGTATAAATATTACCTTGAGTTAATGAACAAGAGATGAGGGTGAGAAAGTTGATTGAGATCTCCCTTGAATTAGTAATATAATCCAATAATTGAATCATTAATTGATTTGAAAGATCAATGTGATGATGTGGTTGTTGTTGATGATGATGAGAACTGGGATGCTCTTGATGGTAACGATGATTAGTTTGTTGATTGTCCGGGTCAGATGAACGGTAGACAAGGAAAACTTTGTTAATTTTGTAACTTTTTGAAATTTCTTTCAACACTTGTTGATATTTGATTGTGTCTCTTTTATCAATTGATTTACCGTTCATGGAAATATCAATAAATGAACAACCCAGTAATCCAAGTTGATTGATAATATATGGATGATAATGTGATGCTGATGGTTTATTATTATTATTATTGTTATTATTTGATGATGGCGGTGTCGGTGTCAATGGTTGATGGTTTGTTGATGAAATTGGTGTTAATGGAAATGAAGATAAACTTGTTGATGAATTGGAGGATGAAGATAATAATAATAATGGTGAAGATGATTGTTCCTTATTATTACCAAATGATGATGATGATGATGGAAAAGACATCATCATATCTTTGGATGATTGATTAATAGGAATAAGAATAAAATTGCAAATTGAATCATATCGACGGGATTTCTCAATAATTTCAAGTTCTAAATCACCTGGTTGACCAATGATCAAATTAACCAAAGGTAACTGATTGTTTGATCGAGTTGATTGTTGTTTGCATTTTGTTTTAGGTTCAATTTTTATGATTTCAGGTGAATCAACACCAATCAATGGGCAAATGATTCCACTGTTTATTTGGTTGGCCATTAAATCAGCTAAACGGTGATGAGGATGATTACCTGTGGTTCCTGTTTTATTTGGTCCAATTGATTGGAAAACTCCTTCCGGTGTAGCACCATAATAGGTTATATTTTGTAGGAAAATGGCCAATCCCAGGTCATCGTCAATCGACATGGGAAACTTGTTAAGGTCAACGCACCTTCCGCCAATCGATAAACATTTCAACAAAAACTCTTGATTACCTTTGACCTGATCGTAACTATTAACATCTCTATTGGTTATATTATTATTACTGTTAGTGTTAATAACTAAATCACATCCGTAACCATTAGTTAAAATTTTAATTGTTTGCTCAATTTCTTGGCCGTTTATTGTAATTAGAAACTGTTTATCAACCAGTGAGGGAAAACGTTTTACCAGGTTAACCTTTTCCTCCTCCGTTTCCACCGACAGGTAAATGGTGCAATTAAATGATAAACAAATTGTTATAATAGCCCAACCAACCGATGTATGACCGTTAACAATTAAAACATTTTCACCACGTGCTAGACGACCAACAATGATTAGACCATAATAAGCCAATGAATAAGGTATTGGTATTGTTGCTGCTTCCTCGAGTGACCATTGAATTTGATTGTAAGACCAACGGTGGACAATTAGATAATCATCTGTGATTTCATCATATTTAATTATTCCAATTTCACCAATTTCATCTTGTAAACCTTTCCGTGAATAACCAATTAGTGAACCACAATAATTAAGTTGATTACAACAAATAACAATTGAAGTATCATAATCATTTGGTGACAATAGTTTAATCAAAGTCTCATCGTCAATACGAGTCAAGTTACTTGCTCCTATTGTTGATTGTAACAATTTAGATGATGGTACTGATGATGATGTTGTGTTGTTGATGATGATGATGATGATGATGATGATGATGATAAGTTGATTGGTAAATAATGGTAACTTCCTTGAACACCATCACTTAAAACAGTATAAGTTAAACCAATTGGTATAAATTGATTGAAACAATTTTCATCATTTGTCTCATTAATTAACCATTTCAATGGTATTGTTTGATTATCAATCTTTAATCTATCAATTAAACCAATAGATGAGGATAAATTGTCAACCAATAAGCAATTTAGATTATTTGATTCATTTGAAAATGAAGGTAATTTAAATGATGAATTAACTTTATGAACATTGATCAAGTTTTCATCAATTGACCAACGAATCAGATGAATGAAACATTGATCAGATTGTGAGGAAAATACAAAAATTAATCCATTTGATTTGAGATAATTAACTAACTCATTATTGTTTTCACCGTAATCAGAATTGATTGTTGTTGTTGATTGACGAACGATAATAAAATCAAAAGTTGATTTTGTCATCAAACTAATTGATTCACTAATAGAATCAATTAAACTGGTTGAATTATCTGTTTCAATAATCAACAAACGGTTACTTATCATCTCATTTAAATCATTTCCTTTTCCGTCTAATTGTGTTTTCTTATTGGTAAACTGATTAAGTGAATCAAATTTAATCCAATTACATTGTGATGATCGTCGTTTTTGTAATTCATCTCTAATTAACTGTCCAAGTGAATTTTCATCATTTCTTTTGGTATCATTACGATTGTCCTTATTTAGAGTTGCAGTTATCAATGTTATTGGTGATTCGTTTTGCTGTTGTTGATTACAATCAGTAAATTCAATCAAATGATCAACTATAATTGTGATACATGTTTCCAATGGATGATAAACTTTCTGGTTAAATGTTGGTATAAATTGTTCAATTCTCGCTTCCATTGGATTTAATTTACATGGTAATTGTGATTGGAATGATCCAAATTGTATTCCTCTGATATAAATTGATTCTGATCTAATTATCTTTGAATATTTATCATAGGTGATGGTGACAGTTGATTCTTGCGATAATTGTCCAGGAATACAATGGATTTCGTCCAAACGAATTGGTATATTGTCCATTTTTCTGGTGATTGAACTTGAATTTTCCTGATTGTTGAAAAAACTGGTAAATTGTAACATGGATTCAAACCTTATAATCCAATCTTGATTGTTACTCATAATTCCTGTGTTTGTTTTATCATTTACCTGGATTACATTTCTTAAATTACCTTGATAGTGAAGACCATTACGTGATAAAATACCATAGAAAATGTTGGACTCAATACAATTGGAATCACCATATTGACCATTATCATCGTGATTTTGATCAGCAATCATTTCATCGCCATTGGAATCATTTAAATCGGATACAAGCCCTGTCATGATTACTAAATTATCGGAATAAGTTTCTATGGTAAACTTATATTTGCCTTGATTGGTTGGAAGAAATTTAATCAGAAACGATAATTTCTGATCATCAAACAATGAAAGTCGATGTAATTTAATACGCTCCAAACAAACAGCTAAATCATTGGTACTGTGAGCTGTTAATGAAGCAAATTTAGACCAAAGCAAATGAATTAAACCAGAAATTGGAATCACTTGGTAACCATTATAATGGAAAAACCCAAGATATTGTTTATCACTTTCATTAATGTTGATGGTAAATTTTTCCTGAGCTGAGCTGTTGGAATTGAAATATTCGGGAAATCGACGAACCAAATGACCATTTGAATGGTCAAGTTTGATTAAAGGTGAAAGGAAAGGTGTATCAACTGGAGATGGACCAATCAATTTATGGGAATAAATTGATTCCAAATTGATTGGACAACCATTCATGTAAAGATTTCCCAATGAAGTTAAAAAGCTACCAGGAAGCTCTGGATAATGACGATGATTGTTTTGATTGTTATGGTCATCTATCTGGATCAATTGTTGATTACCAACTTTAAAGGGAACCTCAACAATCAATGATTCAGTTAGATTACATTTTAACAAGGATGTTAAAAATTTTCTCGGTGCTATTTCAATACAAATCGCATTTTTTGGTATCGATTTACAAGCCTTTTCAAATTGAACTGTATTCGCAATTATTTCAACGCAAAGTTTTTGAATATTAAGTGATTTGTCGCTATTCATACTTGAATCATGAGATATTATCCATTTATCACTTGGTTTACGATAAACATTTGAAAAATGGGTCAACTTGCAGCGGAAAAGTTCAATAATCTTACCCAATGCTTGAGTATGGAAGGCAAATCCACAGGAATCAATGATCCGATTGAAAATATTCTGAACCTTTAGATGATTCGAAAACTGGACAATATCTTCAGTGAATCCAGCGAGTGTGATATTATCTCGAGTATTGAAACATGCTGGATACAGATTGTTGGGTATTAGTGGTAATAATTCATCCCAGGTCAATGCAACTGAGATCATTGAGTAGCTTTTAAATGTTTGCGATTCAGCGATAATCGAGGAGATTATTTGAACAACCGAATAGCAAATGTCCAGAACTTCAGCTTTGGATAAAACACCATCGGCATAAGCACAAAAATATTCACCAAACGAATGACCAACAATAATGTCCGGTACAATTCCAAGTGATTTAAGAGTATCAACCACAGCAATTTGAAATATTCCCAGAGTGAAAATTTTCCAATGAGATTGTCGAGCATTTGAGATCATTTCTCGAACATTTTTACTTCCATCTGAATCAACAAGTGACAATGAATCTTCAATTGATTCTCTAAAAGGTTTCAATCCCATGAAAGGTTGAATCATATTATCGATTTGACAACCAGCACCAGGGAATGCGAAGCAGATTGGAAATTTCGTTGAACTGGAAGGCAACTCATGTGGGGAAGAGATTTTCAGTCCTTTTCGAGGACAAGAGATTATGTAACTTCGATGGTTCATCTTTCTTTCTTGATTCGCTGTGGTTGACATAAAGTACGAATAACGGTTCACTAGATGAACGAAATGAGGTGTTATTGATTCGGGTTTCATCTCAACGATTCCATTCATCATGGATTGGAGGGAGATTGTGGTTCGACCACAGCATAAGATTAAAACGGCTTCCTCTCTGGACGATGACGATACTTTATCCTGGACATTTTGAATTGACCGTCCAAGAACAATGTGACAATTAGCACCACCGAATCCGAAATTATTGATCGGTATATATTGACCTTTGAATGGTGTTTCTTTTAAAACTGGAGCGACAAAACCTTTCTCCAATTCTGTTATGTGGGTTGAAGGTTTTTCGTAATGAAGATTTGCTGGAATAGAATTTAATTTAAAAATGATTAAACATTTAATCAGTGAAGATAAACCAGAACCCGCTTCTGAATGACCAAGGTTACTTTAACCGAACCCAAAAGTAAAGGTAACTTTGATCGGCCATTACCCATAACTGACCAGAGAGCTTTAATTTCAACCATGTCACCAACTTCGGTACCCGTTCCATGGCATTCAAAGTATTCCAATTTTGTCGGATCAATGGAACTTTCTTTATAACATTTACTTATTAGGGAAGCCTGAGATTGCCATGATGGATAAGTGATTCCCTGAGGCTTATAACCATCACAATTGATTACTGAGTTAATTAACTGACCATGGGATCTTTGAGCAGTACAAGATTTTTCGAGAATTATAGTTGCCACGGTTTCACTTCGTCCATATCCCGATGCATTTGCGTCAAGAAATTTACACTGACCCATTTGTGAAGTTAAACCAAGTCTATGGTAAGATAAAGCGATCGCTGGAGTCCACATAATATTGGCACAAGAAACGATCGCCAGGTCAATATGACCACAAGTTAAATGGAGAAATGCTTGAGCTAAAGCGGTGAAACTTGAGGAACAAGCAGTTTCGTACAGAAAAGCACCATTCTTAATGTTGAATATGTGGGCAATCAAACGCTCTTGTGTCTGTAGATTAGTTGATTTCCCTTCAAATTCAACTGAATAACGATTCATTTCGTTATTTGTTTGTCCATGGAACAATCCAACCTTCCTTTTATCAAGATTCCATGGGTCCAATCCTGTAAAATGAATTAGATTAAGAAATAATCAAGTTAATCTAGTTTGCAAAAAAAACTACACCAAACTTTGATCAATGAAATTATGCTAATAATCAATAAAATGGAAAAGTTAATTGTTGTTGACTTCCTTGTGTTTGAAATCTCTATGTCATTCTGATAACCAAAGTTTAACAATTAACTGAGCATTTTTTCATACCATTAAGTTAAGAATTTGTATTATAACAATTAACTTTAATTACCTGCATCACAAAGGGCTTCGAATGTAGTTTCAATGGTACATCTTGTCGAGGGATCAATTAAATCCGCTTCTTCATCAGTTAATCCAAAAAACGAAGCATCAAAATTTTGTAAATCCAATAGAGCTCCACTTTTTGATGGTAAACCATAAATTCCTGGAAAGTTAATCAACCAATCAAATGAAAATTAATCACAATTAACTTGAGAATAATAATGATTATCGTTCTTACCCTTTGGCCATCTTTCTTCATTATCGTAGGTCATATCAACGCCTTTGTAAAGTTTATCCTTTAGTTGATTAACATTAGCACAATTTGAGAATCGCCCAGAGACTCGGAGATGATAATTTCTGGTCGTTCATTCATTATTAATGAATAACAATTAATAATAACAATTAACTACTAATAACACAGAGTAATTCAATCTCAAACAGAGATAGAGGAGATGACAATTAACCACGAAAATAATATAATACAGAAAATATTAATAAACAAAAGAAAACAAATTGTTAACACCAAACGAAAGATGATCTTGATTGGAAATAAACATTAACCACAATCAAATAGATCAGATTAATTAACTTCTATATTTCCTCTAATTATAAATCGAGAGTAAAATTTATCCTCCACCAGAATTCACAGATTCACATGTACACGTTCACGATTTATATATATATATATATATATATATATATCCTCACAAGGAAAGGCGAAAATTAGAAATAAATTGTTGATCAACAATTAAAACCCGAGTTAGAAAGGTGATTGAAATTATCTAAATTAAAATTAATTGTAAAGTCTTTTCGTTTTATATAACAACAAGAACGAGAAAAAAACAAGCTAACCCACCAGAGGGCAAAACGGGAAACTTTTTCTTGTTTACAACCCTTTAATTGGCTGTTTATTTCATCAACAATTAACTTAATCGTGAATCAATTTGATCTCATGTGAATCAATACTATGACACACTATGTTTTCAAATTGAATTGTATTTAATCAAATTGTTAGACAAAAAAAAATACACTTCCATAAACACGAGCTGTATGTTCAATCATTGTACTTGTCAAGGTTTTATTTGGATTCTATTAAAAACTAAAACAAAACAAAAAGTGATTAATTTTAATTCTGACACATTGTTGATTGGATTGACTGACAATTTAAAACGGTAATGATACGTTGTTGACGATGATTAACCAGAATTGTTGACAGTTATATTTGCATAGCTTGGCTTGATTATCGGCGATAAATTGATCCCATGGCAGATTAAACTTTGAAGAAATGCTGAAGAATCATAAGTTATCCCGATTCCCTTTCCTGAGGTCAAATTAACTTTCTCGGGAAATTCAATGATTGAACAGAAAGATGGACATTCGTTTGACAATTTGTTGGTTTGATTATTTTCAATTGCCTGTCGTCGATTTGTGGACATGATGAAATTCAATAGATCGGAAAATATCATATTGATAAATCCAGTCATCGTTATCGCTTTTAGATTAACATCAGGATTCTCACGTTTAATTAATTGTTCCAATTCACTGATCAATTGTGAATTAATTTCCGTCTCGTTAAGACCCATTGAGGATAATTTTTCCGCTCGAAAGCAAAAATCTTGTAACGTAATTCCCTTAATTGTTACAATAGGTGAAACTTGAGAGACTGGATTACCTGTTGATTTAAATGTTTAATTAAATTGTTAATTGTTGATATTTTATTTATTGTTATCGATTAATTGATTTTACCTTTAATTGTTACGATAATATTGATGAAAATCATCAGAGAAATTGAAAACATTGATGAATCCATTTTTTTTTTCACTCGCTGATTATTACGTTCAAACTAAATCTAAATTGTAATTAAAGTTTCGTTACAATCAAAATATTAACAAAACTTGTGCAATTATCAAGTTAATTGTGTTAACATAATTAAATACATTATTAATAATTCACAATTAATTAATGCTAAAAACAATACAACTTGTTTAACTTTCCATATGTGAAAATCATGAATAGCAATTTATTATTTTCATTAAGGTTAATCAACTCAATCCTAAAGGTGATTTTAATTGTAATCAGGGTTAATCAACAATTGATACTGACGATTTTTCAACAATTATTGTGAATGATTAAAAATTCATTGACTACTTTAGTTAATCATTCAAAGGTCTAGTCACAATTTACTTCCTGTAAACTATTGATTCAACTGATTAAAGTCTAGTTGAATCATTGATAAAATATCTCAATGATGATTAAACAACAAAGTTAATCTAATCATTACAATCAAAAACCACAATTAACAAAACCGGACAATTAATTACAATTAACAAAAATCATAATCATGGCGATAGATTATCCCAATAATAATCATCGCTAGGATTTGAAAGGTACAAAATCAACTTATAAATATTGATAACGATGATGTAAATTCATTTCTCAGTAATTAATTATAATTTTATCATAATCAAATTTAAATGTTAAGCAAATACACAAAAGTTAAACTGTCAACAACTAATTGCGATTAACAATTGACAACGATTAATCTGTGGTCCAATTTTACAATCCAAATTAAGTTAACTAAATTGGTTGATATATAAATAGATTCACTTGTATTGAGCAGGATTTTATTTTGAAACAGTATCAACTTGAATACCTTTAATTGTTAATCATGAATTCACTAATCTTTACCCTGGTAATCGTTATTATCGGTTCCATTGACTGTGAGTATGATCATTGGTTGGATTTTAGTCTTGATTAATTGATTGTTATTATTGATTTTCTTTTAGACACTGTTGGTGGACCAATAACATTTGTTATTTCTGGAGCTGAAATGAATGAAGTTTGTAACTTAGCCCAAAATTTGACAGTCAATGGATTATCTCGAGATGATATTTCCAAAACTTTGGATCGTCAGTTACATAAGATATTGGGATTAACTGGATCTTTGAAGAAATTTCCAATCGTCCGTTACACAGGTCGAATCAAGTCACATCCGATGCTTCGTTATAAACGAGGTGATGAAACTTACATTGGATCAGGTACACATTCAGGGGAAGGTAATACCGATGCAGAAGATGCATCGGCTGGAGCAGTTACACAAACTGGAACATTTAATTTCAACGTTTCTGATTTGATCTACATTGTAATCGATGCCTTGAGTTTAAAGGCCAAGAAACGATGTCTTCCCAGTCAATCACTTTGCTCTTCAATTGTTTTACCTGAGACAATTGATCTACTTGATCAAGAACAAATTTTATCAATTATCGATCAGTTCGTTCAATTACAGAACTCATTAATCAATTGTGATTCATCGTAATTATTTACTGTCTCAATAAGGGAGAGTAACAAGATTACGAAATAAAAATTGAAAATTGTATTAATAAATTTGTCTTAATAGGTTAATCCAGTATTTAAATTAAACTTTAATTTAATCAGTTATATATTTTAACATATTATCCAATAATAATCATCGATAGGATTTGAAAGGTACAAAATCAACTTATAAATATTGATAACATTTATGTAAATACATTTCTCAATCATTAATTATACTTTTATCATAATCAAATTTAAATGTTAAGCAAATACACAAATGTTAAACTGCCTACAACTAATTACGATTAACAATTAACAACGATTAATCTGTGGTCTAATTTTACCATCCAGATTAAGTTAACTAAATTGATTGATATATAAATAGATTCACTTGCATTGAGAATGATTTTATTTTGAAACAGTATCAACTTGAATACCTCTTTAATTGTTAATCATGAATTCACTCATATTTACCCTGGTAATTTTTATTATCGGTTCTATTGACTGTGAGTATAATAATTGGTTGGATTTTAGTCTTGATTAATTGATTGTTTTTATTGATTGTTTTTAGACTCTGTTGGTGGACCCGTTTCATTGGTAATCTCTGGATCTAAATTGAATGAAGTTTGTACATTGGCTCAAAACTTGACAGCTGATGGTGCAAATCGAGACGATATCGCCAAAATTATAGATGCTCAACTACACCAGATATTGGGACTTACTGGACTCTTGAGGAAAACACCAATCGTCCGTTATGTGCGCCTAAATAAATCCAACCCAATGGCTCGTTATGGTAAACGATCCTTACGACGTGGTCCATACATGGGATCAATACACATTCAGGTGAACGTAATGATGCTTCACCTGCAGATACTGATGGAACTACACAAACTGGAACATTTAACGTGAACATTTCTGACTTTATTTACCTGTTGATCAATGCCTTTAGCAGAAAGTTAAAGGCTCGTTGTCTTCCCAGTCAATCACTTTGCTCTGCAATCGTTTTACCTGAAAAAGTTGATCTTCTCGACCAGCAACAAATGGTATCAATTATCGATCAGCTTTTCCAATTACAAGGCTCACTAATCGATTGTGATTCTTCATAAATTGTAATCTTTTTGCAACAGCAAAACTAATTGACAAATAAAATGGATTAACTTATTAATAGTTGAAGCGAAAATTAATCATCTAATCTTGATGAAATATTTTATCAATTGTTAAAAGAAAAACTTATTGATTGACTCTTCATCTTTTTATTTATTAATAATTCATCGAAGGATAAACCAATAGATTATCAGGTTTGTATTTTTCTGAAGGGTTGGACATTTACCTGATTGTGTTTTGTTGCGAAAATAGTTTTTCTTGAATAGTGGTGACTGTATTTTCGAGCTGTTTCAGCTTTTCTCCTTGTAATTTAAGGCCACTTTGGATCAGTTGAGTTATCGCTTGTCGGACATCAGTTTCGTTTGTTGGATCAATTTTTTCAGGGAAATCAAATTGTGAACATGAGATTGGATCTAAAGCTGATGTATTATTAACAATTTGTAGTCCAGCATTGGTCAAGATATCATAGATATTTGGTTTGAAGAGATTAGGATAACCTTCAGGAAATTGATCATTTTCCGAAATCGAGGTGATCCCCTCTTTGGCATTTAACAATATCGAGAGCAACAGTTGAATAATAGGTAAAACTATGGATGAAACTATGGGTAAAAGTAAGGGTAAAAGAGGTCCAAGTAAACTCATAATAAGATCAACTAATAGACGGTTTTCATTGTTTGTAAAGGGAATCAATGAGTTTCTTTGTAATCCAAAGGTTAATCCAAATTTATTAGTGAAATCCTCTAAATCATTAAACACCAATTGGTTGATCTTTTCAGGACTTAATCCCAATTCCTTGGCAGTTTGAGTAGTTTCACATACTCGATGCAAAAACTGTCGAGGTAAACTTAGTCCAAAACAAACTGTAAATACGAAACACAATCGATTGAAAAAAAGAAAAGATAATTACGATCAATTTAAATGATTACCTGATAATAGTCCGAAGAAAGTGATTAATTTAATTATTGTCTTCATAGTGTAACTTGCTCGTAACTTCAATAACTACAAACGTTGATTTTTTTACTCTTTATCTGATTTATTTCGTATATCACAATTAGTTAAATCTAACAATGAATTAAATGTAAAATTTAGTGTTTTTATTTGATTAAAAGTTTAAGCCAACCAATTAAACAGCGGTTTTAATGAACCTTTAATCTGGTAAATTAACAACACAAATTCATTTCATATTCATTTCATTCACATACAGGGTAGAAAAATGAAAGTGCTAGTAGAGACTAATTAACTCTAATCGTTTCTTAATTAATTGGGCAACAAATCAACTGGTGTTTAAGCCACAGGAAAAAAAGGCAAATTCATTTTATTTTACACCCTGTATTCGAATGAGAAACTCTCGTTGATTTACAAATCAAGTTGTAAATTCGCAAGATGATTTGATTTACATAAAAAAAAGAAAAGTTAATTATGAGAAATGAAGAGACAATTTAAATTGTTTATGATAATAATAATCAGATGAAAGTGATAATCGTCTTGATGATTTAATTTTCTTTGTCTAGTGTAATCAAATACAAACCATAATTTGACTAATTAATATGACAGACATCTCGACATGTGTGTTGAACACTGTTTATGTAAATGGACAATTGATAATTGTGTATAATTAAAATCACAATTAACATAACTAGTACCATAATACATTAATCAATTA